ATTAAACGGATTAAATCTCGGTTCCGAGGTTTAGTTGCTACGCCTTTACAGCGACGGCGCGTGTGGAGGAGGGGAGACCATCAGGGGATTAGCGTTATCGCTTTGCGTTGGTCAGCCATATTTAGTCCGCGGATCAACTTGTTCTGAATGCTCTCTAAGATAAATGTAAACAGACAGACGGACAGACAGACAGCCAATGGCCTGCAAATGTGACAAGCATGATACAGCTGTAAACTAGTTTATTATTTTTATTGTTAATACATTAAACAGTTTTATATCGTTTTCACTCATGTTTATTTCTCATTTGTCACATACATGTGTTGGTCAGCCGTAAAACCATCTCTGTTCTCTGAACAATCAAAATATTTACTGTTCTCTCACTTGGTCATTACGTATTGACTTCAAATTTAATAATGTTTACAAATTTTGACATCTTCAATAATAAATTTAACCCCGTGAAATTAAATCCTATCATCATGACAAATGTATCTTTTCCCAATGTCTTTTACTCTACAACGTATATTTTCTCGTCATTTCGCATGCCCGGGCGGTTATTGGTGAAAACTGGTGCATGTCCGTCTTCGCTCGGGGTCACCCACTCCTCTACCGCAGTCCACAGCCCCTGCAGCCAGCGGTTTACCAACCTACTGAACGCAGTCTCGTGAGATTTACAATCAGCGCTTCGCAACAGTCGCGCTAGGCGAGTGGCAAATAAATGGCAATTGTTGGTAATCAAGTGATAGTCTCCGAATTTCGACTTGTAGGATGCTGCGAAGTCTTTGGCGACGTCACTGCTACAGTTGCTCCTTCCTGACGGCTTAGCCTCCCACCGAACGGCGCAGTCCGGAGACGCAGGAGACGTGCCATGCGAGTGCCCGTCTTCACTGACCCCCCACTCGAAGACTAGGCCTCGGTAGTAGAGCAAGCGGTGTGCATACCGTATGGGAACACGGAACTCGGGGTCCGGCTTCACCACGGAGCGTTTGGTCTTTAAGTCCAAGACGCAATTCAACGACTGAACTCCAAACCAGAATCCGTCTGGGTATTCTAGGATTAATGATAACATTGCGTACATGAAACGCTATGAATAAAATCCATGTGTACTTATCTGTGTTTGTGCATGTGTGTCTGTGTGTGTGTGTGAGAGAGAGAGAGAGAGAGAGAGAGAGAGAGAGAGAGAGAGATACGAAAAAAGAACAAAGACAAGATGTAGTGTACGAGAAAGTTTTTTTATTTCGAATTTAATTTTACATCAAAATTGACAGGAAGGACTTTCGTTAAAATGTGATATTTTATTATCTATGTGATATTTTAATATCTTCTTTTTGGAACACGAGTGCAGATATATACAAGTTGAAAGGGAAGGACTGCCTGGAAGATACCTCGGTAAATCAGAAGAAAATGACAAAATTTAGAAGTATATTAAAATTGTCCATATCACCCTTTTGTGGAAAAATGCAATTAAAAAATCAACTTTTAGAAAGAATCTTATCCCTCAAACATTAATTAGTTTTCGTCTATCATGAAAAACTTGTCATAGACAAGTATTGAGATGACAACACTTTCTTTAGCAAAAATGATATAACTGGTAATGATAGACCTACATACTCACACTTCCAGAGGAATATAGCAGTGTTGGTGTTGATGGGGCCCTACATCAACACAAACACATGCTATGATGAAAAGATCATGACCAATGACCTTACAGATTTGGCCAAAATCAATAAGGGTTGATCATGAACTTTCCAAATGTTCCTGTCAGTGTGGCCAGCACCAACAAGAACATGATCCTCCTCGGAGATATTCTAATGAGTATGTGGTCAATGATAACCAGAAATAACATAAACTCTGCAGAAATTGTTGTAAATGTTTATGTATTGATTACATGCATTAAAACTATAAACTAGTAGAACAAACGGCTTTATATATTTCATCCAAAATTACTGTAGGGTCAGCAGAGTAAATTTGGTTTTAAATTGATGAATTTTTAATGTATTTTCTTTTATAAATGAAATATTAAAATTTTCCATAAAAAAGCGCTCAAAACGAATTGAATATTAAATTGAAATTGCCCAAAATGTATCTTCCATGCAGTCATACAAGTGCTTATAAAGCAAGTGGTATTCAATGTAAATTCAAGTTGTTAAAAGGTTCTTAGAAATACTTTTGTATAGAATGCAAATAACAACAACAACAACAACAACAACAATAATAATAATAATAATAATAATAATAATAATAATAGCAATGAAAATTTGCAAACGCTCTTCGAAGGACTGAATGCCATGTTATGATATCATATACAATATATATACAATCAGGGGCACAAGTACTGAGCTACCACCCCAAACAGAACATTCTCAATACAGAACCAGTAAACGATGAACGCCTTGTAGAAGTGCGTATCACTTCTGATACCAGTGCATTGCTATTAACTCTTACTTTTCGACTACAAGGAGTAAACTCATCACCACAAAACTTAGAGCTGCCATATAGCTCTGTCTTCCTCAAAGCATCGGCGACACTTCTTGAAGTGTGCCTGTCACTGATAGGGTGCCAAGCAGAAATCAGAAGAGATCTAGGCATAGGCGTTTTACGAGCACGCCTACCCCTCATCCTCCACAGAGGATCAGCCACAATAATTTCCCCCCTTTCATTTCTCCCCTCACCACCACCATACAATGCTTTAGTAGCAACGGGAATACGACTAGGTTTGGGTATTCTTTGGATCACAACCGCTGGGCAATGTGCCCTCTCAGTAAAACGGAGACACCCGTTAACTGCTATAGGGATTCTAGACTTAAAGGTGGTGTTTCCAAAGACATTCTTAAATGTTTTCATGGCAAAGGTAAACAGCGTTGAAGCCATAGTAGCTAACGTTGTATTTGATACCTTAGTTTTGGATCTAAAGATGCCACCACATCCACATGGGCAATAATGTGCGTGGTAGTGGACTCCACTACGGGTGGATACAGTTGTACTACACATTTCTGTAAGGAGCAAAATTATCTTTGTTGTACATGACTGAGTGTGCGTAAATTTTAAGTCATAGTCAATGGACAAAAACATGCATCCAAGGTGTAGCATGGGGATGACTGAAGAATTTCTTTATCAAGTTCTCAGCAAAAACAGTAAAAAAAATCGGTTTCTCTAGGAACATGGCCAAACTACAGCAGCTTTCTTTGAAAAGGAAATATTTCGTTTCATGGAAACAAACAAACAAGGAAACAAATAAATAAATAAATAAATAAATAAATAAATAAATAAATAAAAAGGTAAATGGGAAATGAATGATCAAACAAATAAAAGTAGATTCAATGCATAATTCCTATGAGTTTTCAAAAAAAAAAAAAAGTTAAAAAAAAATGAAAACTAAAAATATCGATTTCTTAAAATTGCAGTTTTGAATACATAATATGCAGAATGACTCACCAATATCTTTTTTCAAGATACAGTGGTAAAATAAAGTTGAACAGGTGAAAACCTGAGGCTACTGACAGTTGAAAATGCTGAGAAATTCGCTGTGAAGTGACGTAAGTCTGTTCACTGTGCAAGCTCGTTGTCAACTGACGCTCGTGGAGCGCGCTCGCTTTATATACTATGGCGTAATGATCTGTCAGTTACCTTGACGATATCCGAAAAACAAAATAGTGTTGGGATTTACTTTCAGTTTTGTATATGTTCATCAAAGGAAAAATAGGTAAGACAATAGAAATAATTTGATGAAATGAAAATAGCTTTTCTGACCATCAATAGATAGGTTAATTTCGTGTTCCGTCGAGTTTCAAAATTATTGAAAAATGACGTGCTTAGGTCTGTTGCCAAAACAAAAATTTTGGCAATATGCCAAGTAACGTCACCAACTGACGTCAGTATTTGGCAACTAGCCAATGACATAAATGCCAAACGTCGTGAATGCAACGTAAGTTACGTAACGTATCAAGACGTCACATTTGAAAGTAACGTTGTGGATAAAATTTCACTAATCTACGATTCGTTTTTAAATGAATCTAGATCTAGGGCAAAATGTTGTTGTTGTTGTTGTTGTTGTTTTTAAATATTATTATTATTATTATTATTTCGACAATGTGAAATTGCATCCGATTAAAAAACATGCTTAACGAATGCAGAGGAGAAAAATCAATTCAATCCCCCTCTCTCTTTTAAAATAAATTGTAGCCTAATCTAGCCTATAACAGGTCTACGAATCGATCAAATTTAATCAAGAAAAATATGCTAATAGAGGAATAGTATCCTGAAAACGATAGACCTATGTTTTCATTATGTAGCAAAAGTAGACATTGTATGGATTATTGAAGTTTAAGTGGCCAAAGATTTGTGTTTTTGTTGAAATTTATGAAGACCGCGAGAAGTGGGGGCTCATATCTGCCTGTCTCTTGTGGGCCTATAAGCACTCATCTTTCTGGATACTATTCTTGGTGTCTCGGTTGAAGACGAGGCATTGTCCGAAGTTCAGCTGATCTGTGACCATGGAAGTTTATTTAGATAAACTTCCATGGTTTGAGTCGATGAATGCAATTTCTAATTAATGCATGCTTGTGTTCTCCTCGGTGTAAAGAAATTCATCAGAAAAATACTGTCATCCAAAAATTCTATGATTGTGCATACAATTTTTGTTTAAGCAAATTAATGCAATATCAGCAAAGACCATTGTCCCCGTTTGGACCGTCTTGCAAAGCGCAACGTCAGCAACGTAACAATTCATCTACATCATAAATGCGGTTTTTAGTAGATATGTTGCTATAACCACCGGATAAGCTTCATCCAACTCAACTCAGAATATTTAGATTTTTAATGGATATTTCAAAAAGAGGACAAAGAAACTTCTTCAAATCGGTGAGTACTAATATCTATTTCAAAATCGATCGATAAATAAGTAGATCTAGGCCTATACATCATGAATCGGCAAAAGGTTTCTTTCAGAAAAAAAAATAATAAAATAAAAATCTTAAGCACTAGTAATAATTATGAATTCAATATAAATCTCCATAACATTCACCTATAATTATAAAAATTATATGAAATCATCATCATCATCATCATCAGTCACACTAAAGACCCAACTTCTTCAAACGAGGTAGTCTTTATTTTTCCCTTGTTGACTGTCTTCGAAGACCATCGTTCTTGGCACCAGAATTTCTGCAATATTTAAGGGAATTTATGATGATATTCGAAGGCCACAATGAAGCAAGCATACACATACATTGAAGTGATATTCAAAGTTAGATACACCTGACAGCGGAATACGCACTTTGACAGAGAATTATTTTGTCTAATAAAACTCACAAATTCTTCATCTAGCCACATAAACTTTGCGACTGAAAGCCCTGTAATGATGTTGTATATTTTACCATCAAGCACTACAAAAACCAAATCAAGTTCGTAGGCCTACCTACATGCATTAAACGCAATGACAATAACCGTCCGATTTACACACGCCACTGGTCTGGCCGTCATTCTTTTCCCGACACAACTTGTCGCATTGATAGTTCAGTGTCCCGACTGAAGTACCGTAGTATTTTCCCGCGTCTGCACATTTGTTAGAACACCTGCACACAAACCAAACTTCGGCACCGGTGAGGAACTTATTACCCGTGTCAGTGAGGCCATTTCTACACCTGTAGTGGCAATTATCAGCGACTGAAAATAATGGATATGAAATAAAATACCGTGGAAAGGGATTTTTGAACATAAATTTGTTGTACTGTTTGATTTCACGATGCAAAACAGTCGTTAAATAATTGAAAAAAAATACAAGTTCCATGTGCAAAACTTGATAAATGTTACAATTCTACAAACAATTATAGTATATTCGAAATAGTTTCTATTCAAACCGACGATATCAATCTTAAAAGGCGTGCATCAATGGAGCTGCGATTTTATTTCTCGATCGTGAATATCAATTTAATAATTGCTTCCATCGATATATGAATTGTATATTGGGGCTTTCTTAAATGTCTCCGCGCGGCATAGGGCGTGCTGGGTAGGTTCATTAAAAAAAAAAAAAAAAGCAATAAGACAGAAAATACAAACAAAACTTCCAAAAGAATACAGTCAAACCTGCTGTCACAAAATTCATGACACTCATAGTAAGAATAAAATATTAATAAAAAGCTACTTACCAGAGATTGTCACCACAGATATGACGACCATCAGAAACACCACACACTTCATCGTTTTGAAAATTTGAAGAAGCTGCCAAAAAAGCTCAGTTGTACAGAGTCTAAATGTTGAATTGTAGAACTCTGCAGAATGCTGTAGCTCTTGGTATTTATAAGGTAGAATAATCTTTCCATCACGACATCCAAATTTTTATCATTATGCCAATGCGACGTAATTTGGAAGGAAGGTCGGATTATCTAGACAGGTGTTCGATTCTCGCAAGTTTAAAAACAATGTTCAAAACATCGTATTTTATAGAGCATATTTTTACAACTAACATCACACATAACTTTTAAGATTAAAATTGATACGACTAGCAAAGAGGCAACACTAAGGTGGTGGCCAGTGTTGTAAAAATACTGAAGAAGATCACGAGAGCATAATTTTTAAAGCATCCAATAAAATGTTCCTGTGACCTTGAATTGGTAACCTAGGGAAGGTTGAATGATCTCAGTGACAAATCGTGTTCAATGTCATAAATAAAGATATACGATATACGCAGTTACATGGAGTCCTATGATAAGATCAAGGCCACGAACAACCCTTAAATGCCAAATACTTTGTTAAATATGAGTGGACTAAATTGGTCGAAATGAACTGCATACGACAAGAAACTTATTGTATCTTGTAGATCCAAAATGTAAGTTAGTTACAAACACTTTTGGTGTTGAAAAAAGAAACAATTCACGTTAATTTTCATTGGGTTTTTATTTATTCTTGATACGTTCTGGGTGTGTTCCACGTCCTTTGTTTCTTGTAAACATTTTCTTTTTGCGTGGTGATGTTACTACAACAACCGGATAACCTAGGGCCGTTTTCTTCATTTAACTTTTAAAAATAATCTATTCAAACAATGCTCATTTCAGCAGAAGGACAAAGAAACACATTTATTGTGACGAGGTTTCTAATGGTTTAATTTTCGTGCAGCGTGAAACACCTCTGAAAACGTGTCCTCTTCCACAACTAACAGAACTAGCCAAAGGGAACAAAGTGCATTTCATTTATACTTTTTATAGCCCTATAACACAGAATACCATTAATGGGATGAGTGTGGCTAGAATGAAGTTAATCTGATAAAGCATTTTGAAAGAGTAAAAGATGTCCCTGAAACATTTTTATCTATTTCATCTTTTTAATGGGAGTTTGCCTTGTTTACAGGGACAGGAAATACTTCAGTATGTAAGGGCGTTCATCAAAGAGAAAGGCTAGTTCATAAGTTCCAAAAAACAGGACCAACTACTTTTAAAAACATTACCAGGATCCCCGAGCGGGGAGGGGGACAGGGGAAGTCTGACAGAGTTTGAATAAAAAAAAAGTGATCAAAGGGCCAATGAAGTAACTGAACTTATTTTAATATGCACTTTTACCTTTTTTTTTTTTTTTTGATAATAGGCTCAGACAAAAGAATTCCATGAAAAGTGATTCTGTTCAAAACTGATATATCACTGACAGTTTTGAAACCCACAAAGAGTCTTTTTTGATTAAAGATAATTAACAACTCATAGTACTGTCACAATGTATCAAACCAATGCCATCTTCTACCAGCCAGATAATCAGTCCGATTTTTCTTGAACATCAATATATCACCAATTAAGGAAATTTATAAGGATTCTCCTGGTACAGGCACCACTTACATTAATGAGAAAAATGAACAATTAGTTGGCAGATAGCATGCATCTAGTGCTGCTTCCACCATCTGCCACCTTTCAGAGACAACCATTAATGATTGCTTATTTAATCTCAGTAATACCTGAATAACCAACAACAATCAGAGTGATACCCTATACAAACCCTTCCCAATTACTCCACCGAGTCGTACTATACTGTAAAACAGGGCACATAAAAAGGAAACCCTTGAAATTTTTTGTCTATTACCTGTTATTCAAAGGTAAATTTTAATTTAAAACATTTTATTATTTCACATTACGAGGCCCTATCCATTAAAGTGGGATGAATGTTAAGCTGGATAATCTTCATTGTTCTCATGGTATTGTAAACATTTTATCTGGGATGCAATATATATAACATCAGTATATTGGTTCCTCGTTTCAAGTTAAATATAGGGTATACAACATGACAACACTGTTACTAATGACCGTTTTTATTATTATAAATAAAATCCCATTTTCATAAATGAAATGAGATGGCCAAACCCAAACAATGAATACAGTATGACCCTCCTTTTAGGAGTCCATCACATCAGTATCGCTTTTGTTATGCCAGTATCCTTTTTCTCTCAACTGTTTTACTTCCATAACTCACATAAATAGAAATCATTTACAGCATCCCTAACAGGAACCTGAGGAACCTCTTCTTTTTTTGAGAACTATTCTTGTTAGCAAGACTTTACAAAGTCATAGAATTTTGCAATAATACTAAAAGCAAAGTAAAATCTGAAATTAAAGATCACTTACGAATATCAATGCCATTCAAAATGATTGCATATATTCAGTGTAGAGGGTGGACATATATCAACCTTAAACAGGTGACAAGAAAGAACTTTTTTCTCCAAGTTACAAGAAAATCAGCAGATACATTTGGCATCAAATCGCATGACATGAAACAAGATCATTTCTTTGTTTAAGTTTTAAACTCACTGTTATACCCATCATTTAAAATCACACTTGCATTGATGGTTGTTTTCTATAGGAATGTCAAAGTTGTTGTGTTAACTTGACCAATGACTGATATAAAAAAAACTACTGTAATGACTGGTAGTGAAAGCCAAAGCCTGAAAACACTGCCAAGTTCACCTTCAGATCCCATCTGTCACATTATTCCTCAGCCTTACTTAGTGATGGTAGCAACCTGCTTTAGTCCTTTCTTGGCAGCTTGGTGTATGTTTGCCTCTAATTTATCTGGAAAGATATAGTGTTCCTAATCTGATAAACTTTTTACATTAATAACAATTGGTTTTATCCAAGTTCAATCAGAACATTTGAGTATTCACAGATATGTATATCAGATCTACCTTGTTGTGAAGCATTCTTGCTTGTAGTTATATCATGTAATATTTACAAAATTGAAATAATAATATAACGCAATATAAATGTCTTTGTACTATTAGTGCAATTGTAAAAACCTCAAACATAAATAAATAAATCAGTAAATAAACAAATAAATAAATTAAAATGTAGTATATAGATACACAACTAAATACATTGGAAAATTATGCTGTCTTAAAGTGCCAACCTTCTCTCTAAACATTTAAAGCTGAATTAATAAAATAAACGTATTCTTACAAATTTTATGCTTTCCCTTGATTGGAAATTTAAGCACTAATTCCTGTGGAGACTCACAAATGAATACATACGGTGATGAGGATTCTCCGTCTGGGAACTGAAATAATAAATCAGGGTGATCAAAATGTGGAATATGTAAAATTGTTGTTCATTGTGACACAATCCGATACAAGATCTATGCTTCAATGTGTGAATTTTCTTTGATTATTTTTGCTGCCCTATAATTAAAGAGGTGCTCAAGTAATACTGTGGTAAAAATACAAGTTCTATTACTTCTGTACTAATCCTTTACAAGTTACCAAATATGAAAACTGTTTATTTATAGATGGTCATTAATATGCTCTAATTATTAGAGGTAACAAATGAAGTTTTTTCTCAGTACTTTAAGTGGCTGTCTGTGTTTTTGTGTTAGGTGGACCTACTTTTTCTCTATATTGGTCCTGTGGTAATACGTCCTGCACATCAACACAGCCTAGCAAACAGCCAGTGGGGTACATTTTGGGGAAATTTAAAGTACAATCTAAAAAAGAAAAATAAATTGGATAAGTTCAATAAAAATTTTTTCTAAGTTATTAGTAAAACCATACTTGTGAAAATTAAAATGGTCGTTTCAGATTATTTTCCCTTTATCTATAGATTCTTTCTTTGGACTAGTTGATACTGATTAGAAATAATTTTTTAAAAAGCCTTTTAGTTTGAGTAACTGAAAAGTTTAATGCACAGATGTGTTAGGGATTCATTGTAAACACTTGGCATTCACAGACAGCTTAGTTGCATTAGGAGATCTTGGTTTTCAAGTTCATTTAAAGCTAGAGTTGTGAGAAGTGATATGTGAAATCTACACATTCACATATTGTCAACTACAGGCAATGCTTATTTTCTTCCCTGGTATACTTGCTTTGCCAATTGGATAGAAATTTGCTTTGTTCCAGGAAAAATTTGAGCTGTTATTTGATTACATGACAAAAGGGCATTAAAACAATTTGATAGTTTTTGCAGTGTATGTTAACAAAGGATAAAGATATAAGTGATACTTATTTAGCTCAATGTGTGTTTAAACCAAAAATGAAAAATAACAAATATATAAAGAAATTGCTATGTGCAAGTCAACTACTTTCATACAATTAACTCCAATCCACTTATCCATATCAAACTTGTGATGCTTTTTCAAAATTATTTTCTAAATGAAAACTTTTTATATTTCAAAATTGTAAACTGACGCCGTACTTTGATACTGTAATCTGTACTCCTGTTCTAGTGTAGCTATAACTTCTGGTTCTGGACTTTTTGAAGTGGCAGCTATCCACAGGCGTCCTCTATGGGGGGAATACCAGCTCCGTCCCTCATGCCTGAAACAATCAATCAAATGTTAATCGAGCTAAAACTTAAAACAGTGCGAAATAAACATAGGTCCTCTCCTGATTATGTACCACCAGCAGTAAAAAGTAAGTTGATAGTTGTATACAAATGACTCAATACATATCGATACTTAGAATGCTCTTTGACAAAGAAATTAAACAAATATATACTTTGGTAGTTCAAAAGAATGCATGTTAAAATACACAACAGTCCCTTCATTCAGAGTATATCAATACAATCGGCAAAGGTTCATAATTAATGAAAAGATCCATTATTATTATTTATACATTTTTAAATTAAATTTTTAAATATTTATTCACTTGTTAATTAATTAATTCATTCATTCATTTATTTTTGCTAAAATGATGGTGCACAAGGCCTTAATTTGTCTTTTAAAATGACAGGTTTCCTGCAAAAATTTGTAGGAACTTGCAACCAACTAAGCTCGACATGATGAAAGAAAAAATTCTGCTTACATTTTTATTCCTTGGATGAGTAAAGAGGCCCAGGGCTGGTGCATGCTGAGACACATTCCCTCATCCGACATCTCCTGGAGTTCCCGATCCTGGAGTCTCACTGCTGAACGTTTGTCCACAGGTTTGTTGGTTACATCTGATGAGGCTGGCACCCTGTCTGGCACTTCTGTTGCTACGAACTGGAAATAGAGAAAATGGCAATGTTCAAATAAGACAATGGAGCAGCTGTCAAACCTACAGACCTAATTCGGAATACAGACAGAAATGGGCATGAAAACTTTTAGCTAAGGACAAAATGAGGAAACAACTGGGAAAAAGCTAGGAAATCTTCAACACCCAGATCGTGACAGAAAGCAGTGGGAAATCTTTGTTGGTGCCCTATACACCAGATGGTGTAAAAAGAATAGAAGAAGAAGAAAATGAGGTTTAAGTTTCACTACAAGTTATGACACTTAAAAGGAAACAAAAAATTTCCTTGAGGTCTAACAACAATGGACATGCATAAAATTCATCAGTTGTTTCTTCAAAATATACAGCGTAAACATCCACATAAATCTTGTCGTTGTTCTTTGCTTAATGTTGTATTTTTATTATAAAGTATATCTGTGCACCAGATATCGTAACAGCATGAACATACAAGCGCTACCACACCTGCAGTACGCTGCTTACCTTTGGCGCTACCTGTCCAATGTGAGGATTAATGAGACTAGACTGATTAAGCGGCTGCTTATGGAGAGGTTGCTTAGGCTTAGCACCATAATAAATTTCCTGAACCACAGCATCTTCCCTCCCCGTGACTGTGTTGTCCATTTCCGCATCTAAAACTCTCCTGCCAGCAAAATCAAAGGTGATCTTCCTGTCCAGCCTAGACCCATGTCTCAACTGTCTTATTTCCTCTTCTCTTTTTGCCAATTTCTTTTTTTCGTCTTTTGACAGCCACTGGGTATCTACTGAATAATAGTCCGATTGGTCATCAATAACCTGTGTCCTTTTTGCACTGAAAAAAATTAATACATAATATGATGAAGACTATTCCAGTACTACTTTGTCATAATGACAATTAAAATGGCCATGGCAAAAAGGAAAACTTTTACATCGTTTTTTCAGAGCAAATCTAAAGACTCTACAGCTGCACACTGGTGATATAAAAATGTACAAAATAACTAACCACAAATTCTTTATCTAAGTTTACAGTTTTAACAATATATGATTGCTCTTTTTGTAAAGAGAATAAAAAAATGTCCCTATATCTGTTTACCTTGTTCTATCATATTCTAGCAGTTTAGCTTTGTGTTGCAAAGCAGCATCAAATTTTGACTTAGCATTAGGTTGAGTGAGGCGAAAAATCTCTTTGCTCCCATCACTGGCATCACTTTGGTCTCTAAGCAAAAACTGGCGTAGTTTTTCACTTTTTTTGGAACCTCTGGACAAAATCTCTTCCTCTTCCTTTGTACAGACCTAAAATTCAGATAAATACCATAACTAGAGTAACAATTGAAAAAACTGTCTGGTTTCAGTAACAGGAATCTCAAGTGTCTGTGAATTGGATACTCAAATGAAGTGAAAACTACAGCAGGAAAATGAGGTGCAAATTTTTCTCATACTATTGCCCTGCACTGAATAAGACTTCCAGCAATAAGTGACAAACAAATAAAATGTTCGACATAAAGAAACTTGATGACATTAAGCTTTTGAGGGATCCTAATTACAACTTTAACAGATGATGAAGTTCCTTACCAGGTGTCCACAAAACAGACAAGGGCCTGACCCTTCCTGGTCACATACTACTCGCCCACAGTGGACACAGTTGTTAATCAACTTGTGCTTGGCTGCTTGGCATTCACAAACATGACGTCCTGATATGGAAAACAAGGCAGCAAAGCTGTCAAATNTAGTAGCCAAAGGGAACAGTGCATTTCATTTATACTTTTTATAGCCCTATAACACAGAATACCATTAATGGGATGAGTGTGGCTAGAATGAAGTTAATCTGATAAAGCATTTCGAAAGAGTAAAAGATGTCCCTGAAACATTTTTTATCTATTTCATCTTTTTAATGGGAGTTTGCCTTGTTTACAGGGACAGGAAATACTTCAGTATGTAAGGGCGTTCATCAAAGAGAAAGGCTAGTTCGTAAGTTCCAAAAACAGGACCAACTACTTTTAAAAACATTACCAGGATGGGGGGAGGGGGGGGGACAGGGGAAGTCTGACAGAGATTGAATAAAAAAAAGTGATCAAAGGGGCAATGAAGTAGCTGAACTTATTTTAATGTTCACTTTTACCCCTTTTTTTTTTTTTTTTTTTTTTGATAATAGGCTCAGACAAAAGAATTCCATGAAAAGTGTTTCTGTTCAAAACTGATATATCACTGACAGTTTTGAAACCCACAAAGAGTCTTTTTTGATTAAAGATAATTAACAACTCGTAGTACTGTCACAATGTATCAAACCAATGCCATCTTCCACCAGCCAGATAATCAGTCCGATTTTTCTTGAACATCAATATATCACCAATTAAGGAAATTTATAAGGATTCTCCTGGTACAGGCACCACTTACATTAATGAGAAAAATGAACAATTAGTTGGCAGATAGCATGCAGCTAGTGCTGCTTCCACCATCTGCCACCTTTCAGAGAAAACCAATAATGATTGCTTATTTAATCTCAGGTATACCTGAATAACCAACAACAATCAGAGTGATACCCTATACAAACCCTTCCCAATTACTCCACCGAGTCGTACTCTACTGTAAAACAGGGCACACAAAAAGGAAACCCTTGAAAATTTTTGTCTGTTATCCTGTTATTCAAAGGTAAATTAACATATCATTATTTCACATCACGAGACCCTATCCATTAAAGTGGGGTGAACATTAAGCTGGATAATCTTCATTGTTCTTGTGGTACTGAATACATTTTATCTGGGATGCATTAACTAACATCAGTATATTGGTTCCTCGTTTCAAGTTAAATATAGGGTATACAACATGACAACACTGTTACTAATGACCGTTTTTATTATTATAAATAAAATCCCATTTTCATAAATGAAATGAGATGACCATGCCCAAACAATGAATACAGTATGACCCTCCTTTTAGGAGTCCATCACATCAGTAACGCTTTTGTTATGCCAGTATCCTTTTTCTCACAACTGTTTTACTTCCATAACTCACATAAATAGAAATCATTTACAGCATCCCTAACAGGAACCTGAGGAACCTCTTCTTTTTTTGAGAACTATTCTTGTTAGCAAGACTTTACAAAGTCATAGAATTTTGCAATAATATTAAAAGCAAAGTAAAATCTGAAATTAAAGATCACTTACGAATATCAATGCCATTCAAAATGATTGCATATATTCAGTGTAGAGGGTGGACATATATCAACCTTAAACAGGTGACAAGAAAGAACTTTTTTCTCCAAGTTACAAGAAAATCAGCAGATACATTTGGCATCAAATCGCATGACATGAAACAAGATCATTTCTTTGTTTAACTTTTAAACTCACTGTTATACCCATCATTTAAAATCACACTTGCATTGATGGTTGTTTTCTATAGGAATGTCAAAGTTGTTGTGTTAACTTGACTAATGACTGATATAAAAAATACTGTTATAACTGGTAGTGAAAGCCAAAGCCTGAAAACACTGCCAAGTTCACCTTCAGATCCCATCTGTCACATTATTCCTCAGCCTTACTTAGTGATGGTAGCAACCTGCTTTAGTCCTTTCTTGGCAGCTTGGTGTATGTTTGCCTCTAATTTATCTGGAAAGATATAGTGTTCCAAATCTGATAAACTTTTTACATTAATAATAATTGGTTTTATCCAAGTTCAATCAGAACATTTGAGTATTCACAGATATGTATATCAGATCTACCTTGTTGTGAAGCATTCTTGCTTGTAGTTATATGATGTAATATTTACAAAATTGAAATAATAATATAACGCAATATAAATGTCTTTGTACTATTAGTGCAATTGTAAAAACCTCAAACATAAATAAATAAATAAATAAATAAATAGTATATAGATCCACAACTAAATACATTGGAAAATTATGCTGTCTTAAAGTGCCAACCTTCTCTCTAAACACTTAAAGCTGAATTAATAAAATAAACGTATTCTTACAAATTTTATGCTTTCCCTTGATTGGAAATTTAAGCACTAATTCCTGTGGAGACTCACAAATGAATACATACGGTGATGAGGATTCTCCGTCTGGGAACTGAAATAATAAATCAGGGTGATCAAAATGTGGAATATGTAAAACTGATGTTCATTGTGACACAATCCGATACAAGATCTATGCTTCAATGTGTGAATTTTCTTCGATTATTTTTGCTGCCCTATAATTAAAGAGGTGCTCAAGTAATACTGTGGTAAAAATACAAGTTCTATTACTTCTGTACTAATCCTTTACAAGTTACCAAATATGAAAACTGTTTATTTATAGATGGTCATTAATATGCTCTAATTATTAGAGGTAACAAATGAAGTTTTTTCTCAGTACTTTAAGTGGCTGTCTGTGTTTTTGTGTTAGGTGGACCTACTTTTTCTCTATATTGGTCCTGTGGTAATACATCCTGCACATCAACACAGCCTAGCAAACAGCCAGTGGGGTACATTTTAGGGAAATTTAAAGTACAATCTAAAAAAGAAAAATAAATTGGATAAGTTCAATAAAAATTTTTTCTAAGTTATTAGTAAAACCATACTTGTGAAAATTAAAATGATCGTTTCAGATTATTTTCCCTTTATCTATAGATTCTTTCTTTGGACTAGTTGATACTGATTAGAAATAACTTTTTAAAAAGCCTTTTAGTTTGAGTAACTGAAAAGTTTAATGCACAGATGTGTTATGGATTCATTGTAAACACTTGGCATTCACAGACAGTTTAGTTGCATTAGGGGATCTTGGTTTTCAAGTTCTTTTAAAGCTAGAGTTGTGAGAAGTGATATGTGAAATCTACATATTCACATATTGTCAACTACAGGCAATGCTTATTTTCTTCCCTGGTATACTTGCTTTGCCAATTGGTTAGAAATATGCTTTGTTCCAGGAAAAATTTGAGCTGTTATTTGATTATATGACAAAAGGGCAGTAAAACAATTTGATAGTTTTTACAGTGTATGTTAACAAAGGAAACAGATATAAGTGACACTTCTTTAGCACAATGAGTGTTTAAACCAAAAATGAAAAATGACAAATATATAAAGAAATTACTATGTGCAAGTCAACTACTTTCATACAATTAACTCCAATCCACTTATCCATATCAAACTTGTGATGCTTTTTCAAAATTATTTTCTAAATGAAAACTTTTTATATTTCAAAATTGTAAACTGACGCCATACTTTGATACTGTAATCTATACTCCTGTTCTAGTGTGGCTATAACTTCTGGTTCTGGACTTTTTGAAGTAGCAGCTATCCACAGGCGTCCTCTATGGGGGGAATACCAGCTCCGTCCCTCATGCCTGAAACACACAATCAAATGTTAATCGAGCTAAAACTTAAAACAGTGCGAAATAAACATAGGTCCTCTCCTGATTATGTACCACCAGCAGTGAAAAGTAAGTTGATAGTTGTATACAAATGACTCAATACATATCGATACTTAGAATGCTCTTTGACAAAGAAGTTAAACAAATATATACTTTGGTAGTTCAAAAGAATGCACGTTAAAATACACAACAGTCCCTTCATTCAGAGTACATCAATACAATAGGCAAAGGTTCATAATAAATTAAAAGATCCATTATTATTATTTTTCAATTTTTATTCACTTGTTAATTAATTAATTAATTAATTCATTTATTTATTTTTGCTAAAATGATGGTGCACAAGGCCTTAATTTGTCTTTTAAATGACAGGTTTTGGCAAAAATTTACACGAAACTGCAACCAACTAAGCCCTACATGCAGAAAAAAAATTCTGCTTACATTTTTATTCCTTGGACAAGTAAAGAGGCCCAGGGCTGGTGCATGCTGAGACACATTCCCTCATCTGACATCTCCTGGAGTTCACGATCCTGGAGTCTCACTCCTGAGCGTTTGTCCACAGGTTTGTTGGTTATATCTGATGAGGCTGGCACCCTGTCTGGCACTTCTGTTGCTACGAACTGGAAATAAGACAATGACACTGTTCAAATAAGACAAAGAGGCAGCTGTCAAACCTACAGACCTAATTCGGAATACAGACAGAAATGGGCATGAAAATTTTTAGCTAAGGACAAAATGAGGAAACAACTGGGAAAAAGCTAGGAAATCTTCAACACCTAGATCGTGACAAAAAGCAGTAGGAAATCTTTGTTGGTGCCCTACACACCAGATGGTGTAAAAAGAATAGAAGAAGAAGAAAATGAGGTTTAAGTTTGACTACAAGTTATGACACTTAAAAGGAAACAAAAAATTTCCTTGGGGTCTAACAACAATGGACATGCATAAAATTCATCAGTTGTTTCTTCAAAATATACAGCGTAAACATCCACATAAATCTTGTCGTTGTTCTTTGCTTAATGTTGTATTTTTATTATAAAGTATATCTGTGCACCAGATATCGTAACAGCATGAACATACAAGCGCTACCACACCTGCAGTATGCTGCTTACCTTTGGAGCTACCTGTCCAATGTGAGGGTTAATGAGACTAGACTGATTAAGTGGCTGTTTATGGAGAGGTTGCTTAGGCTTAGCACCATAATAAATTTCCTGAACCACAGCATCTTCCCTCCCAGTGACTGTATTGTCCATCTCCGCATCCAAAACTCTCCTTCCGGCAAAATCAAAGGTGATCTTCCTGTCCAGCCTAGAGCCATGTCGTAACTGTCTAATTTCCTCTTCTCTTTTTGCCAATTTCTTTTTTTCGTCTTTAGACAGCCATTGGGTATCTACTGAATAATAGTCTGATTGGTCATCAATAACCTGTGTCCTTTTTGCACTGAAAAAAATTAATACATAATATGATGAAGACTATTCCAGTACTACTTTGTCATAATGACGATTAAAATGGCCATGGCAAAAAGGAAAACTTTTACACCGTTTTTTCAGAGCAAATCTAAAGACTCTCCAGCTGCACACTGGTGATATAAAAATATACAAAATAACTAACCACAAATTCTTTATCTAAGTTCACAGTTTTAACAATATATGATTGCTCTTTTTGAAGAGAGAATAAAAAATAATTTCCCTATATCTGTTTACCTTGTTCTATCATATTCTAGCAGTTTAGCTTTGTGTTGCAAAGCAGCATCAAATTTTGACTTAGCATTAGGTTGAGTGTGGCGAAATATTTCTTTGCTCCCATCACTGGCATCACTTTGGTCTCTAAGCAAAAACTGACGTAGTTTTTCACTTTTTTTGGAACCTCTAGACAAAATCTCTTCCTCTTCCTTTGTACAGACCTAAAATTCAGATAAATGCCATAACTAGAGTAACAAATGAAAAAAAACTGTCTGGTTTCAGTAACAGGAATCTCAAGTGTCTGTGAATTGGATACTCAAATGAAGTGAAAACTACAGCAGGAAAAGGAGGTGCAAATTTTTCTCATACTATTGCCATGCACTGAATAAAACTTCCAGCAATAAGTGACAAACAAATAAAATGTTCGACATAAAGAAACTTGATGATATTAAGCTTTTGAGGGATCCTTATTACAACTTTAACAGATGATGCAGTTCCTTACCAGGTGTCCACAAAACAGACAAGGGCCTGACCCTTCCTGGTCGCATACTACTCGCCCACAGTGGACACAGTTGTTAATTAACTTGTGCTTGGCTGCTTGGCATTCACAAACATGACGTCCTGACATGGAAAAAAATAGGTTAAAATAAGATTTGATAAAAGTGTGCATATGAAAAAAATAAGAGCAAATGAAAGCAAATGAACGATTTGCGAATAGGAGTAAGCAAAACCAGAGGTGAATATGAAAATAATAATATGACAAGAATAATATAAATAAGAGTTAGCAAAAGCAGAAATTTCAAACAGGTTCTTAAGTTTTATATTTTATGTCACAGTAACTTGAAACTGTACTTCAGTTATCTTTTAAACAAACTAAATAGATTTCATATGGTGATAAAAAATATAACCATCATTCCACCACATTAAATACATGATGAGGGAAAGTGAAATAACAACTTTAAAACAAGCAGTGAACAAAACTCAATACACAAAATGGTCAAAAACATGCCACAAGAAACAGTTTACCAAAAAAAAAAAAAAAAAAAAAAAAAAAAAAAAAAAAAAAACTGTACCTTGAATTAAAAAGATCTTATCTGAGAAGATGGTGTTATTTATAATCAAGGAGTTTGGAACTCTGCTTACCCTACCATACTTCAGGGCTTACTCTACTTACGTTACCCTATCAACAACAACTAACAACAACTGAGATTACCTGAAATTTTAACAGTCATTCGGTCTTGACCTTCTTGACTGTACAGTGGCACAAATTTTTGCTTATTCTTTCCCGCAGTTCCATCAGAATATTTGGCACTATTTTCCTGAAAGCACTTAAAATCTTTATTATACATATTTTATTGACATGGTAGTATGACTACAGCCTGCCTAATATACATATGTTTCCTAACTTCAATAATGACTTTAACCACTGGCCCAACTGCAAATGCCAGTAAATATTGCACTGAGCCAGTGAAATTTCTGAAAATCAATCAGCTGTAACAAGTACTCCAATTTGATTTATTAATGTTCAGAATAAATGTTGAAATCCTTTTCTTAAATAACCTTTTGAAAATCCCATGTTTGTGTTCTCATTTGTAATAGGAAGCCTGCTTATCTCAATGTGTTAGTCTAAGTATTTTTTTTTTTTTTTGAAAATTGGACTAGGGCCAGTTAATTGAAGACTTCCAAGAAAAAAAAAAAAACTAACATGCCTTTTTTTGGTGATAGTCTAAACAATCTTACCACACTTTCTGGTTTTAAATCCTTTGGCTGGTCCACTATTTGTTTATCCCTGTTTTTCTTTTTGCTTTTAGATTTTTCTGGTGCTTGATGAAAGTCATTTTCACTTGAATTTTTCTTATAAACCTAAAATTGAAAACTATATTTATTCATAACTAGTGCATTGCATGTCTGATTGCCAGTAAGCAAAACGAAACCCAGACTTAATCAATTTTGAACCCTCCCTGACAAAGATCTCAAAGACATAGTATATCTCTAAACAGAAACGAACCTCCTCTAACCAAGGAGTTCCAACAGTTGGATAATATAACAATACCCTATAATGGGATTCTAAAACAAAATAAAAACGACAGATTAATGCAGGTATAAAATTTCTTTGTGCTAGAAGTGACATTTAAACATAAATAAATAAAAAATAAATAATAATAATAATAAAATATTACCTGAACATTATCTGGCACCTGTACTGATGGATGAGACTTTTTCAGCAGTTCATTGATGAACTTTCTGTTCTTTGGATCTGTACCATCAAGTAGCTCAAGCATATATTCTTCAAGGTCTCTGGCATTTTCTATAGCTAAAATATACCTTTTAAAATAAAAAAAAAATGTATGTTACACGTTAACATGGCTTTTCAATGCAAAAGAGATTTTTTTCTCGTTAAAACATTATCATAAACAGAGCCTTTCAACGGAAACAAACAAAACAGTGAAACCTCAAAGTACTTGAGTTTCATGTATTGTGGTTGTGGATCATATTGAAAACAACAGCGTTGCCTACAGTTGAATGTCTATACCAATAGCGGAAAATACGATATCGGCCACTCCACTACGAGACAACAGATAGGACACACCTGATCGTTCGAGTCCTCAATCTACCAGTATTCCCTGACCATTATATATATCTACTTGATTATATAACACTTTGTAGCTGACATTCGGCACCAGTGCTAGAGTAGTTATTGGATCAAGGAGCGATTGGGAATACATGTACAAGTGGACTATAAGATAAGCTGTTCACGCCCCTAATCAGGGTGTAATGAACGCCTTTACATGTTATTTAGACTGTAGCTACCACAAGGATAAATGACTTCGGCAACACTGGTTCACTTCACATGTGTCTTGTGTGAGACATGACAGCCCTGCAAATATATCACAACATGAACCAATAATTTTAGTATCCGAAAAAAAGGTAACCATGTGCCAATCGGGGGCATCTCAATTGTCTGAAGGTTTATTGGTCATAAAAAAAAATTGTAGCATTTCCATCACTTATTTAATAAAGGGTATGTTCGTCCGATGTGTAGCGATTTGGGCGGAGAAAACACCGAGGCTTGACTGGGACTTGAACCCGGGACTCTCGCAAACCGTGCGACTGCTCTTACCGACTGAGCTACCGAGCCCGGGACAATCCCGGCCAGCCACTACAGATAGTCCAATACTAAACATTCGGACTATTGAACCTACGGCCCCTGCCAATCTCTTTGCCTCAGTTTTCGGCCTTACAAGCTCACGGTACCCTTACCGCTGGTAAGGCCTCATAGCAGTATGTACAAAAAACTTGAGACACTTAAGTACCTGAAAGTATCCACGTTATGACAATCTCTGTGGGTCTTCTGTTGCACCTTGTAGTATGTAAATCCAATTAAAAGTGTTTTCGTATACCTTCAAGCACGATGTTCATAAAGTTTTGGTCATTTTATTTCAGCTTCCTCCTGCACCGACACAACAGCACGCCATATTGTGGTACACTTGCAGAAAGGACGACCACCTTTTCAAGGTCGACCTCGAAATGGAGTTGACCTGTTTCATGTTTCCAATGTAAACTTTTAGCGCCCTCGGGTGACGAGTTGTGAAAAATGGTGTTTGATCCATGTAGGCGACCTAGCTCCAGTTATAATGTTTTACAAGCATTTGGCCATCCATTTGCGCTTCTGTCGAATTTGGCTTACCTTTGCCTTAAAACCTACATGAATAAATATTTGAGAAATTATAGTATTTTATAGCAATAAAAATATATTTAAAAATCACATATTGTTTTATTTTTTATTATTAGTAGTATTATATTTTCGCCCTAAATCAAAATACATACATGAATTACATTAAAAGGAAAAAACTTTTTAATTTTTTTTATCAATTTCTTTATTTTTTATTTTTATTTCTTTATTTTATTTTATTATTTATGGATGATATGCTCAAGCTCTGGTGTATCGAACACTACTGGGAGATGAAAAAAAAAAAATAATAAAATTAAATAAAATAAATAAATAGATTGCAGCTCAATTCAAAAATACAAGACTGGAAATGAAAAATGAACCGCAAAACAAATAGGAGTCATTCAACCCCAAAAAGTTACCAGTCATTTATTTCATTTTTGCATCACACAAACGACTTCAAGGCCTCTGTACATCTTATAATCTCTTCCTCAAATGAAGTAAAAATTAAGAAATTGATAAAAAATAAGTAAAAAGTTTTTTCCTTTTTATGTAATTCATGTATGTATTTTGATTTAGGGCAAAAATATAATACTACTAATAATAAAAAATAAAACAATATGTGATTTTTAAATATATTTTTATTGCTATAAAATACTATAATTTCTCAAATATTTATTCATGTAGGTTTTAAGGCAAAGGTAAGCCAAATTCGACAGAAGCGCAAATGGATGGCCAAATGCTTGTAAAACATTATAACTGGAGCTAGGTCGCCTACATGGATCAAACACCATTTTTCACAACTCGTCACCCGAGGGCGCTAAAAGTTTACATTGGAAACATGAAACAGGTCAACTCCATTTCGAGGTCGACCTTGAAAAGGTGGTCGTCCTTTCTGCAAGTGTACCACAATATGGCGTGCTGTTGTGTCGGTGCAGGAGGAAGCTGAAATAAAATGACCAAAACTTTATGAACATCGTGCTTGAAGGTATACGAAAACACTTTTAATTGGATTTACATACTACAGGGTGCAACAGAGGACCCACAGAGATTGTCAGAACGTGGATACTTTTAGGTACTTAAGTGTCTCAAGTTTTTTGTACATACTGCTATGAGGCCTTACCAGCGGTAAGGGTACCGTGAGCTTGTAAGGCCGAAAACTGAGGCAAGCCAATCTCTGCACTAAGGACGGTAGTCAGTGAAAGAAAAGAGGGCTGGTGTCTGCTGCCCGTGTGGAGCATTTGCTAATCAGGCAGTGCACAAAATTGGGTGCTGTGACAACATCCTACCAAGCTGTAAAGGCCTGGCTGCAGTTAATAAACACCGCATATGTTAACATGTAACAACATTGTGCAATCCTACGTCGCCGTGTAAACAAAATCACTTATGTGACAAATTATGACACAATATTTTATCTCCAAAAGAAACATATTATGATGATAGATATTACATATAAAAAGATAATTACCTTGCTATGTCTTCTGTCGCCTCAAAACCTAATAATTGAGACAGCTCGCGACAAATCCAATGAACTATGGGCGCAGACATTTTGGAAATCCCATCATGCTTTAGCGGACGAATAATATTTTCTCCAATTTTATTTTAAAAAGATAATAATCTGCCAATCAGTTATTATGTTATCTTTAATGGTTATATACAAGAATAAGAAGTTATAGTAGTATTTATTTTTGCATCTTTACATTAACTATCGTTTGACATTCGAGACTACATCATAAAAACGCGGGAATTAAGCAAATCAAGAACGTGGGAAAAATAGGCATCCATACATTTCTCTGTCTAGTTAGCAGTAAAATTGGAGCACAATGGTCAGGACAAAAGCCAGTTGTTCTACAGTGAAAGGTAGCCACATTTTGTGAAACGCATTATATTATTTAATATAATATATTAAATATATGCATGCCAGTATGTATGATAATGCAACCATAAAGTGAATGATAGCTGAGGAACAAGTGTTAGGTGTTTACTGCTGTAATAAATATTTGAAGATCAGGTTGTCTCTTAAACAGAAACATTGCATTTAGATATTTTATCTTTGTATCTTTGTAGCTGTTGCAGCAAAAGCTCCAAGAAAAGCACTGGCAGCTGTCCCTGCTTCTGCAGATAGTCCATCATCAACAGGTTAGTTAGAATCAGATATCAGTACATGTTTCAGGTACAGTTTACCAGGCTGAGGCCGACTAGTTGATGACATGTTTTTATTTATTTATTTATTTATTTATTATTTTTTTTTTTCAAAATTTCTCCCAGTGCAGATTGAGGATTTTAGTGTAGACCGAGTTCCTAATAAATTACTTTTATCCTTGTATGAAAATTATTACTTTTGTAAGAATCATTGCTCTTTTTAAAATTTTTACTAGGAAAGGGGAAATATGCGGGTGGCAATCCAGCACACCCAAGGCCTACACCATCTTGGCAGAAAGGATTGGATTCATTTCTACTCAGATCACCAAGTGGGAAAGGAAAGGAGAACAGAGATGACGAAGGGCCAAGTGCATCAACAAGGTATGCCAAAATGTACCATGGCCAATGTAGGCCCCTGTCTTTGTCTAATTGAAGCTCCTCTTGAGACACAGTGGCTATGATACATTAGTTTTAAAAGAAAAGCTTGAATTAGACAAATAAACAGAATCTTATGAGCCTTGCTGTTTTGTTTTAAACAAGATAAGTGAATTGTCAGACCAAAGATTTCCATGATTTGAATTTGTATTTGCATTGTACACATTCCCTAACATTGGGCCTTACTTTACAGATTTTTTAAAACTTATAATTATGGATACTGGATAAAAATAACTATATCCTTGTATTAAACTAGTTGTTTCTTTTTTGATGAAGGTGAAGACCTTTACATTAGACAGTATATAGTGTCTTGCTGTTGAAATGGCCTCTAAGCTATCTCTTTTATGACTTTATCATATTTTATTTCAGTTCAGGAAATGAGAACAAGGCTAAATCAAAACTCCCTACCAAAAGCAAAGCAACAAGAGCAGTTAGTGACAGTGGCAGTGATGATGAAGTGATTCCAGAAAAGAAACCTCTAATTGAAAGTGATGAGGATGAGTGATTTGTTGCTTATATTGGTAAAAGTAAATATTAGCGAAAGCTGAAGTGAGATCTGTGTGCAGATCAGTGAGCTAACCAGGCATGTTGAGCAACACTCCGCTTGAAAGAAATTATGGACACATTTCATCATTCTTGTATACTGCAAGAATCCAAGTACTGCAGGGATTTGGAATTTATGCTAATAGTTTTTGTACCTCTCCCCCAATCCAATAAATAAGGGAAGGGGGGGGGGGGAGTATATGGAAACCAGGTTGTCCGTCCACCTGTACATAATCATTAAGCAATTTCCCCATGATTCATAAATGATTAAAAACAAACTATCTACGCAATAACATAATTAAATGTCTCTCTAGGACCTGTTATACAATTTTATGCCAAATTCTGTAGCATATTAATGGTGCATCGTGGTATATATTTTTCAATGTTTAAGCACAATTTTAGAATATTTAAAATGTGGACTTTGAAGTTTGTACTCACTATTTTCAATTTAGTCTGTCCCCCCAACAAAGGTCGTTTAATTTCAATAAAACCTTTTTATGAATTTGCACATTGTTTAAAGTATATCTATGTACCTGGGTATTCGGCACACGGTCTAGGATTCTCTTCAGGTCTATCCAGATGTATCAATAACCTGTTAATGTGACTATTTGAGGAGCTGGAGTCTCAGAATTTATTGTCATATATCATTACTGTTTATTTTTCCCCAAAGCAGTGCTGGGGGTATTAATGGCATTTCGATATAGATCGTTTTTGTACATTTAGAAGTTGTCAAAGTAGTCGATAGTTTGTCATTCATTATGTCACTTGACAGTCTAAGGTTTAGTGTTTTGAAGATGACACAAGTGTTATAGTCTAAGGTTTAGTGTTTTGAAGATGACACAAGTGTTATTGACAAAACTTTTTAAAAAGCTTCACTTTCAAGCTAAATGATAATTTCAACTAATTACTGATATTAAATGTAGTTTAAATGGGAACAATTTTACATCAGCAAAGTGCAAATGACTATTTCTTCTTTAAATTGGAGACTTACTTTAAATTTAAGACTTGACAAGTTGTTGGGCGTCTCGTAGCAGCAATTGGGTTATTTTAATACCATTGTTGGCAGTGGACCAAGTCGACCTCATTTGCATCACACTTGTGATCCCACACTTGAAACTTGTGGACTATCCTCAGAGTATTCTTAATCTCAGTGAATTGTAAATATGTCATTTTGAAAATAAATTCTTTTATACAATTACATTTTATAAGTACACTCTTTTCACTTCTACTTACTTAATCATTACATGATTTCAATAATATGAAGTTTATTTTTATTTTTCAAATGCCACATTATGTACAGACATGCTTATACTGAATGTTCACATATAAGCAGCCCAAAAAGGCTGTATTGTAGTCACTTCAAAGTTCTATTTTATTTCGGCAAAAATAATGCTAATACTTCAACTTAATAAATATAAAGTTGAAAATGCCCTCCTTCAATTCAAATGAACTAACAGGGAAAATAAATGACAAGTAGGCATTGATGTGTTGCACAAGACTTTTATTCTGGAGACCACAGCATGGCTAATTTGAACAAAAGATTAATACTTCCATACAATTAATGATCCATCATACAAACTTGACCTAAGTTCCCAGAAAGCAAAATGAGTACAATCGAAGATTGCATTTCCATGACAGTATTTGTTGTGACAATGCCCTGCCTTGACCCCCCTCAATTAAACCTTACTGTCATGAGAATCCAAATCCCATTTCTCATAGATAATAAAAAAGAGGCCCCCAGACTGAAGAACAAATTAAGGAGGCTTTTTGCACAAGTTCAAAACACTATAGGCATCTTCAGGCGTTCTCTATTTCAAACACCTGAGAACAAGATAATAAAACTAGTGCCTTGTAAAATGCATCAGTGCAGTTACATCACTTACCTCATGGTAACTGACCTATGATCATTTTTTTTCAGAATATTTAGCTGTCTAATGGTGAAAGTGTACCAGTTGGCAGGCATCTTGGCATATTCTTAGAGGAATTAAACATAGTTTGAGGCCAGATTTGGTACATTTACACAGGTTGTAGTTGCCGAGATGCAGTCCTTGTGATCTTTGCCTTGTCACTTTTACATTCTGACCATTGAAAAGAGGTGACAGGAGATGGGCAAATTCCTACTTAAAATCACAAACTATTNGTGTCTGTACATAAAAAGTAATGAAAAACGGTATAAAATAAGATTAGATGCAAGTGAATTTATGGAAAAAATGAATGATTTGCAAATAGGAGTAGGCAAAACCAGAAGAGAAGAGAACATTTTAAAAATAATTGTATTTCAGTTATCTTTTAAACAACCTAAACAGATTTCATAAAAAATACAACCATTATTCCACCACAATAATACATGATGAGGGAAAGTGAAATGGCAGCTCAAAAACAAGCAGTGAACAAAACTCAATAGACAAACTGGTCAAAAACATGCCGCACGGAACATTTACACAAAAACAAAAACAACAGCATCTTGAAATATATTATTATTTATCATCAAGGAGTTTAGAACCCTGCTTACCCTACCATACATAACCTACCATATATTACCCTATGACACTAATGAAGACCATTGTAAGAATGATAAACCAAAACATTCTACATCTATGAAATCAATCTTTACACTGAAAATAATTGGTAGGCCTTTGCATTTGCCTTATAAAAAAATCATCCTTTAAAAAATTTACCAGTCACTACTAGAGGTGACCACATGATATACTTTGCAATAAAACTTTGCTTAAAAATGTGTCTATCTGGTTGTGTTATATAATCCTCTAAAATTTTTTTTTTTTTTAACAATTGACATTACCTGAAATTTTAACAGTCATTCGGTCTTGACCTTCTTGACTGTACAGTGGCACAAATTTTTGTTTATTCTTTCCTGCAGGTCTATCAGAATATTTGGCACTATTTTCCTGAAAGCATTTAAAATCTTTATTATACATATGTAACTGACATGGTAGTATGACTACAGCCTGTCTAAAATACATGTGTTTCCTAACTTCAATAATGAATAGTTGATAAACCTGGCATAACTGTGAATGCCAGTAAAAATTGCACCAGGCCAGTGAAATTTCTGAAAATCAATCAGTTACTGGCCCAACTGGGCCAGTGGGGTTTTTCAGCTGTAACAAGTATTCCAATTTGTTTAATAAATGTTCAGAATAAATGTTGAAATCCTTTTCTTTAATAACCTTTTGAAAATTCCATGTTTGTGTTCTCATTTGTAATAGGAAGCCTTCTTAATCTCAATGTGTTAGTCTAGGGTTTTTTTGGAAATTGGATTAGGGCCAGTTATTTGAAGACTTCAAGAAAAAACTTCCATGCCTTGTTTTGGTGATAGTCTAAACATTATCTTACCACACTTTCTGGTTCTAAATCCTTTGGCTGGTCCGTTATTTGTTTATCCCTGTTTTTCTTTTTGCTTTTAGATTTTTCTGGTGCTTGATGAAAGTCATTTTCACTTGAATTTTTCTTATAAACCTAAAATTGAAAACTATATTTATTCATAACTAGTGCATTCTATGTCTGATTGCCAGTAAGCAAAATGAAACCCAAACTTAATCAATGTTGAACCCTCCCTGACTGGTATCAAAAATATAGTATCTCTGTAAAAAGAAATGAACCTCCTCTAACCAAGGAGCTCCAACAGTTGGAACTCCTTGCTCTAACTGAAAGTCTGATAATATAACAATGGGATTCTAAAACAAAATAAAACTGACACATTAATGCAGATATAAAAGTTCTTTGTGCCAAAAATGAAATGTCATAAATAAATAAATAAATAAAAAACATTACCTGAACATTATCTGGCACCTGTACTGATGGATGAGACTTTTTCAGCAGTTCATTAATGAACTTTCTGTTTTTAGGATCTGTACCATCAAGTAGCTCAAGCATATATTCTTCAAGGTCTCTGGCATTTTCTATAGCTAAAATGTACCTTTTAAAATAAAAAAATGTATATTGTACATCTACATGGCTTTTCAATGCAAACGAGATTTTTTCTTGGTAAAATTTCACCATAAACAGAGCATTTCAACGGAAACAACCAAAACAGTGAAACCTCAAAGTACTTGAGTTTCATGTATTGTGGTTGTGGATCATATTGAAAACAACAGCGTTGCCTACAGTCTATACCAATAGTAGAAAATACGATATCGGCCACTCCACTACGAGACACCTGACAGGACACACCTGTACGTTTAAGTCCTCCATCTGCGAGTATTCCCTGACCATTATAAATATTTACTTGATTATAACACTTCTTAGCTAACATTCAGCACCAGTGCAAGAGTAGTTATTGGATCAAGGAGGGATTGGGAAGACATGTACAAGGATCTTACAAGTGGACTGTAAGGAAAGTTGTTCACGCCCCTAATCAGGGCATAATGAACGTCTTTACTTGTGCTATTTAGACTGTAGCTACCACAAGGATAAGTGACTTTAGCCACTCTGGTTTACTTCACATGTGACTTGTGTGAAACATGACAGCCCTTCAAATATATCACAACATGAACCAATAATTTTAGTATTTGAAAAAAGGATAACCATGTGCCAATCGGGGGCGTCTCGATAGTCCGCAGGTTTATTGGTCTGAAAAATCGTAGCATTTCCATCACTTTTTTAATAAAGGGTATGTTGGCCCGATGGTTCAATACTGAACATTCGACGGACGGTAGTCAGTGAAAGAAAAGAGGGTTTGTGTCTGCTGCCCGCGTGGAGCATTTGTTAATAAGGCAGTGCACAAAATTGGGTGCTGTGACAACATCCTACAAGACTGTAAAGGCCTGGCTGCAGTTAGTAAACACCGCATATGTTAACATGTCACAACATTGTGCAATCCAACGTCGCCGTGTACACAAAATCACTTATGTGACAAATTATGACACAATATTTTATCTCCAAAAGAAGCGTATTTTGATGAAAGATATTACATATAAGAAGATAACTACCTTGCTATGTCTTCTGTCGCCTCAAAACCTAATAATTGAGACAGCTCACGACAAATCCAATGAACTATGGGCGCAGACATTTTGGAAATCCCATCATGCTTTAGCGGACGAAATAATATTTTCTCTATTTTCATTTTAAAAAGATAATAATATGTCAATCAGTTATTATGTTATCTTAAATGGTTATATACTTATATACAAGAAAAAGAAGGTCTAGTAGTATTCAATTTTGCACATTTACATTAACTATCGTTCGACGTTCGAGACTACAACATAAAAACGCGGGAATTAAGCAAATCAAGAACGTGGGAACTAATAGGCGACCATACATTTCTCTGTCCAGTTAGCAGTAAAATTGGAGCACAATGGTCAGGACAAAAGCCAGTTGTTCTACAGTAAAAGGTAATTTTACGCCCACTATTTGAGGTTAAGATTGATGAACCAAATTTCGTAAAACACATTATATTATTTAATATAATATATTATATACATAATACATGCATCCCAGTAAGTATGATAATGCAACCATGAAGCGAATGATAGCTGAGGAACAGATGTTAGGTGTGTATTGCTGTTATAAATATTTGAAGATCAAGTTGTGTCTTAAACAGATAAATAGCATTTAGATCTTTTATTTTTGTATCTTTGTAGCTGTTGCAGCAAAAGCCCCAAGAAAAGCACTGGCAGCTGTCCCTGCTTCTGCAGATAGTCCATCATCAACAGGTTAGTTAGTCAGAAATCAGTACATGTTTCAGGTACAGTTTACCAGGCTGAGGCCGACTAGTTGATGACATGTATTTATTTATTTATTTATTTATTTATTTATTTATTTTTTTTTTCAAAATTTCTCCCAGTGCAGATTGAGGATTTTAGTGTAGACCGAGTTCCTAATAAATTACTTTTATCCTTGTATGAAAATTATTACTTTTGTAAGAATCATTGCTCTTTTTAAAATTTTTACTAGGAAAGGGGAAATATGCGGGTGGCAATCCAGCACACCCAAGGCCTACACCATCTTGGCAGAAGGGATTGGATTCATTTCTACTCAGATCACCAAGTGGGAAAGGAAAGGAGAACAGAGATGACGAAGGACCAAGTGCATCAACAAGGTATGCCAAAATGTGCCATGGCCAATGTAGGCCCCTGTCTTTGTCTAATTGAAGCTCCTCTTGAGACACAGTGGCTATGATACATTAGTTTTAAAAGAGGAGCTTGAATTAGACAAATAAACAGAATCTTATGAGCCTTGCTGTTTTGTTTTAAACAAGATAAGTGAATTGTCAGACCAAAGATTTCCATGATTTGAATTTGTATTTGCATTGTACACATTCCCTAACATTGGGCCTTACTTTACAGATTTTTTAAAACTTATAATTATGGATACTGGATAAAAATAACTACATCCTTGTATTAAACTAGTTGTTTCTTTTTTGATGAGGGTGAAGACCTTTACATTAGACAGTATATAGTGTCTTGCTGTTGAAATGGCCTCTAAGCTATCTCTTTTATGACTTTATCATATTTTATTTCAGTTCAGGAAATGAGACCAAGGCTAAATCAAAACTTCCTACCAAAAGCAAAGCAACAAGAGCAGTTAGTGACAGTGGCAGTGATGATGAAGTGATTCCAGAAAAGAAACCTCTAATTGAAAGTGATGAGGATGAGTGATTTGTTGCTTATATTGGTAAAAGTAAATATTAGCGAAAGCTGAAGTGAGATCTGTGTGCAGATCAGTGAGCTAACCAGGCATGTTGAGCAACACTCCGCTTGAAAGAAATTATGGACACATTTCATCATTCTTGTATACTGCAAGAATCCAAGTACAGCAGGGATTTAGAATTTATGCTAATAGTTTTTGTACCTCTCCCCCAATCCAATAAATAAGGGGGGGGGGGGGTATATGGAAAACAGGTTGTCCGTCCACCTGTACATAATCATTAAGTAATTTCCTCATGATTCATAAATGATTGAAAACAAACTATCTAAGCAATAACATAATAAAATGTCTCTCTAGGACCTGTTATACAATTTTATGCCAAATTCTGTAGCATAGTAATGGTGCATTATGGTACATATTTTTCAATGTTTAAGCACAATTTTAGAATATTTAAAACATGGACTTTGAAATTTGTACTTATTATTTTCAATTTAGTTTGTCCCCCCTACAAAGATTGGTTAATTTCAATAAAACCTATTTATGAATTTGCACATCGTAAAAAAGTATATCTATATACCTGGGTAGCCTGGGTATTCGGCTCACAGTCTAGGATTCCCTTTAGGTCTATCCAGATGTATCAGTAACCTGTATATGTGACTATTTGAGGAGCTGGAGTCTCAGAATTTATTGTCATATATCATTCCTGTTTATTTTTCCCCAAAAGCAGTGCTGGGGGTATTAATGGTATTTCGATACAGATCGTTTTTGTACATTTAGAAGTTGTCAAAGTAGTCGATAGTTTGTCATTCATTATGTCACTTGACAGTCTAAGGTTTAATCTTTTTTGGAGATGACACAAGAGTTATTGACAAAACTTTTTAAAAAGCATCAGTGTCAAGCTAAGAGATATTTTTATCTAATTACTGACATTAAGTATAGTTTAAATGGAAGTTTTACATAAGCTAAGTGCAAATGAATATTTCTTTAAATTGAAGACTTTCTTTAGATTGAGGACTTGGCAAGTTGGGTATATCCTGGAGCAATCATTTGCATTACACGTGTGATCCCACACTTGAAACTTGTGGTCTATCCTCAGAATATTGTTAAACTCAGTGAATTGTAAATATGTCATTTTTTGAAAATAAATTCTTTTATACACTTACATTTTAAAAGTGCACTCTTTTCACTTCTACTGTTTACTTGATCATAACATGATTTTAATCATATAACAGTCGATTTCTATTTTTCAAATGCCAAATTATATACAGACATGCTTAATACTGAATGTTCACATACATGCAGCCTAAAAAGGCTATATTGTAATTTCAAAGTTCTATTTTATTTCAGCAAAAATAATGCTGATGCTACCTTGGTTTCTCCGTCCCCTATTACCTCCCAAGACATTTCCATACAGTTACAATAAGGTTAAACTTCAACTTTACAAATATAAAATTGAAAATGCCCTCCTTCAATTCAAATGAACTAACAGTGAAAATAAATGACAAGTAGGCACTGATGTGTTGCACAAGACTTTTATTCTGGAGACCACAGCATGGCTAATTTGAACAAAAGATTAATACTTCCATACAATTAATGATCCATCATACAAACTTGACCTAAATTCCCAGAAAGCAAAATGAGTACAATCGAAGATTGCATTTCCATGACAGTATTTGTTGCGACAATGTCCTGCCCTGACCCCCCTCAATTAAACCTTACTGTCATGAGAATCCAAATCCCATTTCTCATAGATAATAAAAAAGAGGCCCCCAGACTGAAGAACAAATTAAGGAGGCTTTTTGCACAAGTTCAAAACACTATAGGCATCTTCAGGCGTTCTCTATTTCAAACACCTGAGAACAAGATAATAAAACTAGTGCCTTGTAAAATGCATCAGTGCAGTTACATCACTTACCTCATGGTAACTGACCTATGATCATTTTTTTCAGAATATTTAGCTGTCTAATGGTGAAAGTGTACCAGTTGGCAGGCATCTTGGCATATTCTTAGAGGATTTGGTACATTTACACATGTTGTAGTTGCCGAGATACAGTCCTTGTGATCTTTGCCTTGTCACTTTTACATTCTGACCATTGAAAAGAGGTGACAGGAGATGGGCAAATTCCTACTTAAAATCACAAACTACTACATCTTGTTCAACTTGAACATTATAGACCTATTATCTTATATTCCAAGGAACAGACATTTGAATCTTTGAACTTAACAAACTGTAATTCGACACTTTTTCAAAAATTCCTTAACCCTGATATTACAAATAAAAAGTTCAGCCATAACTGACTTGGGTGCAGTCTCAGATAATGGGCAATTACAACTTGGAAGTAAAATATCCTTTATGGAACCTCAGCCACAAAGATATTCAAGGTAGATGTGACAGGTTCTTTGCAAACCCAGGCTTCCTTCAGCTTTTCTTCCTAAGTGATACAAAACCATGCACTGTCATCACTGGATTTTTCTAAGAAGTCTGATATAATTTGAGACGCAGCTTATACATTTGGTATTGTCATAGCAAGAATCTGCATTCTAGGGTAAATAAATGAAATTCTTTGTGCCTCACTTTCCCTTCAGTTTATATTTGTGTAAAGCAAACTCTCACAAAGCTCTCAGGTGTACGATTCAATGAAAATGAGAATAAATGAATGACCTGTTTGCTCCACCAAATGCAATGACATTAGACTGTATCACAAATGTACTGAGAACTCAGGGAGCCCTCTCTAATAGTAGAACATATATGATATCTTTGGGAATGAATGATAACTAATTAGACAGCAAAGCTGACAGAATGTACAGACTAAATTAAAATAGGAAGATGCCTTCAGGACAATATTGTACGTTATTGGTCTTTGCAGCAAATGCATTTCTCAAAAGTGAATTTGCTGAAATGTGCATTGCATCCTTATATACCTAGGTCAAATCGGTAACAAAGCTGTCATCCCTCATTTCCATGTCTCAATATATATATATAATATCACCGGTTTCTCTCAAAAACATTAAAGATTTGCTTTAAAACCTGATTATTACTTTTTGAATGCACTATTACGATTTAAAATGAGCAAAATACACGTATATTGTAATGCAGAACTGTTTGGAATTTGGGCTTGTCATTATCCTAGGTCTGCCAGGACAACTTTCTTTTTGAAAACCAAGACAACTGGACACTGGTTACTATCTTATGCTCAGACACTTTGTGTCTGTACATAAAAAGAACTTCAAACAAGCTGTCATTTACACCACTGTGTTCTCCCTCTGTTGAAAGCAGCGTCTTGTGCCAATTATCCTACCACCATTACAAACATGGCTTCTATAATATGAAGTTTGTAGCACATTTCAGAAGCAAATATACAGCTGCTTGTAGAATGTCAGTATCCTGAGCTTGGTTACACTGACATTTTTGACACAAAGAGATACATTTACATGATTCTCCTTCTTTCTCTGTTCCTTTCAAGTATGAGGTCTAAGTGACAAATAGGTAGGGAGCCACCAGTTGATTATCATGCGTGGCACATAAATATGCTTTTTTTATATACACCAGGAAATAAAGCATGTTCCCTCCCTATAGTTTCAGATAGGAAATGTACATCTAGTACTACAAACAGCAGACTGAATATTGGGTGCTCAGTTAAAAGAAGCTTTGATCATGAAGATAATAAAAATTACACAAGACACTTCTCCTAAACAACAAGAAGTGTCATGGTTCTTCTCTGCAGAGTCTGGCTATTAATAAGGTGTGTCATTATTCCCAATGTCTTTAGGAGTCAAAGATTTTTAAAGTTATACGCATATATATATTTCTTTCAATAGTTCTTTCTGACCAAGCCCAAGGCACCATCTGCAATGATATGACTAGAGTGATTATGACATCTGTTTGAAACCACATGTCCATCACAGCAAATCACAGATCACTGTCTCTGAACCGTTCAGTTCACAGCCTGCCGCAGAAAAAGACATATTCAAGCCAGTAACATCTTTCCAAAAGCAAACAAAGACTATCTGTTTTATCACATGTGAAAAACAAAACAAAACAAAAAAGTTACTATCCTGTGATACCTATCTTTCATGTGACATTAAATTTGCACAGGGGCCAAAGGTGTCTTTCATGTTCCCTGATTTTAAAAGTAAGAAATCCTCTTGTGTGACTTAAACCAAATGAAGGTGTATAATGACTCAAGACAATAAATAAGAATTAGGCCTTCTGGAGCACTGGGAGGTCTCCCAGCAGGCTGGCATTTCTAGCTGCGACTCTCCTCTGTACTACTGTCTGCAGTTTTCCTTCCTCGAAATCTGTGCAAAGGAACAGTGTCTTGGTCCTGGTCAGAAGCCCCATGTCATTTGCCTCGTTGAGCTGTCGTCGTGGCTTTCTTTTTACTTTTCTTCTGTTGACGAAAGCAGCCGCAACACCTACGTGAAAAGTAGGAGGGGATGCACCAATCAGAATCATACAAACAAATAATGATTTATTTATTACACTGTGTCCCACTGGTGCATCAATGTTAAAAATAAATGACTCATTGACTCAAAGTCTTATCAATGTCCTATTCTTCAATTGGTGCGAGGGGCACGCGTCTTCTTTTTCTTGCGACGACGGAAGAAGCAGCACCTAGTGAGGAAAAATAAAATGACAATGCAAAGGGCTTGCTCGAGCTTAGAATTCTTTTCAGGAAAACGACTTTGTACTGATAGAAGATTTCTCTCACACAGTACTTGCCAATTTTGTTTTGCTGTTTATGAGTTTTGGAACATAACAGATCTCCAATTTTGTTCATCTCAAAGATAAATTATTGGCAACTATTGTTGTAAGCTGGAAACGTAATTGATATCACTTCAGCTAATATCAGGTGTGAATTACATCCATGAAAGCAAACAGAACATGAAAGTAAACCTTTTCTGTGTACAGTTTTTCTCATGAAATCAGATGAAAAGGAAAGTAATACACAAGACCGCAAGTCTAAGTAATTTTCAAATTGTCATAACGCACCTGATAACAAGGGTGTAGGGTACCCCCCTCCCTAACAACCCATCATGCTTTTACACCTACTTGCCCTCAGCCCTTTCCCCTGCTTAACAATGAAACTATCAATTTAAATGGTAAATACAATAGGTTTATACATACTTTGTCTCATCCACCACTTCTACCTCTGCCTGAGCAGTGATTGGCGTGTTGGAGTGTCCTGCTGTGGGGTCATCCGGTGCAAGTTCCCCATTGGTGGAACTGACAACCTGAAAAGAAAAAATAAAATCATTCAAGCACTTGTCAAATTAATCACTATTTAATCTTCTAATTGAAAGCCCTTAACAGTGGATGTTTGATACACAGGTAAGTAGGGTTTTTTTTCACAAAGCAAGGGTATGCAGTCTTAACAGTGGCCAACTGTATGCTATGCTCAGCCAAACGGTCTATCCCTTCTCCTGGACTTCAGCAAACCTGGCGACTCCCAGCTGTGCTAAAATTTGTCCCTGGGACACTGGTTTATAAAACCAATCAGACAGTCTTCTGCATGTAGAAGAAAGAAAATTCTAAGATAAAAACACTTTTGTTTAACAACTACAACTTCGTTGAGAAAGTAAATCCAAATTTTTTCCCTAAGTGTAATATGGCATTTATACAAAAAAACCACCAGCTCTCTGCTGCTCACCCCACAAATAGGTGTAGGCTTCAATGACAGGCTGAAAGCTTTTTGTACATCCATAAACCTGGGTATGCACTACATGTACCCCTACTATTCCTCCAAGTTAAATGCAACTTTTTAAATGTTATAATAAATGGTATCCAAATACCCACCAGATACACTGGGATTAAAGACACACACACACTATCTGTATTTGCTTATAAACATCCCACACTGAGAAGGAGTGGTATGCTCTCAAAAGAGATTGGGTAAATGTTGAAATGAAAGGTCATGCATGTGACTTTTTTCCATGATGTTTAAACTTAGAAAACACTGAAACCAAATATTTACTTTTTTTGTCGCTGTGATTACATCTGTAGATTATGAGATTAATGCAAAAACTGTGATTTCATTACAGACAAGTGTTCTATTGAATAAAAGCAACATAAAATCAAATTTACAAAGTCAAATCATAATACAACTGGGGTTTCAGAGAGGTTTGGGCCAATTCCAGGTCTGAGTGGATGTACTAGTACCACCAACAAGATTGAGGCATGGGTTGATTTTGATACAGACTACCCCCCCCCCCCCCCAACAAAATACAGGACTGAAAATCAGGTCAATCAAAACAAGTACTGAATTCCCCTGTCTTTTCTAGCTTCAACCTTTTTTTTTGTCACCCCCCAATTCAAAATTTCAAGCATGCGACTACACTACTTTTTCATCAATTTTTTCTACAAATGATTTAAATTTGACAAAAACAAATCAAATCAACCCTATTTTGTTAGCCAATTTAAGTCAGTTTTAACATTTGGCTAAACTGGTTTAAATTGGAATCACTTTTCCCATGACCTGATGACACACTATATATAAATGGCCAAGTCCAAGAAATCGCTTGCAATGTTGTAAAATTGAGTGCCACCAAAGATGGGTGTAAATGGTTACTTAGCTGATGAGTAGTGGCTAGTTTTGTACACGGCAACAGAGCCATGGGGAATGGTTTAACAGCAAATCTATAAAACTTTTAGCTCTAAGCTGGTGGCATACTGATCACAGGCATGTAAAACTCTTTATTTTTAATTTACCAACATTGAGACCCCAATGTCTTTTGGGCGTAACAATAATTCTCAGACTAACAATATGTCTTATTCTTATCATCTAAGGGATACGTAGGTGTATTGCTAGTAACAGTTAAAATCATATCTAAGCTCTACTTAAAAGGTGCATTCATGCAATAACTCAACATAGAATACTAAAGCAAACATGTGATCAAGATTGTATGAAACTTTTTAGAAACAAAAAAAAAAACTAACTACAAAGCACATTAAAAATGGGAAGGAAAAAACATGAAGCAAGTTAAAAGTGTGGTACGAGTATATATCAAGCAACACAACTTAACAACAACATAAACAATTAATGAACAGATTCATTGCAAATCAAAAAGAGAGAAATTAGACGCCACTATGAACGCCCTCCACCACGAAACAGCCACACAACAGGGGAGAGGAAGCTGAGAACATACCTGAACAGAGCCCCCATGCCGATCGGCAGGAGTAAGATTAGGACCCAGATAATTATTAGGTCTCTGTGGTTCTCCCCATGCAGTACCCCTTGGGTTTGATTGCTGCAAAATTGAGGAGATGTATTGCTTTTTAAAGCGAACTGCAACTGTATTGTGTCTGCAGCAATTTTTGCATTTTTTTTCTCCTTTTTTTTTCAGAATTGATTCCAATTAAAATCAGTGCAGTCTGAGATGATTGTTGTATTGAAAAAGATGTAGAGATAATTACTGTATTTCATCATTGGCTGTGTAATTCACTTAAACAATGTTTTTACAATTTCTTCAATCAACAGCTTTTTCATTAACTACTATCCAATGTGGTCCCTTTTCCCCTTTGAAATGCCAATTGCCTTATATCAAAAATATTCATTTTTTAAGTTAAACCCTCTGCTGTCCTCATAACATTACACAGATCTGGCAGTTTTTCCACCAGGTCACTTTTTCTTTTGCTGACTTTCCACATGAAAAACACCCAGTGCTTTCTTCACATGTTAATTCTAATTTTAGTTATGTGGTGTTAGTGTTTTCTAAATGTTAAGATCACCAGCAGTGTAAAGCTTTTGTAAACATATTTAGTGCATATAAAGTGATGTCTGTTATCTAAACTAGAAGGTAAGAGAGGCGTGGGTCGCCTCTAAGTCATGTACCACCAGCCAGGATAATACAATTCATAGAGATCAGGGATATCAACATGGTGTCAGTCTCAAGATTTGATAGAACTTGCAATAGTTCAAGTAATTTTTTACGAAATCAATATCTATAATACTTGTATAATACAGAGCATGCTGGGATATCTAACGTTACCAACAAAACCCAGGGATATATCTTTTGACCCAAGTGTTGATAAACTAAGAATCCTTTTTAAAATGTAACATTTTTATCAAGAGATATTTTCTTAAGACTGAGAGCTGTTTATCTGTGGGTATTCAAATATTTCTTAGGTTTAACAATTTTAAAAATCACATTTAATCCCTTAGTTCCAAGACCCTGTGGCTGTTTTAGGAAAAGCTTCATCAACATTTGTTTTTCTATTGTCATCATTCAGCAAAACCCTCTTATTGTTTGTAATTTAGAAAACAAGAAGGTTAAAGAATGTACAAAAAAAAAATAACAAAATAAATTCAGTAGAGCTGCAAGTTGTAAACAGTTTACATGAATTGAAACTAAAGGTGGGATAATCTTTATTTCTTCTCTCTCTCTCTCATTACACTTCTTAAAAGGATACATTGTATTTCTTTTTAAAACAAGAACAGTTTATGAGCACCTCAGACAGCAACCAGTCCAGCTCATGGAACACTTAGACAAACTTATTTATATATTTATTTATTAATAAATTTCATTATTTATTTATTTATTTTAGTTTATAATTTTTTTTTTTTTTGGGGGGGGGGGGAGGCTAAAACAGTAACTGAATCTATTACAGTAATTGAAAGGACACTGAAGAACATCCACGATAAATTGTCAGCCTACAAGTAAACAATTATCAACTGGTAGGGGACAAATACCCTTCCAAGCAATTAGAATACATTAGGGGGTTTGGGGGGTTGGGGGGAGTTTAACAACCCTAACAGTCTTAGAATTTCTTTGCAGAGACAAGGCATCAGACATGGACCATTGCAATCCAAAGTGCCTCCAGCTTCCTAGCTGGTGGTACATATAAAACAACAGTCCTCGTAAGTGTAACAAGTACATATACACAAAAATGTCCTGGAACATAGTTCAACAACAGATATACAGAAGAGTACAGATAGAGTTTTAGTCTCAGTACCTTATTGGTTTGGGTGTTGTGTCTGACTCTCCCTTCGCCATCCCTGTTTGGAGAAGTGGCACCTTCTGTTGTGTGAATAGATCCTGATGGAGTTGACTGAAATGTGCAACCATATCCTTAACACCAGAACTTCACACTTCCATAACATATTGATTTTTTGCAGTTTTCCTTCTTATTTAGCTCCTGATTTATTTATATATGAAGCAAAAAAACAGAACTTTTCATTAAAATACAAACTTCTGTTCAATATTAAACAAACAAAAATTGAACTGTTCTGGGCAACCTACAGCACAGATACCCTATTAAAACACTTGGTTAAATCCATTACTATTTGTGATTACTTTTTGAACATATACATCCAAAACAAATCAACTGAAGCTTTGCTACTTTACCAAGATTTCTCCCCTTACCAACTGTCTCCCAGTCCAGTCAAACTCCCAGTCACACTCCCATCCTTTCTTTGCCATGAGATCAGTAAAAAGTTTCCGTAAGTAGTCATAGTCTGGAGTTTCAAAAAAGTCTAACCTCCTAACATACCGGAGATATGTAGCTAGTTCCTCTGCAAAATAAAGACAATAAAACATTAGAGATTAAGAAAGTCACTGCAATGGAGCAGTCCCACGTATAATTCACATGAACAAGAGAAATCAGGTTTCTATGTTGTAGAAAAAATGAAAAGGGAGAGATGATAAAAACTAATGACAACCAATTAATTATTTGCTTTTGAACAGAACCGTGTTAGTAATTGGCACGAATCTTTTAAATTACACCCCCAGCTACACTATTTTTTTTTTTTTTGGGGGGGGGGGGGGGGGGGGGGTTGAGACCTTGCACATACTTTGTACAGACATACTGATACCAAAGTTACAATTAGTTACCATGATAACACCCCTCACTAACAATATGTGCTAAATGAATCTTCATTTATATAAAATGTGATAATATGCACGGTCTACCTAAAAGCTTTACACTAAGACAGTATAAACATTCTTTCAAGAATATATATATATATAATCACACAAGTCATGATATGCAATACCCTCAGGCCCGTAGCCAGGGCGGGTTCGGGGGGTTCGAAAGAACTCCCCTTTTGAGCTGAAAAAGGTCCACTCTGGGTAAAATTTGACATAAATACATGGGGATTTTTCGTTAAAAGGTCCACTTTTTCAGAAAAAGTGACCCTGTACAAAGTGGAGACAAGGACAATTCAACCTTGCCTCTAGGAGAATGTCTTAAAGTAATCCTAGAAAATTTTGCCACCTATGTGACTCCCTATTTGATGTCCATAGCAGCAAAATTTAAGGTATTGACCTCATTTCACAGAAAGTAAGAAATAACTTTTGAAACAAGAGACGCTATATTTCAGATGGCTAATTCAGATATCTTTGAATCCTGTTCAGCCAGAGCAGTGTGTGCCATTTAGTATCAGTGTAACTGTGCAACTATGATGACCAATTCCCAGCAAACTAGGTCACAATGTCATGGTTTTATCTTACCTGGAAAATTTTCACATAATACTTCAATCGGTGTGGCCCGTTTTGTGTCCCCAATCTTCTGATAGCGCTCTTTGAGAGTGTCAGCTTTTAGCCCTTGCCAAGGTAAACTGCCTCGAAGGAAATACATAAACATGTGGCCTAATGCTTCTAAATCATCCCGCCGACTCTGCTCTGGAAAGAAAATGGATGGCGTGAAAAACATTTTGACGTATTTATTTGAGATGTAATTCATTGTCGTATTTATATCTTAAACATAATCTGAACCAACAACATGTTTATATTTACAGCTCAATTTCTACTGTATATATATATATATTAACAGAATAAATTATTACTATCAGAATGTCTATGGAGAATCTGCAATTTAACATATTTCCTGAACCCATCTCAAATTTGCAGCAACTCCTTTTGGAAGCGTTAAGTTGGAAAAAAATCATAAAATAAATTTGAAAATCAGCAGTACTCTTACCTTTGCCCAAATGAGTATTTATACTCATATACCTGGCTGTCCCAGTCAGGCTTTTGTGTTCTCTGTAGGGTATATGCTTGTGGGTTTCTGGATCTATGTATTCTTTGGCTAGGCCAAAATCAATAATGTATATAATGTGTTGTTTTTTGGCTGACTGCCTTCCTATTAGGAAATTTTCTGGTTTGACATCTCTATATATCAAGTGTTTTGAGTGCACGTACTCCATTCTTGTAACCTGAAAAGAACAATGGATCATTAATTTATTGCTTAAAGAACTGAACTCATGCTCTTAAATCGTCTGTTCAGACCTTTGACACAAGAGGAAATAATATTAAAGGAGACCACTGTACAATAAAGACTCTTCAATCTGTGTGACGACACTGATGAGGCCTTATAATTTTATCTCAAAAAGATCCTGGTCCTCGTTTTGTGAAGCCTTAAAAAAATTGCGACTGGTTGAAAAGTAAAACCTGCGTGAATCCAGTTTCTCCAAGCCTTTTCTTATTATTTTTCGTAAAAATGTATATTTGACTCTACTCAATCCCTAAGGCATTCACAGTAACATCACATTTTGCATGAGGGATTACATGGCTGTTTACGACAGAAGTGAGACACAGCTATTTTTATGTCATTTTTGTAACTTCTATGCACATCACTGTGCTAATTTTCAAAAATTGACAATTAATTAATTGAACGAAATGAATTGTTAAACAAGTATGTGTGTTTACAAGTATGGGTCCAGTCAGTATTAAGATTGTTTTATATTCATTAATGGATTTGAATCAAAATGTGTGGCAAAACGTGACAACTAAATACATACAATCACTAAGTTATCTAAGTTATTCTGTTCAATGATTTACAAAAACATGAAACAGGTAGCAGTGAAAGTTGAACATTAAAATGCAGAAACTCCTCTTAAAATGGTTTCAAGATCTCATTAATGTACACTCAACACTATCTGATGTTTTCTGCTTTAATAAACAGTAAGCTTATACATTTTTTCATGTTGCTGAAATGTCCATTTCAAAAAGCTATTCACAGGTCAGAACTACCGACTTCTGTACCATCTTAAAAAAGACCATTTAACCTTATTTTCAGTTTGAGATAAGCAGGATAAAATCTTATTTTCACTATAATTACTGCACAGAATATGCACCGTGTCTACAGCCAAACACAACGCCATACTCAGACTCAAGCAGGCTGAAATACTGACCCAATTTTGTAAGAGATGTAGATAAGCAGACAAAAGTAACATGATGATTATCAACATTGGGCTCCTTATACTTGATGTACCTCAAAGCACAATTTATTCAACATTTGAATAGGCTCAGATGATTAGTTACTTGATCATTGACAAAAAACAAACCTAAATGCTTTTCTCTACAATACAAAGAGTGACATACTATTTACTTCACATAATCTTAATGTTATCTTGCAAAGGGAGTCTCAAATTATCATAGAAGTAAAACCTATCTATTCTCTAAGTTTCAGGATGCTTTTAGTTATAGGAATATTGAGATGATATACAGGCATTTGAATCATCTTGAATATATGAAATATATTTGTTCAATGTCTGCCTTGGAAAACAGATGCAAATACATCTGTGTAATCCCAATTTTCATTCAGGATTTAGGAAACTGGATCTGGATATGAACAGCCATTTGTATCAAAACAGTCTTTATTTACACAACTCTCATATTATTTACAACATTTCAGTTTTCTGTAATCTCTCTCTCTCTCTCTCTCTCTCTCTCTCTCTCTCTCTCTCTATATATATATATATATATATATATATATCCAGTCACTAGTGCTGTAACCATGACCACTGCCTAAATATAAATTCAGTTCTTAGTTTTCACTAATAATCATACGCTACTTAACATATTGATCTGCGCTCCAAAAAACAAAATTAAGCTCACTTCACCTCAGTGACCCCCAATGACAGCACACACTGCTGTAATCTCACTCAAATAATGTGTTTGTTCACTTAACATGCAAAACACAAACCCCGTTAAGGATATTAAATGCAAATATCAAGTAACAGGTGAGTGGTTGCTGTAGCTTTTATGCTCATGACTTTCATGATAATATGAAATTTTCTTTAAGCAGCACAACGGTTATTGCATACTCACAAGTTGGATAGCGATCATTAGCACTGTTTTTAGGGAAAATTTTCTGTCACAGAGGTCAAACAAATCTTCTAAGCTAGGCCCAAGAAGTTCCAAAACCAATGCATTGTATTTGCCACATGGTCCGAAGTAGTAGACTTGGGGAACACCCTCTGGAAAATAAAATGAACACAGTGTCATATTGATCTGGATGTTATATTTTTCTCAAACTGTTTTGTTTCTACATTGTTTTCATTGAATTTCTGTTAACTTTCTATTCAACAAGTTTCCTTTTTTCAAACTCCAACACAAATGAGGTTAAATGTGTAATCAAAATATTATGTTTAAAAGCAAAAACAGAGAGATTTAATTACATATTTAAGAAGTTGATAGATGCATGAGCAGGAGTGATTGAGATATGAAAACATGAAATAAAAGACATAAAATTAATGTAAAAAGGTTCATATGGCAACTCAATCTACAATGGTATATCACAAGAATTATTTTCAATAAAATCAATTTTCAAATAACATCTGTCTTCATAAAACTAACCCAAGATATAACCATAAATAAACCATAAATAAAGTGAAATCATATATTTTGACTCTTTTATTAACATTCTGTGGACAATCTGAGTGATTGCCTGCTGCCTTTGGCTTTATATCTTATGTGCTTCGTATATTGAATATACTTTTGTGATTTTTTTACAACCAATGCAAACAGACTTGGCAAACAAAACAAGCTTGCAGCAGTTTGAAAAAAAAATGAAACAAGGATTCCATTATCACTGCTTCTGTGCATCCATAACAGTTTCATGAAAAATTAACACAGCTTTCAAAAATAACTTTTATCTACTAGATTGCCCATTCAGTACTACTTTAAGCTATACTAGGCCAGCAAGCAACAACATAGTTACTCAGTGCAAAGATACAGAAAAGCCAACATGAGTTAAAGATCTGATTATTGCCAAAGGTTTCATACTACAGTCCAAATTGCTGCATTAGCCCCTTTTAAGTACGCAAGCCTACTTAATGCTTTTCTAGAAAGAGAAAAGCAAACCNGTATTATGAATATTCATCAGTTCTGTAAGTTTCAAGCCAAAAAGTAAAACAGTTTTCCACTTATCGTGTTATCGGTGCTTCATTTATGCTGAAAAAAGTGAAAAAACAGCATAAATTCCCTATAAGTGACCCGATCATGCTGATTTTCGAACTTGACCTGCGTATTATGAATATTCATTAGTTCTGTGAGTTTCAAGCCAAAAGAAAAAACAGTTTTCCACTTATCGTGTTATCGGTAAAAGTGCACGGCGACGGCGACGACAGACGCAGATGACGGCTATATGTACAGACACATCTGTGTCTGTACATAAAAATCATAAAATAAATTTGAAAATCAGCAGTACTCTTACCTTTGCCCAAATGAGTATTTATACTCATATACCTGGCTGTCCCAGTCAGGCTTTTGTGTTCTCTGTAGGGTATATGCTTGTGGGTTTCTGGATCTATGTATTCTTTGGCTAGGCCAAAATCAATAATGTATATAATGTGTTGTTTTTTGGCTGACTGCCTTCCTATTAGGAAATTTTCTGGTTTGACATCTCTATATATCAAGTGTTTTGAGTGCACATACTCCATTCTTGTAACCTGAAAAGAACAATGGATCATTAATTTATTGCTTAAAGAACTGAACTCATGCTCTTAAATCGTCTGTTCAGACCTTTGGCACAAGAGGAAATAATATTAAAGGAGACCACTGTACAATAAAGACTCTTCAATCTGTGTGATGACACTGATGAGGCCTTATAATTTTATCTCAAAGAGATCCTGGTCCTCGTTTTGTGAAGCCTTAAAAAAACTGCGACTGGTTGAAAAGTAAAACCTGTGTGACTCCAGTTTCTCCAAGCCTTTTCTAATTATTTTTCGTAAAAATGTTTATTTGACTCTACTCAATCCCAGAGGCATTCACAGTAACATCACATTTTGCATGAGGGATAACATGGCTGTTTACGACAGAAGATAAGAAACACAGCTATTTTTATGTCATTTTTGTAATTTCTATGCACATCACTGTGCTAAATTTCAAAATTAATTGAATGAAATATTCTTGAATTGTTAATCAAGTATGTGTGTTTACAAGTATGGGTCCAGTCAGTATTAAGATTGTTTATATTCATCAATGGATTTGAATCAAAATGTGTGGCAAAACATGACAACTAAAAACATACAATTACTAAGTTATTTAAGTTATTCTGTTCAATGATTTACAAAAACATGAAACAGGTAGCAGTGAAAGTTGAACATTAAAATGCAGAAACTCCTCTTAAAATGGTTTCAAGATCTCATTAATGTACACTCAACACTAGCTGATGTTTTCTGCTTTAATAAACAGTAAGCTTATACATTTTTTCATGTTGCTGAAATGTCCATTTCAAAAAGCTATTCACAGGTCAGAACTACTGACTTCTGTACCATCTTAAAAACGACCATTTAACCTAATTTTCAGTTTGAGATAAGCAGGATAAAATCTTATTTTCACTATAATTACTGTACAGAATATGCACAGCCAAACACAACGCCATACTCAGACTCAAGCAGGCTGAAATACTGACCCAATTTTGTAAGAGATGTAGATAAGCAGACAAAAGTAACATGATGATTATCAACATTGGGCTCCTTATACTTGATGTACCTCAAAGCGCAATTTATTCAACATTTGAATAGGCTCAGATGATTAGTTACTTGATCATTGACAAAAAACAAACCTAAATGCTTTTCTCTACAATACAAAGAGTGACATACTATTTACTTCACATAATCTTAATGTTATCTTGCAAAGGGAGTCTCAAATTATCATAGAAGTAAAACCTATCTATTCTCTAAGTTTCAGGATGCTTTTAGTTATAGGAATATTGAGATGATATACAGGCATTTGAATCATCTTGAATATATGAAATATATTTGTTCAATGTTTGCCTTGGAAAACAGATGCAAATACATCTGTGTAATCCCAATTTTCATTCAGGATTTAGGAAACTGGATCTGGATATGAACAGCTATTTGTATCAAAACAGTCTTTATTTACACAACTCTCATATCATTTACAACATTTCAGTTTTCTGTAATCTCTCTCTCTCTCTCTCTCTCTCTATATATATATATATATCCAGTCACTAGTACTGTAACCATGACCACTGCCTAAATATAAATTCAGTTCTTAGTTTTCACTAATAATCATACGCTACTTAACATATTGATCTGCACTCCAAAAAACAAAATTAAGCTCACTTCACCTCAGTGACCCCCAATGACAGCACACACTGCTGTAATCTCATTCAAATAATGTGTTTGTTCACTTAACATGCAAAACACAAACCCCGTTAAGGATATTAAATGCAAATATCAAGTAACAGGTGAGTGGTTGCTGTAGCTTTTATGCTCATGACTTTCATGATAATATGAATTTTTCTTTAAGAAGCACAACGGTTATTGCATACTCACAAGTTGGATAGCGATCATTAGCACTGTTTTTAGGGAAAATTTTCTGTCACAGAGGTCAAACAAATCTTCTAAGCTAGGCCCAAGAAGTTCCAAAACCAATGCATTGTATTTGCCACATGGTCCGAAGTAGTAGACTTGGGGAACACCCTCTGGAAAATAAAATGAACACAGTGTCATATTGATCTGGATGTTATATTTTTCTCAAACTGTTTTGTTTCTACATTGTTTTCATTGAATTTCTGTTAACTTTCTATTCAACAAGTTTTCTTTTTTCAAACTCCAACACAAATGAGGTTAAATGTGTAATCAAAATATTATGTTTAAAAGCAAAAACAGAGAGATTTAATTACATATTTAAGAAGTTGATAGATGCATGAGCAGGAGTGATTGAGATAGGAAAACATGAAAGACATAAAATTAATGTAAAAAGGTTCATATGGCAACTCAATCTACAATGGTATATCACAAGAATTATTTTCAATAAAATCAATTTTCAAATAACATCTGTCTTCATAAAACTAACCCAAGATATAACCATAAATAAACCATAAATAAAGTGAAATCATATTTTGAAACTTTTATTAACATTCTGTGGACAATCTGAGTGATTGCCTGCTGCCTTTGGCTTTATATCTTATGTGCTTCGTATATTGAATATACTTTTGTGATTTTTTTACAACCAATGCAAACAGACTTGGCAAACAAAACAAGCTTGCAGCAGTTTGAAAAAAAATGAAACAAGGATTCCATTATCACTGCTTCTGTGCATCCATAACAGTTTCATGAAAAATTAACACAGCTTTCAAAAATAACTTTTATCTACTAGATTGCCCATTCAGTACTACCATAAGCTATACTAGGCCAGCAAGCAACAACATAGTTACTCAGTGCAAAGATACAGAAAAGCCAACATGAGTTAAAGATCTGATTATTGCCAAAGGTTTCATACTACAGTCCAAATTGCTGCATTAGCCCCTTTTAAGTACGCAAGCCTACTTAATGCTTTTCTAGAAAGAGAAAAGCAAATCTCTATAGAGTATGTAAAAAATACCATTTAGGAGGGATTCATAATGTATATGAAGCTTTGTTTTTTTTTCTGTCCATTTTTTAAGTCAAACTCTGATGGTGATGAAACATAATATTTTCAACATCCTTTCGATCTTCAAATCAAAACAGCCAGAGGAAGCTTTTACCTTTATGTCACACTATAATTTCTTATCTAAATTGCTCTGTCTGTGTTTGCTGCCCAAACATTCTACCATTTTGAATCTCAAATGTGAGTGATCAAATGATCAAAACTAGGTTACCTTTGATAACTCGGAGAGTTTTCAGGCAACTAGACATCTGTTTTTCAGAACCAATCTCTCAATTCTAAAAGGCTATTGGAGGAAATTGGGTTTATCTACAAAAATAAGTCCCCCACTCTCTTAATATACCACAAAACCCATCTAACAGAGAGCACAAGTTCTTCACACATAATACACAATAAAACTTCTTTATGACTTCAACCTAATTAAATTTGATTAATATAATCTATTAACACAATACAACAATGCGGGGACCTTGCTCGCGAAACCATAATCCATCTGTATAACAGGATAAGAAATTTCATCTTATCTACTTTCAGCATGCAAGTAGTCCTACTTAATGTGCAAAGTATCCCTCCGGTTACTACAACATGGACTGCCATAACCACAGCACTATTGATTTGTTCAGCAAACAGGGTAACCCATGCCTTGTGGACTGTCATAAATGCAGTTTGTAATGTTTGTGTTGGTGGATAATATACAATACTTTAAACCATACCACTCTATAAGCAGTCTTCTTTGTTATTGTTCCTTTTGAGGCAGCAAATTTATCTGTGGCATAGATATTATGTAGGAATATTGTTATCATTGTTGTTGAAACCCAAAGAACAGTGGCCAGGACGAAATCACTTCAATCATATCTAAGACATGTGCAAAACATCATCCTGCTGACATTTTATAAAATTACACATCCAAGTGCTGGCTCAAATGGATACACAATTACGACAAATGGCTACAATTAACTAAAAACATGGTAACTTGGGTGAAAATCATCCAGCTGTGACTATAATCCAACTTGCCCTAAGGTCTCCAATACAGTACACTGGTGCATGCAAAATTCCAGCTCACACAATTATATATTCTAGCATTTGCTCAGTTAGTACATAACCAAGGAAAAACTGTGCCTGCCAGTATCAACAGATGATGGTTATCACTAATACAGAAGCCTTAACATTGACAAAATACAAGCCAGCACTTCTGAGAAACGCAAGTCTAGAAAACCATTGGCATGCACCAAGCTGGTGGTGCAATTATGATGATGCTGGTTTTTTAAACATGCACTGTGCTTCAAACATGGCAAACCTGTCAGGGAATTGCAACATGAACAGAAATATAACAGGCAAAAAGACAAAGAAAAGTAGGCAAAACACCATATTAGATAACTGTTAATAAATAACATATGCGCTGATTTTCGAAACTGACCTCCATTTTCCCAATGATAAGTTTCACAGTCATTTTCAAGTAAAGACAACACATGACAAGACAACGTTGAGGTGAACGGGTGCTTGTCTGCCAGCAAGGATAATATCACAAGCAGAAAGATACAGGTGAACAGAATCAATCCAGACACCTGCAGCGCCTGTATATAGATAAAGTGGTAATTAAGAGCTATGAAGTTCTATTAACTATTCTCATGCTATATCAAAACTGTCCCCACTCACCTGACTGGCCCAGTTGTTTATAAAACCTGTACTCTAGATGTAACTGGGGTGCCCTAGACTTCATGGGTTCCTGAAAAACAAACAAACATGCTACATTAGTTACAAATGTTCACCAATAAATGTCCATGGCTGCTCTTGAAAACGGTTACTTTCCAGCAAGTTAGGGGATTGCTGCATAAGACAGCTTTGAAATACCAGGTACTCCAGGTAGATATTCTACATACCCACCTGGGCTCCTAGTATCCTGTTAAATTATGATTTTTGAAGAAGTCTATTGCTACATGCCAACACCCTTTCCGTTAAGCATCAGCACCACTCTTTTCAGCGGACAAGAGCATATTGTGGACAACATAGACATCACAACCAGACTAGCACTCACAGCAAATTCTATCAAATAAACTTCAATTCCAGGTGTACATTAAAGCTCTCTTTTTCCATTACATATTATATAAATATATCTCAAGTCTTAAAATTGTTGCAAGCCAGTGTTACTAACTACTCTAACATTATGAAGATCCTTCAAGATAGTCTGCATTGAATAATTATTGAAGAGTGATTGGCTACCTTGTATAAGTTAACCATGGCTTGTTTCCTTGTTTTGATGCTGCTCATGAAAACATGAAGCAATAATCTGAGCCACTTTGCAAAAATCTTATTAAGAGACAACCGAGAAGCTTAAAAGAGAAAGGAAAATGCTTTCATCGTTGCCAGAAATAAGATTCTGTCCATCTTTATAAGGTACATAACTCTGCCATTGATCGGTGCAGTTTTTACAAGGAAATCTCTCACTTAATATTTCATGTGACAATCTCAGCCTTAAAACTTATATCATAAAATTAAACAACTTGATGCTTGCTTGATATCCATTTACGTCAAAACATTAAAAAATTAATTTTGTGTATAACACTGATAACTGGCAAACATCTTTCAATTCTGTCATTGTCATTTGCCAAGGTAAATTACCTTTTGCATCTGACAAAATTCTTAGATATGCACATGAGAAACTAGCCATGTGGCCAGAACAGTCGACATTGAGGTTATCTTCCAGGTTGCAACAAGCAAGGACATGGAGAAAGGAAATCACAAAACTAAACTGAGTTTAACATGGCCCATGAAGGTGATTGGAAATACTCACTGCCCATTATTAGTTATTCACTAACTTTGAACAAAATGAAAGTACTTGATGTTAATAAGGAGGCAAACTAATCTGTAATATGTATATTATAAGTGCACCACAGTTTTTTGATCACATGCTAAGTATATAAAAATATTTGGGAAATGCCTTGCCTGGTTTAGACAGAGATAATAGTACCTCAGTACCAATCTTTTCAAAAACTTGATTGATGTAGAATATATTGACTTTTAAAAGAAGTGACTATGCAATTCCAGGAAAGCAGAATAGATTAAATGATCTCGCTGTCTAGATATGTTGCTCAGGGGCAAGAAACTTATCTGCTGATCAAACTTTTAAGTGTTTAGTTCAAGTAACATGCATGCTTACATCTGTGAACACCATTTAAGGCTTAATCATAATGAATTATTCCCAATAGAACTATATGTATGTCTTAGGTTAATCTTCTTTAACATAACAAGTAATGGTCACTAATGCAAATAAATGAAGGCTGGTAAAAACCTTCAAGTTGCTAGCTGAACTCACTTGTCATTTTATTTCTTTAGTAGCAAATACCAAATTAATTGATAACAGCCATTTTGGGAACATGCCAATCAGAAGGGTAAGGTTGTTTTTTCACAAATCCCTGAATAGTACAGGTGATAAATGCAGTATTAACTTTCAACCCATTTCTTGCTGCAACAATGCATATACATATAAATTCTTATCACTCGCCAGTCAAAATTAATGTGTTTTTTAACAGATATAAATAAGTACAAGCTAGACTTAAATATTCTTACAATCTGAATACAGATACTTACCAACTTAATTGCCACGTGTTCATTGTTGTACAGATTTTTGCCTGAAAAAATGACAGAAAGAAAATTAACAAATGAAAAAAAATGTTTTGTTATGATAATTGATTATTCAGATAATTTTAATACAGCATAACCTTTCAGGGGATCCCCAACTCCCAGAATGTGAATTAAAGCTTTCTAATTCAATGTTTTAAGAACCCCCTGAAACTGTTCTTAAATCAACTGGACTTAAGTTGTAATGAACTTCTATCATTTTTACTTTTGGAGACAATGAACCAGCCCCTTCATAGTAACTGCTGTAAGAAGAGGCTTCCCTGTAGACCTGACTTCATATATATGTCTTATAAGTTACAGTGATATTTTCTACGGAGGTACCCATGCAATCTGTGACACAAGCCTACACTGGTCAGAGACAATTGACTGGTAGATTTGACACTGGACTAGATAAAATACAGGACTTTTTGAAGTTACCAGTCCAATTGGAATAGTGGAGATTTCTAGATTAATGTTTGCACTATCTATAAATTTCATCTTTGGACCAGTAAATTTTGTCTCAGACTAGCAATTTTCTGCGGCCTACTAGTTTGAGTGTTCAGTGGACTGAGAAGACGCTAACTGACTTCGTATCCCCTGGTTGTGTCAAAACAGTTTCAGACAGACCAGGGTCTTGGATTGCTTTTCTGACTGTATCAGACCTGAAGGCAAAGGAGCTCAAATGAACCGTCATCTTGGTAGAGGAAAAAGTCCATTCAGAATCAAAATTTGATCCAGGTTCTATGAACACACGTAAGGCTGTCAGTAAAAAGGGTCATATTTTTTTAGGAAAAGAACCCACTTTCACTTGAAATTGCTAGCTACAGGCCTATCTAGTCACCATTTTAGGTGCCTTTATTATATTGAGACCAAAGACAAGGAGGATTCCACAGAGATAAACCATCAAACCGTTAATAATATGATATAGGGTTACTCATTCCTGCGTCTCTTTACCTGTGACCTATACAAACTGGCCCATCTTAAGTGCAAAAGGGCACGACATAAAACAAACTGTTCATTTTGATTAGTAGATTAGACCTCATAAACCCAATCGATGGATTCTACACCAAAAATAGCTTACCTTAACCATCTGAATGATTTTATTCAGATATAAGGAAGCTTTTAAGTACATTTTGTTGATTCTGACAACAGGACTTACTTCCTTTTATAGATAGGCTTTCTTCAACTCCAAAAAGCCGTCAAAAGCATTTCTTTTTATCAATAGTTGTGAATATATCCCTTTCATGAAATTTAACGGTAAACATTTTTATTGGTTGGAAATTCCAATATTTCATTTATAAATTAGGTTTATTATTTGAGTTAAAGTGATAAACATCCATTTTACGTCAATTCATGTCACTTTACACAATAGTATGACCCACCTATCATTTTGTTCAGGTGGTTACCTTATTCAAAGTCACATGTACATTAATAGACATGTACATTAATAGCCCAAATTTTATGTATTTACATTTGATATTTTCATCTTTACTGGCTGTGCTAGCCAAACAACAGAGGCCATAGCTGATTAACTTCTGTGGCACAGAATAGCAAGTTTACGAGTGCTGAATAAATATAGGTTTGTCACAGCGAGACGAGATAAAACATTTACTTAGAAATAATATGCCCCAATATTTGCAGTGAAAAATTTTTGCTTATTTAATAGAGGGCAAAAATATATATATGTGAGCAAGAGTGGTAAAAAATCTGGTTAAGTTTGCAAAGCAGGACAGCAAACAATGGTCTAGTACAGTTCTGACTTCTACTGTGGTGGAGACATCTGTTTCTAACAAATAATCAAAATAAATTAAAATGTCAAAGATGTGGACTGACCAAAAATTGGCACTAAAGCAGGCTCATGCAACTAATTTTATGACATTTCATTAATTTGACAAAATATTAAATTATCAAATTTTTTGTTTTCATTTGAATTTCATCCCTTCAAATTGAGCTTCATTAATTACATTGAATACCTTACCTAGCCTCAGTTCTCCAAAGTTCCCACACCCTATTTTCTTTCCGACTCTGAAGTTGGGCCCCACCATCAACACCCCAGACCCACTGCTACTAGTCCGGTTGCTGTGCATGCCTCGTGCGCTTGCTTTAGAAACCCGTCGTTGTTCTTCGGTTCGATCGCGGTCCCGATCACGTCTCTGATTGCCACTCATGGGTGTGGATACGGATTAATAGGGCTTTTGGAGCCAGATTGGCCACCCTACACTAAACAATAAAAGAGGCTTCAAATCTGATTTCTGTCTATGATATCACAGAGCTGTGTCATGCCTCGGTATACATCGCAGTCTCCTGCGTCTATTTAGTCCTTGATCGTGGATGGAGTTCCTCCATTTGTGCTCCAATTTATCCCAAAAGTGACAATTACATCCAAGGAATACAAAAGCTGTTCTATGGAACACGAACCGGCGTTGATTTTGGGCCAAATTATGTTGTGGTGCCCTCAAAACGAAATCTTTCGATCTTACACAGAGAAAAATGGTCAAATTATGGGATCACTGCGCCTAGATAAAATATTTTGTCCTAAACTTGCGTAAAATCCAATGCATCAGACATTGTTGAATAAAAAGTCAACAGCTTTCTTTATTCTTAAAAATTTTTAAATTCCAAGGGAAACTATAATATATTTATATCACTGGTTGGAACTATTTAGTTTAACTCTACAAATGCGCTATACGTCAAGGCTGTTTAATGAGGTCAAGGTAAATCCGCAACAGGGCGTACACCTTACAAACCGGCTTAGACGAGACACATAGCAACCCTAATAAATAGCATCGTGCGTCTGTACATTTTACATCAACACTTTCTTACAGGTTCACTGCTTCCTGTTATATTAAAAAATCGTTGCAAATAACACCTTGGTTATTGAAAGAAAACATTTGTTGTCGTGTGACGTCAATCAGTGGTGCTTTTATGTCATATCCGGTGAGTCTGAGCATGATCGGAAGTGAAATTAACATGGCGGCTGTTTTCAAAACCTCAGAAAATTTTATATTGTGAAAATTATTTATAATTATTTGCATGTAGATACCATGTTTAATTGTCTGTAAAAATCTTAAGCGTTTGTTTACAGATGTGTGTTATCACTGATAAACATGGTAACGAATGGAAAATACCTTGTAGTTGTGGCAGTTTTAGAAGGTAAATACTACAAATTTAATAATATTATTCATAATTGTAAGTAAACAACATAACATTACAATAGATCGCAACACTAATATTTTAATGAAATAGCATGGCTGACAGTTATTGAGATTACGAACCATTCCAACCCTGTGTGAAAGGGTGAATTTTGTCACATACCTAAGAAAAACATTGACATTTCAGGTCGAAATTTCCCCAGAAGACCTAAACACAAAATTATTGTCGATGCTAAGTTCGATGGAGAACTTTTATCAACAGATCCTGTTGATCATGTGGAGAATCCAGATTTTACTCAAGAACTAGCCTGGGAGCTAGATAAGAAGGGTCTTTATCAACATCGTTTGCAACGCTCTTCAATAAGGGTACAGTGCTATGCATATGATCCACTGAGCACAATGAGGGAAAACTTAGGATACATCGTCTTAGATTTAAGGTCTGCTCAAAACAAACAGGTAATAATCGATTATTTAATTTGTCAAATTGATCCTGTAAAAACTGTTGAACACATCAGCACTTAAATATGTATGTAAATCAAAAAGTGATCTTGAATTTGTGACAAACTTGAATTAAATTCCATGTCAGATGAATTTTTAATAAATAGTAGTCTTGTACTGTATTTGGTTAATAAATCATGTAATAAAATGTTCATGGACCATATTGACTTTGATATTTGACAGATTTTACTTTGAGCTGAAAAATTTGGGTTTGAGGGAAGTAGGATTTTATAAATATATATATATTACTTGATAGCTCAATCAGCTTTAATTGTTACTAGCGTATGCTCTCTGCATTTGTTATTAAGTCAAATGTTTCATTTTTCAGACTTCAAAATGGTATCAGCTTCTACTTCCCAAATACTCCAAGTCGAAGCCAGAAATGCGTCTTGGGATTTATGTGGAAGATGACAAGAAGATGAGTCAAACTGGATTCAAAGCCAAAGATGCTCCAGCCAGGGCAGGACAGAGTGAGGAGTTCAAATTTATTTTGTCCTGTAAAAAGTTTAGAATAGTTTGAATGCCAAGCCATCTCTGTATATCCCGTGGAAAAGAACTGAAATGACAGATGTTAAAGTGACCATAAATTTTTTCTTAGTTATAATTGATTAAAATAGTGCTTTGTAACCTTGCAAGTATAAAGTTGTCAACTTTGACTTTTTCTGTTTGACATTTATAAAGATTCTTTTATATTGATTTACACAGATGTTTTATGTTTAATTTTCAGGCTTGTTTTTATTTTAAGAAAAGTTCATAGAATTTAAAAATGTCCAAATTTTTCTAATGCTGCAAAATAAGGTTCCCATCATTATTCTGCAGGCTATAACTCTTAGGAATTTTATATCTGAGTAGTAAAACTTTGTATACTATCAATATTAAAAAAATATATATGTATTTAATGCATAAGAGTGTAATATCAAATAAATTCATTGAGATGGATGGTAAATAAAAAAAAAAAAACTGACTGAATTGAACTTTGAAAACCCATATATTTTTCAGTACCACTGAAAGAGCTAAGTTTGAATGACCTGAAGCCAGTGTTGAATGAAGCAGAGGGATATTACCAACTGGGACCTGAGGACAGATGCAATGAGCACTTTATGTTGTCTATTACCATTTCATTTGCCACAAATCTACCACAGGTAAAGGGAACCCAGTCAATAGTTGGGTTTTTTTCTTTAAGACAAAAATATAGACTATTATGAGCTAGGAAAAAATTGTTTTTAAAATGCCACTGAATTACTGTTAATCTAGCTCAAAAGCGTCGTGTCATTTTTTAATGTTTGTAAAGTTGTCACAAGATTATTGTTAAGTTAATGGCACAGTATTATACAGTACATGCAATATGTTTCTTCCAGCTGATACCCACAAACATGCCTCTCCCAGCCAGTGCTAATGGTTACTTCTTCTACTATGCCTTGTTTGGGAATGATGTCACCAATGCTACATTCTATGATCTGCTGAACCCTTCATTTCCTATTGAACGGGACTCAGTGAGGCTAAGGAGCAGTCCTGAGGCTTTACAACTTTTTCTTGAGAGGCAACCAGGAATACAAGTACGTATGGCAGGATTTATGTATTTATTTATTTATTGTTGTGAATTAGCAAAAGATATGTACCCCAGGTATTTAGTGAAAAAAAAAAAAAAAAAATATATATATATATATATATATATATATATATAGTAATCCCCTATCCAAACGCACACAAAGTAGAGAAATATACAAAAACATGACTAGCTTTCTTCTCTGTTTGACAGGAATCATTTACCTTGTTAACTACAGTCTTTTTGCATGACTGCACATCTGAGAGCTTTTGCTGTCTAATATATATGTGCATTAAATGTCTTAGATTCACTTATGCTGTGGAGACCAGTCTCTTGGAAGTGCAGAGGTACCGCTCAACTCTATGTTAAAGAAAGACAGCAATGAAATCTACATGAGACCAGTGATTATGGAAGGAGTCTTTCATGTGAGTACCTCAAAAGATTCTAGGGCATCCATGTGTGCAGACCCAATATCCGGTTCTTGTCTTCCAAGCAGAAAGTCTTCCAAAATCAATTTTTAAAAAGCAGACCAAATTATCCATTATGATCTGTACTGGGTATTTTTACTCTTACACTGTTCAGTAAGAAATGTGTGTGTAGTGAATGCTAAAGTGTAATGAAATAAGTGTGATGTAAGGGTATCTTTTAAAAATATGCTTTGTTTTGTAGATATTTTCACAAAAAAAAAATGTCAGCTTTAGAATACATAAAAGTTTATTAGAGTTGGATCAGTTTGGAATGTGTTGTTTTTTTGTGTTTTTGTATGCTTCTCCAGTACTGTTGCCTCATATCCCTGTCTGTTTCTCCAGCTTTGTTATCAGACCTTTGTTTGATTCTCTTGCTTTGTTACCAAACCTTTGTGTCTGTTTCTACATTGTTAACATACATTCCTGTCTGTTTTCCAGTTATCTCCACCAAATAGAACCAAGCAACAACTACCTCCTGTTCCTGAGGACATGAGACCTGCAGTGGGGGTCTCTGTTACCATGAGGAAAGAAGAACAGGTGATGACTATTATTTTTAAGATAAAGTGGTTAAAAAACCTACATTAGTCTTTGATGTTGTTCTTGTTGTTTTGTTTTTGCAGCTGGACTTATTTACTCTTTTTTAACATAATACCATAATTATAACAGATGAGAATGATACATCAGAATACAAATGTCTCAATTTCAATTATCTAGATTCAAGTGACGCCGTCCAAGCAGCATACAGATAGCACAGACACTCCTCCTGTGCTAGAGGATCACATCAAAGAAACAAAAAAGCAGAAAGGGAAGAGTGCAGACAAAAAGAAACACAGACCTCAGGATGAACAGTATAAAGATTCATTTGCTGAGGCAACTGGTGACAGTGTGAGTAGCCTGGAAGAGGAGAAGAAGGAACAAAGAGACAAAGGTATTGATTGTCAGACATTGGTTAACACCCTTTAGAATATCACCCACTGGCTATTGGTTATCACCCTTTGGTTATCACCCTTGGTTACTGCCCACTGGTAGTCGCCCAATATTTATTAATTTTTGTGTATATAATCCATTGGTTATCACCCACTGATGGTCACCCACTGGTATTCTTCATGGTCTTTGTAAGGTGCTGAATTGTGCAAGTGTCACTGCTGTACAGTTGAAAAAATGTATTGAAAGCAGAGTGACAATTCCATTTGGTTTTGTTGATAGACCAATCATTTAGTATATTTGATGTGAGATTTCTCTTTTTTTTTTTCATAACATTAGATAAAAAAGAAATTGCTTCACAAAGAGAAGATGAGAGATCTAAATCCCTACCAGTCACGCCAGAAAAACAGTCAGAATCTTCACCTCCGTCCCAGCAGCCAGCCAGGGTGGCTCCAGCACAGCCGACAGTATCAAGCAGTACTTCCACAACTACACAAGGTTATGTCGCCATCCCGCCACAGTCAAGACATTTTAGCGTCACTGTTGACTTGAGGAGCTTAAGGGACCTTGCTACAGATTCATACATAAATGCCTATGTGAGGTAATTAGAAAGGAAGATCTTGATTCGCCATGTTATGAGGAAGGATAAGTTTTTAGCAAATTGGGGAAACCAAAGTTTTACAGGGAATTTGAGCTTTATATTTAGTTACAAAATGCTTTTGGTCTTTCACCCATCCGAACTTCAGATATGCTCTTTTATTTTAACCTTCATAATCATGAAACAAACTTAAATAATTTTATTTTGAACTTTTAGTTTAAAGTAATATGCACTACTGTTTATTAAAAAAAAAAACAAGATTTCTTGTGTTAATTACTTGTATAACTGTCCTATGGTGTTTTCATGCAAAGAAATTTGTTAATACATGCAAGTCTTTCCACTACTAGTCAATGTTCCCTCATGTTTCCTCTATGTTCCAGGTACACATATGCCTTTTTTGGCAGTGCCGCCCCTAAAGTGAGCCACCCTGCAGTGGAGGTACAGCGAGGTAGAGAGGTGCTCTTACCCCAGGGGGTTTGCACTTTTGACTTTGCTGCAACTCTACACCAGCTGCAAGAAACATTCATGACGTAGGTATTTCTGGCTCATTTTACGTATACTGCTTTACATATGTAGGCATGTGTATATGTGTTCTATGAAACATTATACAGATAGGAAACATAATTATACAAATAGGAAACATAGGCTGCATGTAACATATCATGCACTGTTGGTATCTGAAGCTCAGTCAACTTGCATATATTATTTTATATGTACTTATATATGTGTACAGATTTTACATAAATACCTTGTTGAAAATACTTAATTTAAATTGAACACCTACGACTTCACTGAAACATCAACTATAGGACTACGTTGAAAGGTAAAAAATTTGGTGTGCTTTTAAATTAGTGATATTTGAAGCACAAAAAGATCACACTTTTGTATTATTGATTTATTGTAATAATTATAAATAATGATATTTTCATGGATCTGTCAGCGTCCCATTGGTGGTGGAAGTGTGGGACAGAGACAAGAATAAAGCTCAGGATACTTTGTTTGGAGTGACAAGAATTTCAATGGCACACCTGTTAGCAGCTGAACAGTCTCGGGTGGTGGTGAGATCATTTTTCACATTCTTATGCCTAAAGTGCGATCATGTAATCAGTCTTCAGTATTTCATTATTGAAGTTGGGCCAGATTTATTTTGTAAAATTTGTTTTGTTACTGTTTATTGTTTCTGGTTTAGACCAGTGAGTTTTTTAATCTTGGTGTGTTAAAGTAGCTTTAAAAATCTTTTGCACAGACTGTTAAGTTGATTTGATAGTTTTTAGCTAAAAATATATTAGAAAATTGACAAATGGGTTACCCAGGTTTCTGTCGATAAAATGTTTAATTAAGAAGAAAAATCGCACCCGACATGTTGCATTTTGTTGTAAACTTTCATTGTTGTTAATGGGATGAATGAAAAGCTGAACAAAAAGAGGTGCCTGTAGTTGTTTTCTTTTTTCTGTGTCACAATGACTGATGTTAGATCTATTTATCTTTTAGAAGAGTGATAACTCTGTAGGTTGGAGGCAAGTTTATGACACATATTGCTCTCTGATGTCTGTGGATGGGTAAGTATTGGACTTATAGGCTGTATTTTGGTTAAAGGTCCTTGCGCTTTTGTCCGAAATTTATTGCTTCAGCATGTTCAAATTGGAAAAAGTCAAGAGCGAATCATTTCTTAGTGTCCTTTGTAATTGTTAAATTTTTTAATTAAGGCCACCACCCTTCCTTCCCATCTGCAATATGTTTGGGATCACAGGGAAGCATATTCTTAAGTGAGTAGCCTATGTTTCTCCTGTTAAAAATTATTGTGGGTAACTGAAGTTGTCTACCTGATTTGTCATTGTGTTTCAGAGCTGGAAAGAGGGTGGGAGAACTCCATGCAGTGTTAAGTTTAGAAGATCTGGGGCTTATTAGCACACAGCATGTCTATGTTAACAATGAGCAGCACAAGCCACAGGTAAAACATATTGCTAGTACTCAAAAATTTATGCTTTGACAGCATTTTTTTAACAACACTGGTTTTTTTACCTGGGCATTATATAGAAAATATTCACATTTTGGTGCATTATAAATATCAGTCAAAAGAACAACAGTATGAAGTAGGATACTAGCATCACAAAAGATGGTCATAGCAACTACAAAAATTGTAGTATATACAGTCGTTTTCTGGTTGGTGGTCATTTGAGAATTGTTAAGTAAAATCTCTTTTTGTAATTCTTGTTTTATACAACCACATGGCACATCAGGTAATATCCTCTCTTGCAATAAATGTCAGGGAAGAATTATTCGGTTGGTCTATTGCTAGAATATTCTGGAATTTTTTCCATTTAATTTTTCTGACAGAATTGAAGCAATCAACAAAATGGTTTTTGGCCCGAATTTTTCAAGGTGCCTGACTATTTTCAACAATGTAGCCCACTTCATATACATTCTTGATTATAAAGTGACATTTTATGTGAAAACTCCAAAAGATGAAAAATATGTCAATTCACATTGATTCAGTCAACAAAATGATATCAATACTGGTTTTATTATAGGTATATGCTACAGATGAAAGTAGTACCACTTTGGCCCCTCCTCCAGCGCCCCCTGCTGTCCCACCTCAGCCAGAGCCCAGGGAGACCATTGAATATAAAGCTGCCCTGGAGTTAGAGATGTGGAAGGACACACAGGAGCAGGTGTTTGAGACACAGGTAAGATGTCTTAACACATGTATTTTCAATACCACTCTTTTCAGTTTGTAGCTCATATCTTCAATCTTGTGCATTTTTGGTCATGAATACTTCCAAATTTGATGTCATAACATCAGTGATGTTTGTAACTCCCAAATGTGTAAACTACATTGTAAAAAAAAAGACCTTTGTCAAAGTGTTATCACAATCAAAGTATTATCTATGGGTTGCTTAAACTTTTTGTTGGTGGAGCTTTGATGATACTATTCTGAATGTTACAGCTGAAAGAGAAGGAACTCCACCATTTAAGGGCCCTTGCTGAAGAATGGAAGAGAAGAGACAAAGAGAGAGAACTTCTTGTTCAGAAAAAGGTGAACAATTTTTACTGCTTGGTGTTACAGTTGCTTAATTGACAAAAATTTTCTTCCTAAGGCAGATCTTTTGTGTACCCTCGGCTTCTGGAAGCATTCACTTCTTTTTTGACTGCATCCGAACACACAGGAAAGTTAATCACCTAGCTGTTCGAGGAGGGGTGTCATTCAGTAAATCTGTTTGCATTCAGCCAGTGTCCTGTCAGAGTTAGATTGATCTGTGTAGAAATATAGTGTCATTGGGAATGCATCCAAATAGATATTCATCCCAAAGCTTATTTCATCTTTTCTACTTGTAAACATTGTACTGAGAGCTGTTTACTGTTTGTTCTTTTGCAAGTTTTTGGTCTATCAAGATATACCCTAAATTGTATATTTTAACATATTATAATATTGATTTTAATTTTTTTTATTGGCTGCTTTTTACCTGAATTAAATATATGTCTTTTTCTCTTTTAGATATCAGAGTATTCACAGCTAGAGGAACAACTAAGGAAAACCTTGGCTGATTTAGACAGAAGAGAGAGGCAGTTGGAATCTAGTGAAAATGAAGTATGAATATCAGTTTCTTATTATTGTTATTATTTTGGCAAATTTTGACCTCAGTCCATCTACAATTTTAATGCTTGTATATGTTAACATAAAGAAAAACTAAATTATAAAGAAAAAAATTAATATACTAATCTACACACCAAGACATCCTTACTTATGCCTTATTTTCAGTAAAAAAAATTATTGTTGAAGTAGTATCACAAATTTATGGGCACAATAAATGCTTCAAGGCTGTGTCTAACTTAATTGAATTGATTTTCAGTCATCATTTAGAACGCATTATATTAAATATTTGAAAGATCATTATGCATGCACATTCTTTTACTCTCTTCTTGTATCTCTCTGTTATATAGATAACCAGGATAAAAGCAGACTTACAGCGTGAACATGAATACAAGCTACATGAGATGAGGGAAGCCTCCAGAAGAATGCAGGAAGATTGTGAACATAAGATACAGCTGGAGAGGTGTGTGTTATGATGAAACATATTGGGTAGATAAGTGTTTTTGTTATCTTTTATCAGTGTACATGAAGCATTGAACTACAGGACCATAAAAAGAAGAGGGAAAGGCATATATTACATTATGATTACACTTTAGGCAAACTTACACATTATTCTCTTTAAAATTTCTTTACTCTCAGCTTTAACTTGTTGCTCATATGATAGATTAGCTAGTTAACAGTTTCATTTAAAGGTATGACATATATACCATTTTTGTGGTTCTAGAACAAAGACTCAGACGTTAGAGGAACAGATAGGAAGGTTGAAACAGGAGGTAAGGGATACATATATACTTGTCTTTTTAATGATTTTTTTCTTAATGTAAACATATGGTAACTAAGGACACTTCATTTTAACTGCTCATATGCCAAAAGCACTGGATAAACTGGAATGTGATTCAATTTCTGTCAAGTTTCTTTTTCACAATTTGTAACACTACTTGTCAAAATATGCTTTGAAAATATTTAAAACCCAATTTAATATCAACAGGAAAACATGTTTGCCAATAAATGATGAACCATTATAATAACAACAATGAAATCTGCATATTATGCTAAATTTACCCTATTTGTTTTATGTAGTTGATTAACTCGGAGAACAAAGTCCAGTCCCTGGAGAGAGATTTCAGTGTGTACAAAGAGCAGCAAAGCAGCAAACCCGAGGTTCGCCTTCAATCTGAAATTAATCTGCTGACACTGGAAAAGGTAGGGATGCTGTATCAAATCCAAATATTCTGAATTCAGGCACATTTTAGTCAATATGTTTGTATGTCCTCATTATTTCAATGTATAGATACAGTATTAAAACCTCCACTCATGTCAAATAATTCACATTAGATTTAAGTATTGTGGTTACTGAGCTTGGCATAAGATTATTATGATATATAATTGGATAAGGGCTTCCTGGCCAGGCTATCTGTAGGGATGTAGAGGTAGAGCAAGGCCTTATATAGTATTTAATCTACTCACCATTGTATACGTGTTAAAATCCAGGCTGAACTTGAGAGGAAGTTGGACTCTGTTTCCAAGTCTAAAGTCCACTACAAGCAGCAGTGGGGACGGGCACTGAAAGAGCTGGCCCGCATGAAGGAGAAGGAGCAAGCAGTTGCAAAACGACAGCTCCGCAAACAGCAGCAGGAGCTGGAGCACATGAGGCTTCGCTACCTGGCTGCAGAGGAGAAAGAGGTGGTAAAGGCAGAAAAACTAGAATTGGAGGAGATTAAGCAGGAAGTTAACAGGTAAAATAATGTTTTCTGTCACCTAAGTGTTAACTGAAAGAGACAGCAATCATTTTTTTAAATGTTTAAAAACATAAGCAAACATATTCATAGATGAAGCTCTTACTGACAAATGACAAATGAAGCTCTTACTGCAAATAAGAAAATATAAATAAGCAAGTGTTATTAACTGTCATTCAACAAAACAGATTAGTGGTATATTCATTAACATAAAATGCTGGCTTTGTCATTTCTAGACTAAAAGAACAAGAAAATCAGAAACAACAACAGCAGCAGCAGCCTCTGCACAAAGCAGATATTTCCAGTACATCCCCAGGAGGCAGTGTCCAGTACACCCCTCTTCAGCCCGACCCTGACACCACCATAGATGAGAGGATTGCTAGACTGATAGAAGAGAGGGACGCACTGCTGAGGACTGGTGTGTACACACATGAGGACAGGATAATAGCGGAGCTGGACAGGCAGATCAGAGAGGCTATAGCTAGAAAGAGCAGCTGACAGCTCCTGAGTCGCACGACACTGCTGTTAACACAGGAATAGTAGTTCAGAGACGCAGAATATGACTTATTTCTTGGGTCAAAAGTATTCACGTTGGTTTGATAACTTTATTGATTTGAGCCAGCAGGTTCTGAGCAGCATGAAGTGTAGTTTGGATCATTCTTTTGAGCATGATTTAGTTAAAAATTGTTATAACAGTTTTATAAAGTAACACATTGTGCTCAGTTTTAACAAGTAGGGTCATTAGTACATGAAGAACCTGGTTACGAAGGGCTTTCTTGCAATTATATTATGGAAGTCACCTTAAACAAGTATTTATTTGGTGTTCACTAAGACACATCTACCTGCTCGATATGACTTAATGCGACTTACCGACCCCCTGAGTTTCAGAGTACACTGGGAATTGCTGGAGCTCTCAAACTCACAGACGAGCTATTAAGTCTTAGTATGGAAACTGTTGCTGTACAAAACGATTGATGTGGCATCAAAAATAGTGTGTCAAATTAAATCAAGTATATTCATTTCACGCATTTGTTTCATCTCTCAACCTTTGGTAGAGGAAGAGTGGAGGTTATTCCTGCATCCGTCGTTGTAATACATTTTATATGGTATAATTTGTGACAGTCATATGTTGTATATTTTTTGCAAATGTAATATAACTTCAGCTGGAAGACATTTGATTCATGCTAGATTAGTAAGTGAGCCTATTCATGCTACTAACAGTGGGATTTCTATGTGGTTTCAAAGTTAGTTACCAGTGCTTTTTTCAAACAACAAAAACATGTTTAAATTAGTCACATTTGGGTACAACTGATTGTGGGATTAGTTTTACAGCTGTCTTATCAATCTCATTTTTTCTTTCAGTTCTACTCATGTGCAGGTTCATAGCTGAAAATGACTAGTAAAATTGCCCACTTTCAAATCCATCAGTACTGTGAAGTAACATTTTTCTGAATTTTGTTAATTCATTAGTTTCTTAGAAGGCTGAGTTACTTAAAATTGACCTTGAAAAGAGGTTGGTGAGGTTCATATTGGACTTGAGCAATAACTGTTGATCATGAAATTTAGTTTTTAAATAGAACTTTCGACCAGCAATTTTCCTTCTCTACCCTAAGTGAATTGTAGTGGTAATGTTCAGTAAGTATGGATTGATATCGCCAGTGCATATTTTTTCCAGTTATTTAATAATTGTACTGTATATATACATATGCAAGTTGTACATATACAATTTTAATATTATTGTAAATAAAATATATTTGAAAATTAATTTATATCTATTCAATTTATATACTGCAATGGCCATGATATTTACAAAACTAGGGCTTATTGTGTTAGGGAAGAACCCTAGTGTTGTAATCACAATCACAGATGTTTGGTAAAAGTTTCAGCGACTGTGGAGGACTGACTAATCAAATCCCAACAAAAATTGGCAAGTCAATCTAGTGACTGAGGAGGCACTGCAAGTGAAAACTCAAGCTTTGGGCATATTTGTTTCTTTTGAATAAAAAATTCCCAATCCATAGATTTCATAGATTGACTAGGCACAATATGTTACATAGCCCATCACAGCAGAAAAACCTCATTAGCTATTTTGCTTTCAAATATCGGAATTTTGAAGTAAAAAAAGATTTTGCCCTCCCTTAAAAGACAGACAAAAAAAAAACATTTACTGTTTAACTGTTTGTTTATTCACCAGAAAGACAACACTTCTATAACACTACAGCAAATTATGCAACAATAAAAAAATACTTGGAACCAAATAATCTGATTATACAGTAATGGTGTTATGTTTGAGAAGAATCTTAATAAATATCTTTGTAAATTTTAATATATTTTTGATACAATAGCTTAACTGTATATAGTGAGATAATAGTAACTGAAAAATATGCTCACATCTGAATAAATAAATAAATAAATAACTAGCACAAGGTATTCAAAAGTTCACATGCCTGAGCACTGATAGGAAACTGACTTATGATTTGTCTAAACAAGAAATAAAATATACAGCTAAGCTTATTCAAAAAGCATATACCAGTACCATAAGATAAAACTGCATCTATAATTATAATTCTGGGGCCGGTTTCACAAAGCAGTAGTTAGTTAGAACAACTAACTACTGAACTACCTCGCTAACAAGCAAACTTAGCGATGTTCGAGGGGTGTTTCACGAAGCAGTCGTTAACTCATCGCTAAGTTCAGTCATAAAGTTCGGTCGTTAGTTCTCTCGTACTCACCGTAGTCTCGAAACCGTCTGCCGGAAGTGGAACTCTTGCGTAAAAGTGTCACGAAAGCACTAACTCTCCAATTTTTGGTGGCTGGAAATGCATAAGAATGTCTGCTTTGAGGTCGTCGTAAAGGATCTCCACCACCTTTTTCCCGCTCTNAATAACAACAATGAAATCTGCATATTATACTAAATTTACCCTATTTGTTTTATGTAGTTGATTAACTCAGAGAACAAAGTCCAGTCCCTGGAGAGAGATTTCAGTGTGTACAAAGAGCAGCAAAGCAGCAAACCCGAGGTTCGCCTTCAATCTGAAATTAATCTGCTGACACTGGAAAAGGTAGGGCTGCTGTATCAAATCCAAATATTCTGAATTCAGGCACATTTTAGTCAATATGTTTGTATGTCCTCATTATTTCAATGTATAGATACAGTAATAAAACCTCCACTCATGTCAAATAATTCACATTAGATTTAAGTATTGTGGTTACTGAGCTTGGCATAAGATTATTATGATATATAATTGGATAAGGGCTTCCTGGCCAGGCTATCTGTAGGGAGGTAGAGCAAGGCCTTATATAGTATTTAATCTACTCACCATTGTATACGTGTTAAAATCCAGGCTGAACTTGAGAGGAAGTTGGACTCTGTTTCCAAGTCTAAAGTCCACTACAAGCAGCAGTGGGGACGGGCACTGAAAGAGCTGGCCCGCATGAAGGAGAAGGAGCAAGCAGTTGCAAAACGACAGCTCCGCAAACAGCAGCAGGAGCTGGAGCACATGAGGCTTCGCTACCTGGCTGCAGAGGAGAAAGAGGTGGTAAAGGCAGAAAAACTAGAATTGGAGGAGATTAAGCAGGAAGTTAACAGGTAAAATAATGTTTTCTGTCACTAAGTGTTAACTGAAAGAGACAGCAATCATTTTTTAAATGTTTAAAAACATAAGCAAACATATTCATAGATGAAGCTCTTACTGACAAATGACAAATGAAGCTCTTACTGCAAATAAGAAAATATAAATAAGCAAGTGTTATTAACTGTCATTCAACAAAACAGATTAGTGGTATATTCATTAACATAAAATGCTGGTTTTGTCATTTCTAGACTAAAAGAACAAGAAAATCAGAAACAACAACAGCAGCAGCAGCCTCTGCACAAAGCAGATATTTCCAGTACATCCCCAGGTGGCAGTGTCCAGTACACCCCTCTTCAGCCCGACCCTGACACCACCATAGATGAGAGGATTGCTAGACTGATAGAGGAGAGGGACGCACTGCTGAGGACTGGTGTGTACACACACGAGGACAGGATAATAGCGGAGCTGGACAGGCAGATCAGAGAGGCTATAGCTAGAAAGAGCAGCTGACAGCTCCTGAGTCACACGACACTGCTGTTAACACAGGAATAGTAGTTCAGAGACACGGATTATGACTTATTTCTTGTGTCAAAAGTATTGTTGTTGGTTTGATAACTTTATTGATTTGAGCCAGCAGGTTCTGAGCAGTATAAAGTGTAGTCTGGATCATGCAAATTCACATTCTTTGGAGCATGATTTGGTTAAAATTGTTATAACAGTTTTATAAAGTAACACATTGTGCTCAGTTGTAACAAGTAGGGGCATTAGTACATGAAGAACCTGGTTACGAAGGGCTTTCTTGCAATTATATTATAGAAGTCCCCTTAAACAAGTATTTATTTGGTGTTCACTAAGACACATCTACCTGCTTGATATGACTTAATGTGACTTACTGACCCCGAGTTTCAGAGTACACTGGGAATTGCTGGAGCTCACAGTAGAGGTTAGGTCCAATGAACTCCCAAACTCACAGACAAGAGCTATTAAGTCTTAGTATGGAAACTGTTGCTGTACAAAACAATTGATGTAGCATCAAAAATGGTGTGTCATATTAAATCACAGTATATTCATTTCACACATTTGTTTCATTTCTCCACCTTTGGTAGAGGAAGAGTGGAGGTTATTCCTGCATCCATCGTTGTAATATATTTTATAAGGTATAATTTATGACACAAGTTATATGTTGTATATTTTTTGCAAATGTAATATAACTTCAACTGGAAGACATTTGATTCATGCTAGATTAGTAAGTGAGTCTATTCATGCTACTAACAGTGGGATTTCTTTAGGGTTTCAAAGTTAGTTACCACTGCTTTTTTCAAACAACAACACATTTAAATTAGTCACATTTGGGTACAACTGATTGTGGGATTAGTTTTACAGCTATCTTATTTATCTCATTTTTTCAGTTCTACTCATGTGCAGGTTCATAGCTGAAAATGACTAGTGTAAAATTGCCCACTTTCAAATCCATCAGTACTGTGAAGTAACATTTTTCTGAATTTTGTTAATTCATTAGTTTCTTATAAGGCCGAGTTACTTAAAATTGACCCTGAAAAGAGGTTGGTGAGGTGCATATTGGTCTTAAGCAATAATTGTTGATCATGGAATTTAGTTTTTAAATTAGGACTTTCGACCAGCAATTTCCCTTCCTTCTCTACCCTAAGTGAATTGTAGTGGTTATGTTCAGTCAGTAAGTATGGATTAAAATTGCCAGTGCATATTATTTCCAGTTATTTAATAATTGTACTGTATATATACATATGCAAGTTGTACATATACAATTTTAATATTATTGTAAATAAAATATGATATTTGAAAATTAGTTTAAATCTATTCAATTTATATACTGCAATGGCCATGATATTTATAAAACTAGGGCTAATCGTGTTAGGGAAGACAATGTCTTCACAATGTCTTCCCTAACACACTTAGCCCTAGTGTTGTAATCACAATCACAGATGTGTGGTAAAAGTTTCAGCGACTATGGAGGAACAACCAATAAAATCCCAACAAAAATTGGCATGCCAATCTAGCAACTGAGGAGGCACTGCAAGTGAAAACTCATGTTTTGGGCATATTTGTTTCTTTTTAATAAAAAATTCCCCAATCCATAGATTTCATAGATTGTTTAGGCACAATATGTTACCTCATTAGCTATTTTGCTTTCAAATATCGGAATTTTGAAGTAAAAAAAGATTTTGCCCTCCCTTAAAAGACAGACAAAAAAACATTTATTGTTTAACTGTTTGTTTTATTCACCAGAAAGACAACACTTCTATAACAGTATAGCAAATTATGCAACAATAAAAAATACTCGGAACCAAATACCACCTAGTTAACCTATGCATCTGATTATACAGTAATGGTGTTATGTTTGAGAAGAATCTTAATAAATATCTTTGTAAATTTTAATATATTTTTGATACAATAGCTTAACTGTATTTAGTGAGATAATAGTAACTGAAAAATATGCTCACATCTGAATAAATAAATAAATAAATAAATAACTAGCACAAGGTATTCAAAAGTTCACGTCTGAGCACTGATAGGAAACTGACTTATGATTCGTCTAAAGAAGAAATAAAATATACAGCTAAGCTTATTCAAAAAGCATATACCAGTACCATAAGATAAAACTGCATATATAATTATAATTCTGGGCCCGGTTTTATAAAGGACGTTTAGCACGTTCATTTGTGTTGTCTGCTTTAATGTACTTTGGCAATGTCAATATCCGAGAAAAAGAGGTGCAGGAAACAAAACTGGTCTGTCAGTGAACAAACTTTACTGGTGGAACTGGTAGAGGCAGACCGCAGTACCATCAAAAACAAGCACACATCAAGCTTGGACAACAAGATTAGCAGTAAAATCACTGCTGTTGGAGCAGCTCGCAGAACCCATGAAGAGTGCAAAGAGAAATGGAGGCAGCTGGTGACTGCGGTCAAGAAAGCACACTGTGGCATACACAGCCACAGTGCCAAGACTGGGGGTGGAGCTCCTGCTCTATCGCTAGATGCCACAACCCAGAAAATCATAGAGATGCACAAGGACGACCCCGCCTTCAATGGTGTATCTGACGGGTTCAAGACAACACTGGCAGCTTATGACTCCCGTTATATCAAAATAAGTAATAATAATTACTAATTAGTGACTTATATGCCCATCTTAAGAAGTGAACTAGACACACACACACACAAACCTCAAATTCGTCAATGTCAAAGTAAGAGCAAAAATTCTATTGTTATAGAAATCCATTTTTTCAGATGAATACGGAAAATGTCGATACAAAAAACAACAGTACACACAAGCTATACAAGTGTGCATGTGCATTTTGCACGTGTTTGTGCAGTGTGAACATGCATATTTTTGTGCATGTCACAAAGCTATATCCAGGTGGGTCCACTGGATTCAAAAGAAACGCCAATGTTTCAGAAAAAGGTCTGCCTTATTAGATTAGATTTACAATTGGCATTCATTGAAAGTTTTAAGAATTAAAATGCATTTTAATGAAGGTAGATAATTATGGCCATTAAGGCACTAAGAATGTAAGAAAAAAAGAAGCATTTTAAAAACTGATTTAAGAGAATNCAATAAAATATATGACAATCAATTGTTCATTTGTGTTGTCTGCTTTAATGTACTTTGGCAATGTCAATGTCCGAGAAAAAGAGGTGCAGGAAACAAAACTGGTCTGTCAGTGAACAAACTTTACTGGTGGAACTGGTAGAGGCAGATCGCAGTACCATCAAAAACAAGCACACATCAAGCTTGGACAACAAGATCAGCAGTAAAATCACTGCTGTTGGGACAGCTCGCAGAACCCATGAAGAGTGCAAAGAGAGATGGAGGCAGCTCGTGACTGCGGCCAAGAAAGCACACTGTGGCATACACAGCCACAGTGCCAAGACTGGGGGTGGAGCTCCTGCTCCATTGCTAGATGCCATTACCCAGAAAATCATAGAGATGCACAAGGACGGCCCCGCCTTCAATGGTGTATCTGACGGGTTCAAGACAACACTGGTAGCTTATGACTCCCGTTATATCAAAATAAGTAATAATAATTACTAATTAGTGACTTATATGCCCATCTTAAGAAGTGAACTAGAAACACACACACACACACACCTCAAATTCATCAATGTCAAAGTAAGAGCGAAAATTCTATTGTTATAGAAATCCATTTTTTCAGATGAATATGGAAAATGTCAATACAAAAAACAACAGTACACACAAGCTATACAAGTGTGCATGTGCATTTTGCATGTGTTTGTGCTGTGTGTGAACATGCATATTGTGAGATTTTTGTGCATGTCACAAAGCTATATCCAGGTGGGTCCACTGGATTCTAAAGAAACGCCAATGCTTCAGAAAAAGGTCTGCCTTAGATTAGATTTACAATAGGCATTCACTGAAAGTTTTAAGAATTAAAATGCATTTTAATGAAGGTAGATAATTATGGCCATTATGGCACTAAGAATGTCAGAAAAAAAGAAGCATTTTAAAAACTGATTTAAGAGAATTGTGTAATATTCCAAAAGCCACTGCACACATCATCCTGGTGGAGAACAATATCAATGGTGTATTGTAAAAAGAGTGGGCAAAGGGATGTTTCTTAAACTGGGACCACCAAAGAGGCAAACAGCTCAAGAGAGAATTAAGAGGAACTGTGAATGAGTGTCATGTTGCTGGCAGGTGCAACCTTTGCATGTAAGTGCAAACAAGATTTAGAAGTTAAAAATAAATATTACAGATAAAGTTTAAAAGAGATTATATTTCAAAGCATACTGTACCTTTGTCACTTTTTTATTTAGTGACCATTTTAGAGTCAAAGTATACAAAAGGTTGATCTTTTTTAATAATTTAATTTAGCTTTCTTTGTTCAATCATTCATTTTGACTTAACCTCAACATATTGTTAACTCCCAATATGTTTATTTCATGGTATTGTAATTCAGCCCTACTGCTGTGACCCGTATGCCAGCATAGAATGGAAGCCGAAACTCTTTATAAAAAGGATTGTTCAAGCTACGTCATGTGATACCATGATGATAAAGTGCTCCTGGGCAGCATTAGAAATGGATATCAAAGGGGAGTCGATACTTTCTAAAGAATCCCATATAGCTGAAAATAATTATCTGTTTTATCAATTTATTATAACTAACATCACCAATATAGCTTCTCGATCCTCAATGATTTAAGAATGTAAAACATGAATAAGGAGTTAATTCTGAGAAGAGACATTCTTTCTATCTGTATATTAAGTAAATTAGTTGAACTTACTGGTTTTGAAAATATGATTAATATAAATCATTAACACATATGCAAAGACAATGTATTGGATTAATGATATTATGCAATGCAACGGGGTTGCGTTTTTGGCACCAAAGGTTTCAGAACTTGAATTTCAGCTGGTGCGACCAATTTAGTTCAGTAATAAACATACTGAAAAGAAGTTAAATGTGTCATCATGTTCTAGACTATGTTTTAGGTATTGATTTTTAATTTAAAAGAAATGTCATTTTATAATGTATTTTATCATGAGCATTTTTCTACTTCAATGAACATTTAAGTGGAAAAGTGTATGAAAAGCAGTTCTTCTTCAGTTATCAAACATCCATTGTTTGCTCATCAGATTTTGGCTAATGTTCATCATATTGTTACTTTCCTATCTGTTTATGAGTATGGTATATTTATGGTATTGAAATTCAGCCCTACTGCCATGAAGCCTATTAAAACATAGTGTGGGAGCCAAAACCCTATATAAACAGAGTAATTAGGGTAACCTCTCTGGACAGCATGATGGTGAAGTGCTCCTGGGGAGCACAGGATATGGACATCAAAGGTGAGTTGATACTTCCCAAGGCATCCCATATCATATACCCATAGAATCAGTTAGTAATAAAATGAATATGGTTTAACATGTATACATGTATCTTTCATTTAAAAAAACATTTAATAACATCATATATGAAAGGCTGGTCTTTATTGGTTATTTATTTACTGTCTTTGTTTAATAATTTGACTTTGGCTTATACTCATCAAATTGTTAACTTCCTATCTCTTTATGTCATGGTATTGTAATTCAGCCTTACTGCCGTGACCTCTATACCATCAAAAACAGAGTGGGACCCGAAACCATTCATAAACAGAGTCATTCATGTAACATCTCTCAATAGTATGAAATGATAGAATCAGTTAGTAATAAAATGAATATGGTTTAACATGTATACATGTATCTTTGGTTTAAAAAAAATCTAATAACATCATATATGAACATCTTTAGTTTAAAAACCTCAATGAAAAAAAGGAAGCTTACCAGTATTATAATGCAATCTGCATACAATACCTTGCTTTCAAGAGGAATAAAACAAAGATGAACTCATAATCTATAAAAAAAAATTAGAATGAAGAAAATGGATTCAGAGCCAGAAGAGTAATTAAAAATTTGAGTGAGTCTTGCAGATTTGAATATCAAATCTTAATCTTAAGGCTAAAAACCAGCAGGAATATTCATAATTGTGCAATATGAAGATATTGACAAAAGTATGGAAGATGAAACTGCATAACACAGTGGAAAATTCAAAGAAACTAAAAAGATTGATAGATAGATAGATAAAATTTGAGTTCATAAACAGCAGGTGAAAGACCCAAGTGTGCGAAACACCACCTGCTCAGAACTTTGAAAAATGTGGGAGTGGAAAATTTAGGGTCTTCCCACTCCTTAAAGTAAAGTTAATTGGAATGATGAAAAGGAATGCAGTGGGTCCGTNTAATTATCTGTTTTATCAATTTATTATAACTAACATCACCAATATAGCTTCTCGATCCTCAATGATTTAAGAATGTAAAACATGAATAAGGAGTTAATTCTGAGAAGAGACATTCTTTCTATCTGTATATTAAGTAAATTAGTTGAACTTACTGGTTTTGAAAATATGATTAATATAAATCATTAACACATATGCAAAGACAATGTATTGGATTAATGATATTATGCAATGCAACGGGGTTGCGTTTTTGGCATCAAAGGTTTCAGAACTTGAATTTCAGCTGGTGCGACCAATTTAGTTCAGTAATAAACATACTGAAAAGAAGTTAAATGTGTCATCATGTTCTAGACTATGTTTTAGGTATTGATTTTTAATTTAAAAGAAATGTCATTTTATAATGTATTTTATCATGAGCATTTTTCTACTTCAATGAACATTTAAGTGGAAAAGTGTATGAAAATCAGTTCTTCTTCAGTTATCAAACATCCATTGTTTGCTCATCAGATTTTGGCTAATGTTCATCATATTGTTACTTTCCTATCTGTTTATGAGTATGGTATATTTATGGTATTGAAATTCAGCCCTACTGCCATGAAGCCTATAAAAACATAGTGTGGGAGCCAAAACCCTATATAAACAGAGTAATTAGGGTAACCTCTCTGGACAGCATGATGGTGAAGTGCTCCTGGGGAGCACAGGATATGGACATCAAAGGTGAGTTGATACTTCCCAAGGCATCCCATATCATATACCCATAGAATCAGTTAGTAATAAAATGAATATGGTTTAACATGTATACATGTATCTTTGGTTTAAAAAACATCTAATAACATTATATATCATATCTTTAGTTTAAAAACCTTAATGAAAAAAAGGAAGCTTGTCAGTATTATAATGCAATCTGCATACAATACCTTGGTTTCAAGAGGAATAAAACAAAGATGAACTCATCCACTATAAAAGAAATTAGAATGAAGAAAATGGATTCAGAGCCAGAAGAGTAATTAAAAATTTGAGAGAGTCTTGCAGATTTGAATCTCAAATCTTAATCTTAAGGCTAAGAACCAGCAGGAATATTCATAATTGTGCAATATGAAGATATTGACAAAAGTATGGAAGATGAAACTGCATAACACAGTGGAAAATTCAAAGAAACTAAAAAAGATTGATAGATAGATAAATTTGAGTTCATAAACAGCAGGTGAAAGACCAAAGTGTGCGAAACACCACCTGCTCAGAACACTTTGAAAAATGTGGGAGTGGAAAATTTAGGGTCTTCCCACTCCTTAAAGTAAAGTAAATTGGAATGATGAAAAAGAATGCAGTGCAAGGGAAACATATTTTATAGATGTGAATTTGTAATTTGGACAAATGTTGACATGATGGTGATTGAGGTTAGATATAATGATAAATTTTGCCAAAGAAAATTATTGCCTGCTTGTGTTAGTTTTTTTAAGCAATTTATAGTACCTAATATTCTGCCCTGGAGCAATAAGAACAAACAATATTCTTTTGACACACCTGCATATAGATGTGGACAATGTGACAAAGAACTTCCTGAAACTAATCAAAAATCAGACATTTCTGATGCAAGTGTGGGTTGTGACTGTGTGTGTAGATGCGATGTCTGGTAATGACCACTTCAGAGTAAAAGTATATGAAAGGCTGGTCTTTATTGGTCATTTATTTACTGTCTTTGTTTAATAATTTGACTTTGGCTTATACTCATCAAATTGTTAACTTCCTATCTGTTTATGTCAAGGTATTGTAATTCAGCCTTACTGCTGTGACCCCTATACCATCAAAAACAGAGTGGGACCTGAAACCATTCATAAACAGAGTCATTCATGTAACATCTCTCAATAGTATGAAATGATAGAATCAGTTAGTAATAAAATGAATATGGTTTAACATGTATACATGTATCTTTGGTTTAAAAAAAATCTAATAACATCATATATGAACATCTTTAGTATAAAAACCTTAATGAAAAAAAGAAAGCTTACCAGTATTATAATGCAATCTGCATACAATACCTTGCTTTAAAAAGGAATAGAAGAACAAAGATGAACTCATCCTCTATAAAAAATTAGAATGAAGAAAATGGATTCAGAGCCAGAAGAGTAATTAAAAATTTGATCGAGTTGTGCAGATTTGAATCTTAAATCTTAATTTTAAGGCTAAGAAGCAGCAGGAATATTGCGCAATATGAAGATACTGACAAAAGTATGGAAAAAAAACAGTGCTGGAAAAAAAAAATAAAAAAATAACTGAAAGAGGCGAAAACATTTATGACAAATAATTAACCATTCCAAACATTATGTGACTCATTTTGACTTTTTAAATATATTTTTTGTACCGAAAGTAACCGACTTTCTTTCGGAAACGTTTCCATTGTAGAGTCTCGACTACGAGACTTACCCCAGTCATACAAATTCACGTATTCCAGATTTACTGTTTTCTATTGTTTGTTTCTATTATTCCCCCAGATTTGCTGGGTCAGCTTTCCAGTAATCTACTCCTACTTTCTTTTTTAGACATGCCAGGCTGTCTTTATTGCAAGAAGACTTTTTCAGATCGTAGTAACAGAAAGCAGCATGAGTGAAGTTGCCTGAATTGTTACTGTGGTCTAAAATTTGTGAAGAACCGCATACTAGCGGAACATTTCAAATGTAAACCTGCCTGCAAGACAGAGTAGGAGAGGAAGAGGCCAGCGGCCCTTGCCCCAGACCTATTGGAGGAGCCCCCACTGTTGGTGGATGTTACGCCTGGGGAGGAGGCTATCCTTGTGTAACGTGTTACACGTCGTTGCCACTGACAATGTGCAGCAACATGCGCGGCCTATGATGTTGCTCAAGTGTGGACTGGTGAGGCCATGACGCTCTCGTTGTTGTTTGGATGTTGGAGTTTTTTTGTTTTGGTTTGATGTTCCGTGAGCGGGGATTATTTGTTGCCTACAATTATTCTGTTTTAAAGTAAGTGCAATTCGCTGCTTTATTCCCAAAATCTTTTAAACAATATCTGTCGTTCTTGTAGTTTCTTATTACTTATTATGATTCTATGTTGCTTCTTACAGGTATGTCTGGAAGCCTTATTTTTATCTCCAAAGAATAAATATATTTGTAAAACCTAGTGTTGTTTATCACCTGCTTACACTTGCCCTGTCCCCTTTGGCCAGCCCCAGACCAACTGCAGGGGGAAAGAGATTGAAGATAGGACCACCCCCTGAACCCGCGGAACACCTAAGCTCTTCTGAAGAAGAGGAACCACCCAGCGTAGTGAGGGAAGCTAAGGAGTAGGACGGAGAAATTGATCGAGTGCCCCTACTCCACGAAAGGGAGGTGCACTACCCAGATGGGAGGCGGGAGATCGTTCACAACTTAAAAAAAAAAAAATTTTAATAAAAAAAAAAACATACATTCATAATAGTCCTCATTCTGAAGATTTTAAATGATTGTAAATGCTATAATAGTCATGTTCTTAGTCAACGCTGTGAATTAAACTCACTTCAATAGCAACTAATCTTTTCTTTGCAATGCAAGTGCAGTAGTTAAAAATCTTGCTCATGAGAATATGCCATCCGTACAAATGTCAGACATAATCCAAACAATCGTTCATTTTTACTGTGTTTTGTCCATTGTGTTATGAAATATATCTCCCTCAAGTCATTATACAACGGACACAGTAGTAGAAAGTGTATCTCGTTTTCTACAGTATAAACTTTCTGAGTCAAACAATATGGGCAAAATCTACGGTCTTTTTCTATATTCATGTGGCGTCCTTTTTCAATCATCAGACTGTTGCTTGAGCAGCGAAAATTTGCCTATGGAATAAAATTTTAAAAGTTTGATAGATCTAAACTGCTCTCCAGAAAAGCAGCTTTAATTACAATCTTACATTTGCCTCCATTCGCACAGAGTGCCAAGGCAAAACAAAAATGCAAGGGCACCATCATTTGGTTAAACACCCGAGACCCCATTTGATCAAAACATTACCATCAATATCAGTAGACAGTTTCTTCAACTAATTGACCTCCTATTTCCTAAAGGTTACCCCTACCATAAGATCTTCAACAGAAATACAGAGTAAGTATTGTAGGGCTGCATGAGCAACAGGGGGTCAGTAGCTACTGTGAAAAAGCCTGACACTCCAGCCGGTACCTACAAATACTGAAACTCTGAGGAGTGTCCCATTATGGTGACAGCTTGACAGAATACATAATATATAAAGAACAAGATTTCAAATTCGCTGGAGAAATCACAAAACTTCACTCAACAATTCCAGCAAAATAAAAGAAACAACTGAACTCTCAAACTACTACTGGGAGTTATGGGATAAAGGTGTGAGTGAAAATGATAGCATACGTCATGGTTGAGAATGTAGTTTATCGGAAGTAAGAACCTCAACAGCATGTTTTACATGTTATGTGATTAAGAATTGATACCATATTAATGTTAATTCATACTTTTACATTATTCACATCTTTATATATAATATGGCATATATTTTTGTAACATTATATGGGTATATTTTAGTGTTGTTTTAGTTCAAACCAGCTCAGTCTGACAGGCATGCTGAGATCTTATAGTCCATTGTATGTACCTTTGACTTGTCATCGGCTTCTTATTCATAATTAACTGCATATCTTCTGTTAACTACAATTCATAGGTTAAAACATTTCTCTCCAATCCTTGGGTTTTTCTATCGTGAAGACATTCTGAAAAAAAGAGGGAAAGAGGATTGCAACTTTTCTGAAAAAACTTAAACATGCCACCTTGTCTAATAGATCTTACATAAAGTTACAAATCACTAACATGTTTGGTAAAAAGGTAGGTTACTTTCTGAAATCAGCAAGATGGAAAAGCTTTCTGGAAAATTTTTTTGCTTATAATTTTACAATATGAGCAAATACCATTTTGGTTGATATGACTGTAACCAATTTGTGACTGGGATAGCCAATGTGAAGTTAGACTATGTTGAGTCAAAGTTAGTTGTTTCTTTCATTCCATTTAAAATGGCCTCAGTCAATCTCCATCCTTACAGGTATCATAGTGAGGCATCTCCCCACTTGATCTGGAAGTGGAATTCACATTCTCCAAATGTCCATGTTCTGTCCCAGTCAGTGGGTCTCATGTGGTGAAGGCATTTCAAATTGAGGAACTGGCAAGTCTGAAAAATCTCCCAGGAAAATGGGGCACACTGAAGTCATCAAGGCCAACAGATTCTTCAGACAAAAAGCACAAGCACCAGCATAACTATGGTTTGCCAAGCATTCCTGGAAAATGTAACCATACTTAACTAAATTGGCTTTTTTCCGTTTCCATGCAGAAGATTACTCAACTGGTCTGGTCTCAAACACTTATTTGGTAAAAAGTGAAGTATGGTCAGTTTAAATCGTTTGGATAATCTGTCAGAGAGGCCCAATTTAATTGCTTTGGTCAACATTATCACAGATATTGTTTTCTCTGAAAAACTTTTAAAGTCTTCTTTTAAAGCAGATAAAGTGTTACTGTTCATTAGATTTTCACATAAAACTACCTTAAATTTCCCTTCAGTTACCTTTGGCACATATCTATCAGTCTTGAGTCATCTTGTCTTACCCTTACGTAACATCCCTTGATATTACGATGATAAAATGTGTCTTGTGGTGAAAGCATTTCAAATTGAGGAATTGGCAAGTCTCAGAAATCTTCCAGGAAAAAACAGCCTGTAGCAAGCATCATCAAAAACTCCATCTGGACTTACATTGTATAAAGAACTGTTGAGCATTTCATAAATACTGTCATCTGTCCTTATTCTGGAAAAAAGAAAGTAATTAACACAGGTTTCTCAAACCTTAAGCCTTGAAAAACATTTTGTAGACCATGTTCTAAAATTATAGATTATTACTATTAGAATGAAACAATAGNCCCTTCAGTTACCTTTGGCACATATCTATCAGTCTTGAGTCATCTTGTCTTACCCTTACGTAACATCCCTTGATATTACGATGATAAAATGTGTCTTGTGGTGAAAGCATTTCAAATTGAGGAATTGGCAAGTCTCAGAAATCTTCCAGGAAAAAACAGCCTGTAGCAAGCATCATCAAAAACTCCATCTGGACTTACATTGTATAAAGAACTGTTGAGCATTTCATAAATACTGTCATCTGTCCTTATTCTGGAAAAAAGAAAGTAATTAACACAGGTTTCTCAAACCTTAAGCCTTGAAAAACATTTTGTAGACCATGTTCTAAAATTATAGATTATTACTATTAGAATGAAACAATAGACATCTCAAGTCAAAATTCTATTGTTTAGGTATCTCATAAAAAGGGGCGGATCCAGGATTATTTGAATGGGGTCCTCTGATGTATCTGTATCTGTTCATGTACGTCTATAGACACCAATACTGGTATGAAGTAGACGGATAGATGTGAAGCCGAGAATGTGATGTGAAGCCAAGAACCAAGAAAAAATTGTTGTTTTGGGGGGCAAACGTTGCCATTTGGTACGGTTTAGAACTACGATTCATCTAGTCAAAATTCTAATATCAAAAGGGGAATATTGGTGTGATTTTTTTTTTCATATATCGAAGGGGGGGGGGGGAGGGTAAGAACCTGCCTGCGCCCAACCCCTACCCCAAATCCGCCATTGATAAATGCATATTCCTGGACAGAAAACATAAAAATAATGACTTTGTCTTAAATTGGAAGGACGCTATATTTCAACTAAAAGTGATAAAATATTTACTTGCAACTAATATCACACTCCTCCTCAAATTCCGTCAATGAACATCGAGTAACTTTACTGGGCCTTGTTGCAGACGCTAGGAATCCCATCTCTTTCATTATGGACGGAGGAAGGATAGACAATTACTCTTTTTCGACTTGACTTTCATCTCAAAGCCCTACGTGCGCGTTCTCGAATCTGCCGCCATATTGAAAATAGTTCCAGGAATCTTGGCAGCNACCTTCAGTTACCTTTGGCACATATCTGTCAGTCTTGAGTCATCTTGTCTTACCCTTACGTAACATCCCTTGATATTACGATGATAAAATGTGTCTTGTGGTGAAAGCATTTCAAATTGAGGAATTGGCAAGTCTCAGAAATCTTCCAGGAAAAAACAGCCTGTAGCAAGCATCATCAAAAACTCCATCTGGACTTACATTGTATAAAGAACTGTTGAGCATTTCATAAATACTGTCATCTGTCCTTATTCTGGAAAAAAGAAAGTAATTAACACAGGTTTCTCAAACCTTAAGCCTTGAAAAACATTTTGTAGATCATGGTCTAAAATTATAGATTATTACTATTAGAATGAAACAATAGACATCTCAAGTCAAAATTCTATTGTTTAGGTATCTCATAAAAAGGGACGGATCCAGGATTATTTGAATGGGGTCTTCTGATGTATCTGTATCTGTTCATGTACGTCTATAGACACCAATACTGGTATGAAGTAGACGGATAGATGTGAAGCCGACCCTCACCAGGGCCTGCTCAAGAACCAAGAAAAAATTGTTGTTTTGGGGGGCAAACGTTGCCATTTGGTACGGTTTAGAACTACGATTCATCTAGTCAAAATTCTAATATCAAAAGGGGAATATTGGTGTGATTTTTTTTTCATATATCGAAAGGGGGGGGGGGAGGGTAAGAACCTGCCTGCGCCCAACCCCTACCCCAAATCCGCCATTGATAAATGCATATTCCTGGACAGAAAACATAAAAATAATGACTTTGTCTTAAATTAGAAGGACGCTATATTTCAACTAAAAGTGATAAAATATTTACTTGCAATTAATATCACACTCCTCCTCAAATTCCGTCAATGAACATCGAGTAACTTTACTGGGCCTTGTTGCAGACGCTAGGAATCCCATCTCTTTCATTATGGACGGAGGAAGGATAGACAATTACTCTTTTTCGACTTGACTTTCATCTCAAAGCCCTACGTGCGCGTTCTCGAATCTGCCGCCATATTGAAAATAGTTCCAGGAATCTTGGAACCCGTATGTAAACAGCGAGAGACCAAATCGTTCGCGGTGCTTGCGATATGTATTTTTGCGTTCGCACCATGAAATCGCGTTTTAAGTCGTTTGTTTGGCGTTTGCAATCACAAACCCGCGGCTCGAGATCTATTTCTCTTTTTTTTCGTTTTAATAATTTTTTTCTTACAAAGGAAATTTTACTTTTAAAATCATAATATAAGCCAGGCTATAGTAAGCATTTTAAAATATGTTGTGAAGTGTTCCTTAAAAACATATTTAATAATTGTGTTTTCGATACCTTTCTCTCTGAGAGCAATTTCATTTATTAATTAATTAAAAACTTTCAATCCCAATGCTTTTGTCTCAAATTTCGAATTCCAGTTGGTTCGAATTTTAATTAAATTAAAAAATTGAAATCAGAAAATCAGTGCATGTCTCTTCGTCAGTGGTGACTTTGACACGAATAGAAGTAAAAAAGGTTGGTAGTTGAATTATTAGCAGAGTCTATTTTATAAAGAAAAAAATTACATACATGAAATACAACTAAAAACGACGTTAATTTCTTAATGTTTAAACAGTAGTTGCTTTTTATAAGAAATAAACATTATTACTTTCTTCTTTATTTATTTGTTTATTTCGAAGAATTCGACAACTGTTTTTAAATGATAGACTTAATTATCTTTAAAAAGTCACAAAACTGTGCACAGTTTCTCCAAATATTGGGATCATCGTTTTCGGTATTTCTTCATTTACAGAGGTCTGACCCTTTGACCATACACACATAACAACTGGCAGCAAGTATCAAATATACCCCCGCCTGAACACCTAGTATCATTAAAAGCCGAGTGACCTCGCTGTCGTGACCATCCTCCTTAAATATAACTAAAATTTCCTCAACATCGCTATCATTCAGTTCAACAGTTAAAGCCTTTCCTGGGTGAGCTGTCAGCTGGAAGCAGTTGTCGGATGTCGAGTTGAGACTGGTGCCGTAGATTGCCGAATAGAGGGGTACGTTGGGAGTTGAGGCGTTGGCGGGGTATGGCACGTGCATTTTGAAATGAGGCAACTGAGTGTCACAGTGAAGTTGGTAGTCGTAGATGGAAGGACTCGGGTAGCGGGCTGCCCAAGAACTGTACAGGGAGGCACTGCCGCTCGTCATAGTTACCTGCAACCAGATGCGCATTTTCATGAGAGATGATACAGAGCTTTAAAAAACACTCCAAGTTATATATATATATATATATTCTTACTTTATTAAAAAGTATTTTCCTTGGATATCCTATAAGTTTTGATGAAGACAGTGATTAGTATTACCCAAAGGTATACAAAATGCAATCATTAACAAGAATAAAAAATCGACTAATATTCAACCAAATTCAAAAGGTGAAATCATATTCAACTCCAAAGAGCAAGGAACTTACCACTAGGGTGAGGTTATCCGTGGGGACGTTGAACCTCAGGTACTGAACCTGGCCATACTCCAGCTTACCACTGATATTAGCTGTCACACCTAAGCTGGCTGGAAAGGATAGGAAGAAAATTGAGCTTTTACTTGTAAACTAAATACAAACTGATGTAACGGGGCGAAAAAATCGCATTTATGACGCTTACAGAAAAATATTTGAAATGATATATAAAAGGGAATAAGGTTCTCTTTTACTTAGACTATACAATCCACTACAAACTTATAAATAATCTCAATTCCTATAGCATATGGATTCTAATTGTGTCGTTCAACGTCTCTAGGCTACAGTATTACAAAAATTGAAATCTTTTGCGAAATTCTTAAGTAACGCCTACCTTTACACGTTCTCATTTCAATCTCATCTCTAAGAGAAGTGACTTCGCCAAAATCGTCCAAGTTAAAAACATGAAGGCACGAGGGACAGCTCCCTATGGCCTCCAGTTCTTTTTGTTCTGTGGCGTTAGATATCCCAATAGCAAGCATGGTGATGTCGGAATCGTGAAGGATGCGGGCAGCTCTAAGAGTCCACTGGGGCTCGGTGGACTTGCCATCCGTTATAACGACTCCAATCTTAGGAGACTTAATTGTCTCACCGTTCTTTTCCCTTAACGTGCTTTGTGTTTTGTGAAGTTGCTCCAAACCGACTAAACCGTAATCTGTCCTTGTTGGCCCGCCGAGGTAGCGTATTTCTCTGATGTGATCGAGAAGACTGGCCTTCGTGTTGTGTTCGCCAAGGCGGATTTCGGTCTGTGAGAAGCGCGCATATTGGATGACTCCGACACGGAATTTATCCTCGCCTATATCTAACCCTTCGATCACGCTGGTTAAAAACTGGAGAACGAGGCGAAAGTTACTGAAACCAACGCTGCCGGAGGAGTCCAATACAAATACAACGTCGGCTCTAGGGAGTTGACACCCTGAAAAAAATATGATGTCCAGTCAGATACATTCAGAGATCAAACAGCACATTAAATATTATGAAATGCTTCGATATGTTTTACTTATACATTAACGATATTAAAGATAGTCATATAATGCTTTGAAATGTAACAAAGGGGTCAATAACATAAAGGTTTCAAAATGAATATTCGATAAACCAAAATTAGAATCAATAAAGAAAAAATACACGAATCGTGCGTCAATGCACAGAGTAGGCAAATCTGTTTAAACTGCATTATTTCTACTCTAGATGTTACTATCAGTTCTATAAAACAAAACGGTTCTGACTCACTGGTATTGTTCAGAAGCTCTTGCACTGCTCTGATAAAATGCTTTTTCCTGGAACGAGCTCCCGCTCGATAATGTGTATTCCAGTACATGGCTTGGCCCTCCAGGTCGCGAGGAAGATCACGGGAATGTTGTGCCAGCCTCAGGCGGGCAGCTAGACCCGAATACAGGGGTGTTCCCAAATCTCTCCAACTGAGAGATGTCCAATTCACGAGAAAATGTTCTTCCACGGCAGATCGCAAGGAAGCCAGATTGGGATCGCTTTTAGTGTCTTTGAATGCAGACTTGGTAACCTAGGGCGAGAAAACAGTTGCAGCTTTTGGCGCTTTGTAATTTGAAGCCAAATCCATTAGGAACATGCATGGGAATTCCATACTCATTTTCAGGGAATTCCACTTATAACGATTCTCCATTTATTCATCACATTTTTTAACACGGATGCTTTTAAGTTAAACAGAAGGGTCACCACTTTGACTTTGAAGCATCAGTTATATTAAAAGGTGAAAAAGGGTTATCAAACCAGTAACCGGTAATTGTAAAGGAAATGGATTTTTTCTTGTAAAAATAATAGACCTTTTTACCACCTTGTTTGACCCTAGATGAAAATCGGCATAGTACCTAGACCGAATTTTGATCCAGGGCAGTGACTTTCCAATCTATTTCGCATCTATTTTTAAAAACAGATCTCAAACACTACTATCCTTATGTACTTAGAAAGGTTGATAAACCCAACATATTCACGCCCAAGCACTTTATAAATTGATTCCTCCATTTACATACTCTGGCTATAAGCTTGATGGCTACACATGCACCAATATTAATAGAGGAACCCTGTCTCGTCCAGAAAGGCTCCTGATGAGTGTTTCAGATAAGGGAGGTCTAGGGGAGTGGTGTGAATCCCATGAAGGGTGCCATCTAACTCAACACTATTAAAACCCTGGAGAGTTGGAAAGCGAGTTTGAATTTTAATTTAAAACAGCCAAGGCTTCATTTTGCCTACAGTCAAGGCAGGCAGTGGCATAAGATGCACAGCATTTAGTAATGGACCATACAGTTCATACTCTTAATTGACAAAATGATGTAAATAAATCCCCCGTGACCATATATCTAAAAGCGTGAGCACAAAGTGTTTTCATGAAAATTATGACAAACATCTGAATTCATGACACACCAATCACAAATGTAAGCTGCTGAATTCCTACTTTCATATCACAAAAGGCTCTTAACTTGACTTTGCCTACTTTGGTTAGTCCTAAAATCAACTGCCCAATCCTTAAGCTGCGTACTGGTATGGGTTTTATTGCTACATGTGTCTCACCTTCTCATATCTTTAAATTATATAGTGTCTATCATCTCTTTTTGTATTCAGAGATTGCATGCAAGGACCAAGTTTTTATTTACAGCACTAAATTCCTCTAAACATTAAACGTTCTTCTAAGCACCAAATGATACCATAATCATTATTCAAAAATGATTTTAATCTACTGCGGCCCTTTCGCGTAATTTCATCTAACAGAGACACACAATGTAGCATCAAAATTCACCTCTGTCGCCTCTTTGAAGCGGACAAAGTGTCTGGGCATCGATGATGTTATCTGACATAAGAAAACACCAATTCACTTTATCAATTGTAATCACAATTATTATTTCACTTATCACACTTTATGGTGATATCTACCTGCCATATGCCGCCCAGGTGCGGGTGACCGTGTCGCGGAGTGAAAGAGTCGTTCCTTGTACCGTCTTTTGTCTCTACCCAGGCGATCCGTCTAAGCAGCATGTTGTCGTTCGGGAAGATGCACGAGCTCTGGATGAGGTCCACCACGGCCTCCACCACCTCTGTGCCCCTGCCTCGGTCCTCGCGAGTCACGTCACGAAAACCGTGACCGGTGCCGAGCAGCTTTAACAAAATAAACATCGCAAGAAAACACCCCTGGAGCATTTTCATCTTCTTTGAATATCTGTCCTATTTTCCGCCTCTATAAAGTTTGGTCAGTACTACTAGGTCATTTTTCTATAAAAGTAAACTAACTGTTAATGTAGGCTTTTGTTCTAATTGGCTCCTTTTTTATATTGCAGAGTAATAAACTGCTATTTTCCCTATTATTTTTTTAGTTCCCTTTATGACCCTTCGCAACGGCCGCACTTCTGAAGTGCTCTTTTTTAAATGACGTTCTGTGTCCCAACTAAATGGTATTAAACGTGAATCATAGGAATTAAAACAGTATTGTTCGTTTTTATCTCTGGGGTCCAGATTGTATGCAGGATCGATTTTTTCACCGAGAGATGTAAGCTCGGTTACAGTGGCACTGTGATACAGCTACAACTTCGAACGTTCAAAGTAGTGTCGATAAATAAATCACTTTTTTTAAATTTTGACAAACAGTCCTCAATAGATGTTTTCACCGATAGATCAGGTTTTTAAAAATATTAAGAAAAACCTACATGCAATGTTTAGTTCAAACTGATAAAATGTTGGAAAGCTTTATCTTTATTTTCATTTTAGCTAAAAAACTGTTCCACTGAGTACCAGGCGTGAGAGCACACTATGAATAATAATGATAAATGTAATAATTATAGGCCTACACTTTTTTCTGTAAAGAAGCTCTAATAACTATATTTTCCATATTAGATTTTCCTTCAGGGCTGCATACGCAAGTTCTCATTTTGCCTTACACCGCACAGAAACTGTGTTAGTGGCGAATTCCCTCAAAGGGCACATTTGACTTATTAACATGTGTCAACGATGGTGACTCAGTGGACGTTGTGCTAAGTCTCCCTTTTTTGTGAAAATAAAACATGCAACTTGCTGTATGTTCATATTCTGGAGTTGGACGGCGATTCCTTCTTTTCCCATTTGTGAACAGTGGTGGCGATACTAAGAAATCGTTTGAAACCCCTATATAATTCTTCTTCTCTAACGCTAATAACGCTTCGTAAAAGTAGGACAAATGTAGTGTTTTCATACCTTTAAATCAAGTCATGTCTCGTAATGCCAGGAATTTGGGAATGGACTATAAATTATTTCCTCAATTCCAGGCACTGCATCGGAGGATTCTGCATATTCAAAAGTATTTAATATGCTATGCCAAGGCAGGATAATTTAAACTATCACTTTTCTTATTTAATCAGTCTAAATCTAATCTACTTTAAAATCACGATCGTGAGTCGCAAGTATACAACGCTTTGTACGAACCATAACATAAAATAGCAAACCGAAAAATGAAATTTAATTGCCCTGTGATATATTGAAGGATATAAATAAACTGAAAGTAAAGGGGGAGACTGTTGCATTTGCGCCCAATTATCATGTTTTACAACTTCTAGCGTGCGTATCATGCCATTGACCATGACATGATAAAGTACTTCCTCACGTGGTCCGTCTTTGATGACCTCCCTGACATTTATCTTTCCGCGACTAAATAACATGTTTCGCCCGCGGACCCCTCCGATCTCATTATGATACGCCTTGCGGTATGCAAAAGCTATATACAAGCCAGTATGCCATCGCAAAGGGAAGCCTGCTGTTTCCACTTGGAGGGGATGTGTTCGATGACAGAGATCCATATGTTCACACAAACAAATGCCTTCACGGAGGACACAGCTGGCTCAGTTTATGATTCTTTGTAAGCGTGTCACAGGTTTTGTTCTAAGTTTAGCTGGTCGGCCATGAATGCACCACCGATAAGGAATCACGGACGTTGATATTCAGGCTGGAAAAAAATAATGTCGTCGTCGAAATGGGCGTCGCTATTTTCTCTAATTTTAACCTCATTCATGCATTTTCACATAGGAGGAAAAACGGAGCAGGTAACTTATGTTCGAGTAGGCCAAGGCGCAAATGTCAAGCATATCGTCCCAGTTGTGGATGTAAAACTCGACGGACAACAACAAATACATGTGGTTCAAGGCAAACAAAGACAAAATGTGCAGGTGCAACCGCAAACTGGCCCGAAACATTCAGCTGATAAATATATTGTTCCACAGCATTTGCAGCAGCAGCAGCAGCAAGAGTACAGTAACCATAGGAATCCACGACAACAGCAGTCAATACAACAGCCGCAGCAGCAGCAGCAGCAACAACAACAACAACAACAACAACAGAGGCCATTAGTGCAGAAACAACAACAGCCAATACAGCAACAACAGTTATTGCAGCAGCCACAACCAGAGCAAAATCAGCCATTACATCAGCAACCATTGCAGCAGCAACAGCAACAATCATTACAGCATAATGAGCAACAGTCATTACAGCTAAACCATAATCAACAGTCATTACATCAGCAACCGCAACCAGAACAGTCATTACAGAAACAGCAACAGCAACAACCATTACAGCAACAGCAGAACCCACAGCTACCATTACAACAACAACAACAGCAACCCCAACAACCATTACAACAACAGCAGAAACAAATACATACACAACAGTCATTACAGCATCAGCAGCAGCAACCACAACAACCATTACAACAACAGCAGCAACCACAACAACTATTACAGCAACAGCAACATCAAATACAACCTACTCAACACTCATTACAGCAGCAGCAGCAGCAACCACAACAGCCATTACAACAACAGCAGCAATTGCAACAACCTTCAAATCAGCAGCTACAACAAATACAACATACACAACAATTTTTACAACAGCCTGTAAACCAACAACAGCAGTGGCATCTGCTACAAATACAACAGCAGCTACAGCAGCAGGAGCAGCAACGGAAGCAGCAGCAACAAAACACCGGACCTCAAGTTACGCTGAAGGTAAACGTTGTAGATCACCAACACCATGGACAAGGAAACACCGGCCCACGGGCACCTGTTCAACGTAATACTGAACCACCATTTCAGTCTCAAGAAAGATCACCGCCCCCCTCACCTATGAGGTCCGAATTACTTCCAGCGATAGAAACGAAAGGAGAGCCTTGGCCTATGCCCAAAATGTATATCAAGGGAACTGGAGTCTACAGGATATACGCAGAAAATTTTGGAATATATATCACCGGAAAAACGTGTAAAATTATAGAAGAAGCCAGAGAACGCTACACGAGTATCATTCTTGACACTGTCATCGATGTGACAACGAAAAATCCGGGGAACGAGTCCATTTTTCATAGACGTTCAGAAGTTGTGCTGAAACGCTTGAATGTCACTTTGTTAGCCAAGTGTGAAGAATACCCATCTCTAGGAATGGACGAGTCTTGTAAGATTATCCGGTTTTAAGATAGTGTGTGTGTGTGTGTGTGTGTGTGTGCACGCGTGCAAGAGAGGGAAATGCGGGAAATGCGTGGCTTTGTTGGGGCGCGCTTAGACGTATGATAGAGAAACGATTTTCCATTCTAAATCATAATGTAAAATGTGAACGTTTTAAATTGTACTAATACTGTCATATTTTCCTGAATCATTGACAAAGAATAAAATGGATGATAAACGTTTCAAACGTTTATCATCCATTATATCTCAGATATATACGCCTGGTGATGTATATTTTATCTCCAGATGAACTGACGGTTAACTCCCGTGGGGCCCTCCTTATTTCCAAAAGTGTGTGGGGAATTTTGCGAGGCTTGGAAACGTTCAGTCAGCTAGTCTACGAAGTGTCGCCAAACTCGGTAAGATAATCTAATAATTTGCATCTGAATGTCCATGAGACAACATAATTGAACACTTCCCTTACTATTCTCCACTGTAAATAGGATTCGACTCTGTTAAAAAAAAAAGCATTGTTTTCATTCAGTTTTGTGCTCATGTTTAAATTTCGTTTATTTGATAACAATGTGATGCCAATACTACCATTGTTACTAAAATCCTGAATACATCGTTTTCAAGAGAGAAATATGATTCTGACACGTGCTCCCTGGGGTTTTTAGAGCATCAATATACCTCGACATTTATATAGTGCAATAGTCACACCGAAATTGGGTGACAAGACTTTTTAAGAAAACGTGATCGAACTCGACAAAAAAGAGAATAGGACTTTTGAGTCGTGCTGTGAACATCTATTGCTCTAAGGCTACAGTGCAGTGGGTCGCAACAGACACCATTTGATGTCTTAATGGCTGGTCAAGTTTAGTTCAACAGGCATATATATTTTCTGGGCATTGTCACCACGCCTATGTCAAGCTAAACATCAGAATTTACTCACCAGTGTGATACCTGTAGTCCCCTTATCATAATTACGTATCGATAAATCATATTTAAAATTACAGGACATTTCAATTTACACCCACCAGTCAAGGGGGAACGTGATGTGAGAACCCTACGGAAAGAAATAAAGTCGAGAACACGAAAGTGTAGACCTAATATCCTTACGTAATTCCTTATCACTTCACACACACACACACGCACACGCACAAACTTTTGTCAAGACCAGATATCTTGAAGATCGCTTTTTCACTATTAATACAAGTCCCATGATACCAGACATTTTCCCCTGTCTTACCGTCTGCCTCAATGTATTGCAGGCTGTGATGCAACTTAATTAGTAAAAGACCACATATGCAAATTTGGTACTCAAAATTCGAAGAAACTCATATCAAGATTAGAAGGAGGTGTGTTGATACAATTCCTTGCTTAGGTACCAGAAGAGCCTGTTGGGCTAGTATTATGTAATAACACTGACATTTGAAGTCGGTGCATCATACGCCCACACTTTATCATCAGTATTGCCTGATATCCAGCAATACTCCACGTATCAAGATGTACCCATTCATTTAAGTTTTACGACACAACGTATTCATGTTTTCTCGCAAGGCATTGTGAATATATATACATCGTCTTTTTAATGTTCGAGTCAGAAACAAATATGGAGGTTTTGATACCACAAAAGTAAGTACGAGAATAAGGTATAAATTTTGACTCCTAAAAAGGGGGTAGTATATCGTTGGACATGTAACAATCGAACAGTCATTACGTGTTTTCATTCATTTGAGAGTATACAGACAATAAGAATTTTCTTGCAATTGTCAGGTTTTGCAGTTAATAAGCAATACCAACGGGTGTAAAAGATGCATGATGATGCATAGAGTCCCGCCGTCATACTGACTGTACTAAGACAAGAAAACCACAAGACAGAACATGATATATTTTTATATTGCAAAAGGTCGTATACTTTGTGGACGGAGATTACAAATCTCTGCGTTAATACATCTCAAATTAAACAGGTTACATTGATATTCTGACCTATTTAGACATGGTAAGAAATGTCGGGTTTTATGTTTGTTTTTAGCTTCAAATAGGTGAAGTTCGCGTGAAGGACTCCCCGCGCTTCTCACACCGTGGCATCCTGTTAGACACGGCCAGACACTACATTCCAAAGGAAATCATCTTCCAAGTGCTGGTGAGTCACGTAAACTTAAGATGTTTTTTTTTTAAATAATTGCCTTCAGTTTAATTACGAATTATACATTCGTAATCATGACGGAAGTAATTTAGCTTATCTGGAGTCGTCGCCAGAATGAAAAAAATTAATTGAAAAAAACTGTTATGAGTGATTAAAAGGGAAATTTAGACTGCATGAGTATCGAAGATAGGAAAGAAGTTTTTTTAAGCAAATAACATTCTCCACAAAAAGGGAGGGGCTACATAACTAATAACGGCACACAGATAAAAACAGATAAAAAAGATAAAAAAGGTTAATCGCCCTGGTTTTTAAACCACTCGCCTTATCTGGAAAATATATCTGGAGAAATTCTAGTCACGTGCCACCCTCTGCCTCTACCTAGCTTCGGACATGCCTAAAATAAATGGGACGGGGATTGAAAGAATTTGTTACGTAAATTTAAGTTTCAAATTGATGTTATCAAAACGCTGGAAAAGTGCGTCATGGGTGTTGTGCATCCATAGTGCTAGCATTCGACATCGAGAATGCGCATCTGTCCAATATTTAATCATTTATTCGATATGATTTACCGTATATTGCAGCAGGGTTCAAAAGTTAAGACGGCATATTAGAAATGAGCAGTATTTTCAATTTTTAAGTCGCTGGTCAATAAGTCACCTTGTTTATGTCTGATTCCAAGTGATGGACCTACGCGTTCTATGTCTGGAAGTTCTGGCGACGACACTAGCAGACAGAAATATCGACGGACATCAATCTATGATATAAAATGGAAGAGTGCAGAGAGAGAGAGAGAGAGAGAGAGAGAGAGAGAGAATGAGAGAGAGAGAGAGAGAATGAGTTCCATTTCACCTTCTCCGCAAAAACATTTTTAAAACGCGCAGTTTATAATAAGGATGTGAACATATGCCACCGCTTAAATAAATTTAATAATTTTAGGAGTCTATGGCGTATAATAAGATGAACGTGTTCCACTGGCACATAGTTGATGACCAGTCGTTCCCATACTACAGCACAGCATTTCCCAACCTCAGCAGAAAGGTAGGTTGCACAGTTTCACCGTAACTCTAGGACATCGGGGACATCATGGAATACCGACATTAAAAAAACTGATATGCGATTTCTCGTGACACCCCAAATTCCTTTTTACCACGAAGTACCATGAGTAAGGCGTTACACGTGCATCATTATCTTATGAATACAGATCCTGGGAATATATATATATATATATACATATAAAGCACTTGCGAACTTCAAGTTCAGTATACGTTTTTTTTCTTTTGCCCAGTAAAAGTTTTTTGTCACTGTGACACAACTTTCAGTTTAGAGATAGAACCTGTGTGAAAATTGAGACGATTCATATTTTCAGTGTAGGTGAGAGCAAGGTCTGAAACGTGTGAAAGGTGGCCCAAAATGTGTTATTATAGAGGTGGTTAGAGTAGACGTGATTGTTAATGGGGCTGCCTCTGTATATGGCAGTGTATAGAACACACGCCATGCGAACTGCTTGCATGCATCCTAATGTTTTTGAAGCTTTTAAAAATTTCCTAAGGGGCGAGACGAGTGAGAGAAAGAAAAAGAATACGATTTATGAATGAATGATAGATGAATGATAAAATGATGAATGTCACTTTGGAATGTATAATTTGTATAGTAATGTTGTACGATAATGCATGTTTTTTTTTTTATTTTGCAATGAGACTTATTGTATAATCTCTATAGGGCGCATATGATCCTGATACCCATATTTATACTCCCAAAGATGTCCAAGAAATCATAGAGTATGCCCGACTTCGAGGCATTCGTGTCATACCTGAATTTGACACCCCAGGTAATAATGCAATAAAAGTTGCTGACTTCAGGGCTTTATTGAAACCACCTTCAGTTAACTTAAATAATGAAAATATTTTTTTAAAAGCTATTTCAATTTCATTGGTTTGGCGGATTTAAAGATAGGGCCTTCATGCGTTATGGTGTACTGATCTTAGTCTTTTTGGTGTTTACTTATTTATTTACATTTTAATTTATAACTCTTTTATTTTTTATATATTCATTTATTATTTCTTTGTCATTTTAGTTAACCTATTTTAATCCGAAAATATTACACTCATACGAACACAACTGAAATGTGTTTAATTTGTAAACATCGAATCAGAATCCCTAGCTAAAAACTTATATTTATCCCCTTCGGCTTATTCTTCGACTTTAAGGCCACACGTTATCTTGGGGCTGGGGACAGGAAGGCTTGCTTACGAAATGCTACAGTCCTTGGGGCCATTTGACAGGGCACGGTCCCATACATCCCTTCAGGAACAGCACCTACCAGTTCCTCGGGGAACTCTTCAAAGAGATAACCGCTGTTTTTCCCGACAAACATCTACATCTCGGCGGGGACGAAGTGGACACTCAGTGCTGGTATGTTTTTTTTTTTTTTTTTAATGTACTGATGAATATTATTTGATGCTTCTCTTTTTGCACCTTCTTTTTGTTCTGTACATGTACCTTTCTTTATGATACGATGCATTGTTCACATTCAACTGCAATCATTGCCTAAATTATAACTTCTTCTGTCTCATTCAAAATATTTTATGCCGAATTATAACTGTAAAGAGGGCGTCCGCTCATGTAAAAAAGCGCTGACAACACAGATAAGTTTATATTTTTCATCTAACAAACATCTGTCAATTCTCTTCCTTCGCAGGATTAGCAACCCGTTTTTTCAAAATTTCATGGCGCTTAAACGCCTGTCGGATTGGTTTGTTTTACAGGAGCTTTATCTTAAAAAGTAAGTCGTTATCTATTTGGGACAAGGTGTACTGGCTGGATTGTGGTGGGTAAGGGATGGACTGCATGCTATCTAGTTGTAGTTTAGACGATGTTTTATTGAGAAAAACATCACCCTAATCTTATTCACATCATTTCTTTCAAGGAATTTTACTACCATCCGCCAAATTGCTTGTCAACACGCTTAATTACAGATATTCAAATAATTAATGATGCCTCACAAGTCAAGAAACCAAAGGAATTTTTTTACGGGTCGCAAAACCTTTTTTTATTTAACACAAAAACTAGTAAAATAAAACACTCTTCATGTGTCAGTCATGGACACTGATTTATATGCACGTCAAAGTGAAAGGATAAGGTGTAAGCGGAAACACATAGCAAAGTATTTCCATTGTGAATATATGCATCCGTTGAAGTATGCTTTTCCCTTTTCATGCATTAAATCTAAGCTAAGAATCATACAAAGATAAAGAGTTGCATTTTCCTTGGGCCATGCCAATTACGCGAAATATGTACGTTGTTCCATTAAAGAAACAAAAACATAGTGGCAGTGAAAAATATAACATTTCAGTTGGCTTTATTTCCTCAAACGTGTGAAGAAGAAGAATTATACGCAGCTTTAAGATATATCACAAAGGTGCGCCAGTTTTGATATATGCATGTTACTTGGACTGAGTTTTGCATGATAAGTGGATATATGGGGAAACGGGCACGTGGCAATACCATTAAAGATCCGGGTGTAATAACTTTTGTTTGGGTGAAGTGTTAATTTTTATTTAGAATAGAATAAGCATTAAAAGAGTGAAGGACATTGGGAATTTTTTTTCCTGTATAATAATTTGGGAAAAATTAATGCGGAAATGGTCTTTATTATTTGGAGAAATGTTTATAAGTTTGTTTTTATTTTTGTTTCTGTTTTGAAATATGTTAAAGACAAAGGGGGCGATTTTTTGTGTCTTATTGTTTGTGATTGATAAATGTGGCTCAAAAGTAAAATTGATATTGGTCATTAAGGGGGAAAAAAAACAACGCCATCGAATCAGTTTTGAAGGTGCAATTCGCCTCTAAAAATCGCCACCTTTGCTTTCAAATATCACTAAATAATATGACGATGAAATTGACACAGAATTGTGGAAAATGATTACATTATGAATGTTTTGGATTGCTGTGAATAATTGAAACTATATTGTTAAACTGGGCTGCACAATAAAAGTCACCAAATGTATAGACAAGAATAATAATTACGTATTACATGTGCATTACTCATCTCACAGAATATCATTAGTAAAGGGTCGTAAAAGCAACCTGCACTATTTGATTATAGAAAATACTGCATTTAAGACAAGTGAGGGGGGGGGGGCAGAGAGAGTTTTAAAGTATGGTTTTTCATTTTATTGCTTTCTGATATATCAGACCAAAGTAACACAGCACCACCTTAGCGGTAAACTAGTGGAACAAGGACATCAAAAGGGCGCAATATTTTGACCACACCTTTCCTTTAATTCCCCCAAATGTGATGAGTTTTTTAATGGGTAAAACATACAAAGATTTTGGCCAGTACGCAACTGTGTGTCTCAGTGTATACCTTTTATCTCTTTTTGGAAAAGAAAAGGAACTGAAATCGCCTGTTGGTTCGGAAAGGGTACATCGCCTCTCAGGGTCTGCCTATGACACGTTACATTTGAACATAAAAAAAAGAAAAAAATGGCCTTAACTAAGGCTGCTAACCTTTATAGCTGACTACATAAAGTCAACCTAGTAATAGTTCGAAAAATGCTTCACGAACGGTTGGCCCACGATATACTTTCTCATATATAAAAACATGTAAAAAGCATTCTCTAGCCGACAAAAACTTTGTCAGGGTGGGGTTTAGTTTAATGGAAAAAAACTCACCTCGGTCAGATAAGATTCTCAGCAGTCTGAGCCAAGACCAACTTTGGTTTGAGTTCTTTTATGAAACAAGACTTATATTCTCACATATACTTTCAGATTTTTACGCACGTTGGTCGAGGTCGTACCGGAAAAAAATAAGAAAGAGTATATTGTGTGGCAGGAGGTGTTTGACAATAGAAATAAGGTATCACCCACTGCATCTCACACTTTGACTTGTGTCTATTTAATAAGCATATCCTTCATTTGGCAATGAACAAAGTATATATTCTAAAGAAAGCCGATTTTAAGTATTTGTGATGATATACAATATGATATTTGGGCTAATGTATTAGACTTACATACAATGAATGACCTGTCGTAATTCAATTTTTTGAAACGATTTTTACAAAACTTTGCTTAAATTATTGTTGAATTGAAATTTCTCACATAGGTTTCCTAGTGACTGCTATTCTCTCTCTCTCTCTCTCTCCGATATTCAAGTCATTGGTTTTCTAAGATGTCATTTTCTACTCAGGTACCCAACACCACTATAATTGAAGTATGGAAGAGCCCTGAAGACTATCTAGTCCAAGTGACGAGTGAGGGCCACAGAGCGATATTCGCATCTTGTTGGTATTTAGACCACATATCTTATGGGGAAGACTGGAAAACCTACTACGCGTGCGACCCACTGAATCCACGATTCTTTTATGGTAATTTCAGACACTGCATGGAGTGGGGATGTTCATCTTTACAGTGGTTACATTTCATAAATATATATATAGATAGACCTATATAGTTTCCGTACTGTATCCTAGCCTCATATTATTCGTTTAAGAGTCTGGTTATTTGTCTGAAAAAATTCATTCATTGAATCATCTGTTTTTCGGGTCTGAAATTCCCTCGTTACTCATAGTCTTATTTATCATAGGTACAGAAGAACAGGCTAATAGGGTTATAGGCGGAGAAGCGTGCCTCTGGTCCGAATATGTTGACGAGACCAACGTTTTAGCAAGACTGTGGTAAGTATAAAGGCCTTTTTAAGATAAAGACTGAAGCCAAAGCAACCAGTCCACAAAACGACGAGACATCTATACATTCTGGTAGATTATAAAACGCCTATATTTTCTTTGGTAACAGGGATATTTAAATGTAAGCAACTCTCAAAATTCGAATGATTAGAAAGGACACACCCTTATAGGGTCATGTTTAACAACAGTGAAAGTGACGGTAATTAACGGCAACATTATGTGGAAACAGTCTAGTTTAGGAAAGTATCCCATTTTTCTCCTTTGGTCGATTTACTGTACCCCTTATGTCCGTTTTTTGTGTACCCTAGGCCCCGTGCATCAGCCACCGCAGAGCGGCTGTGGAGTCCACAAGAGACGACCCTCGACTACCAGACGGAATCTCGCCTTATGGAACACCGCTGTAGGATGGTGAGGTAGGCGGCGATCACAGGGTGTAGATTCAGGCAACGTTCATCACTTGGCCGTGTATTCAAGACCATATCTGAGTGTATTTGCACAACTTCATTAATTTGTGAAGAGATGTACCAGCAGGCTAAATTTGTGGATTTTTTTTCCTTGAAATTCAATTTTATAAACATACGCAGTGCTGTCTGTTTTTATACTAGTTTTAATATCCAACTTGGAAAAAATTGACGGGTTTCCTGTCCGGTATCTTTTTTTCACCTCATTTTACACGCCAATAATGATTCTTTCATATCGATACAAAAAAATACTCAGCCTTGAATGTTGATATCAATTGTGTTTTCAACTTCCAGGCGAGGAATTCCGGCACAGCCATTTCATAAGTGGGGTGGCTACTGCAAGTCCTTCGCGAACAGCCTCAAATATCACTGGAAAAATGGCAAGAGGAAGCGAGTGGCGTCCCCTGTTGTTGCTCTTCTGGACTACTGCGGTAAAACATGGAACGGCTATGGCGCAGCATACCAAGGAGTGTTTCTTGGGCTTAACGTCTTAATGACACTAATACTGATGCGAATGATGTTGAAATTTCGATCAAGGCCCAGGCTTAGGTCTAACTAAAGAAACTACGAAAGAATGCTTATGCCATTCTTATTATTGGTGCAGATGTATGGGTAACGGGCTAAAATAACTTCAGCTATACATATGTTGCTCTTTTCGAGACATCACGGGATACAGACGTGTTATAAACGTTTGAGAACCAAAGAAGTGTTTTCTTACAGAGGCCCAATTATTTTCATCTGCCAATTTATTGTATTCTTGTTCGTTTTCATTATAATTGAACATGGAAAATATATTTTTTAAATTGTTAAAAAAAAACGGTATCGAGATATTTCGATATCAATAAATACAATAAACGTTATTTACATTTACATGTTTTAGTCGATTACGTGAGAGATGAAAAATAATTCATATAATAACTGGTAGAGAAATGGTATCAGTTTGGCTTCACTGCACTGGTGCACTAAAGAATATAAGAATATATTTTTATGTCCTGAAGACAACTCGTAACATTTTTACGATCTTTACCTTGATACAGTTTGTTTCATTTAATTCATTCTTAAGCTCGTATGGATTACTGATGTAAAATCAAAGGAAATTGGTTAGTAGACCTAAGTCAGGATTAGGCGTCTTTTTGGGAGGGAATTACATCGAATGTACAACGGTGAATTTCTTGTGCATTTTTGTCGTGGAATTATGAATATTTAATTCAGAGCATGGATTTAGAAGCTTAGATGTTTGTTAATTGTGACTTTTTTCCTCAGAGGGATTATTGGAGTTTGTCAAGCTGAAATTTCAAAATACCAATATTTAAGTAAGAATGCAAGCCATTTGAAAACGAAAAAAGGTAACTACACGTAGATAATTAAACACATACAAACGATCCCTTAATAACATGTATGTGTTATGGGTATCAAAATATGAAGTTCACGCAAAATGCGTATCATTCGTATGTGTTTATTTGATGATGATGATGATGATGATGATGACAAATGAATTAAATGTAAATTACAAATTCTTTTCTTTTCTTAAAAAAGTCAAATTTCGATAATAACTTAAGTCAATTGGTAATACTGCCATTTGTTTATAGCGAAGCCATTCCTCGGCGCATTCTAGAGCCAGTGGTTCATAGTCATAAAGAAACTTGTTAACAAATAATTCCTTTCTCTCAACCATGAATTGAAGATCTCCGACACCGAAAACGCATATCCCCCGTTGCCATTTGCCGTAACATTTGTCCACGCCCTTCCAAGCAGCCCATACCGCCAACCAAGGCTTGGAGTCCGGCACACCTGTCAGACAGAAATATCAAAGATTATGGTGTTATGTAAATCATCATTTTACACCAAAAATCTTTATTTTGAATGGTGTTACTACTGGCGCACCTGTTTAGCAGTAAGAAAGCTATACATATATTACGCTCACTCGTCAGAAATCTACTTGTGTGTTCGCAAAAACGTCGAGCATTCACATGCTATACACGATTTCGAAAAACACGTAAAAGACAATTAGAATAAGGTAGACGAAATATCCCTCGGAATAATTGTGAAAGACGTATTATGACTGTGATATTTATACTTCCTCTAAACGTTTGAATGTTTATTTCAAATTCTATATTAATTTGTATAATTTTTTTGATAGTTTCACCAGACATTTTTTCAGAACTCACGAAGCTTAGTCATTTGAAACGCGGTATACTTCAGTCATGTATTTTCCATCAATGGCAAAACACATTTTTAAGCCACACAATTTAATTCGCGTACTTTCTCCAATAAAAAAAATGTACAAGTATTTGGGATACTCACCGTCATAACCCCCAGGAGTATTCAAGTGCGGGTTGTACTTCAAGAAGTTTAACGTGGCCCAGTAATATTCATCGGGGCTGTAAGTGTCCCTGGACCATTCTAACAAAGCCTTGGCCGACGGATTAATTAAAATAAACCTCACAAACTGTCTACTGAAAATTCCATATGCACTGCCTCGAATTATTGTGATATTATTTGGCGGCTTGCTCTTCAGAATCCGAGTATTATTATAAATGCGCTTCCCATTCTTTTCTTGTATGTCCCAGTGATACCTGAATCTGTAGGCTATTCCACTCAAGCGTCGCCCTGTTATCCCTTCGATGTCATTAGCACCGTTGTATAATTTCAAAATCTGGACCATTTCATAATTAGTTTTCAGAGGGAATTCTTGACTAGGCAAGTTAATATAGTATTTCCATTGTTCTGGTCTTTTGTAGGAATCATGCATGCAGTTAATTTCTGCTTTGAGTCTAGAAAAACCAGCATAGATTACGCGCTCTAGTTTAGACGCTATAAAAACGTTATCAAAACACTTGGCAATGTTTCGAATAGCTATGTGCACCGTTTCAGATGATTTAGCGTCAACATGTATACAATACGTATTTTGAGGACGGTATATTGCACGTAACAAACGTTCTGTCTGATGCACGTCCTTGTATAGTAGAATACTAAATGCTATAGGAAATTGCTCCTCTTCTTCTAGTGAGTTTAAAACGTACCCACGCGTCCTTTTAAAGGTATCACAATTTGATGTCAATTCTCCAAAGGCGTGATCGGAAATAAATTTTGGTTTGGTCATCTTTACTCGGCTTTTGGCGTAAAGAATTTCTTCTCGATCTCCCTCTAATAATCTGCGGCAGTCGGACCTGAACTGGTGTTGGGTGTGGTTCACTCTATCCGCACTTTTATGAGAATCTTGAATAACAAAGTAGTCAATAGCCTCACTTGTGTCAGAGGTGGAACTCTGTTGGAAAATTTGCATTTTTAGAAAAAGGTAAATAGAAAATATCAACACGGTGCAGGTATAGTAGGCGTTCCTCTTGCGTCTCGCCATGGCCTGAAATTGATGAAGTGAGTAAATGTCACGTGCACTTATTCTAGCAAATTTCTTAGAGGCAAAAGAGAATAAAGCTCTGATCCTGAAATGACTCTTCTTATCCACTCACGTTCTTTTGCCACTCTGTCAAGCTAACGAATGTTATAACTATTTTCAATGAACGATTTTCCACACAATTTTCTCGGTAATACTGCAGACACGGAAGTGCCTGTAACAGTCTATTGGTAAGATAATGATGAAACATGACCACGTAGAGCTCACAGGCACCCAAAGCGAGATTGACTTTAAACCTTGTAAAGCAATTTAAGTTAACACTTATCGTACTTTCTTAACGTACTTTCTTAACCGTTTAAAGAATAAAACGTAATAGACAAGATCCCAATTAAGATATTTTAGTAGAGTAGTTTTAAAAACCACGCTTTATTTGCTCGGTCTTGTAAATTGCGATAAAATAGGATGAAATGTCAACCAAAGGAAAATATCTGTAAATGCGTCAAGCACAGATGAAGGTCACAAACTGTTTGCACAAAGCTCATGTTGAACGAACTGGACCCTTAGAAAAAAAGTGGAAGCGTTAAAATTATGATACAACTCAAGTATCGGTATTCACGACAAACCGGTCTTGCTCTAGTGCCATCACAAGTTGGAGCTAGCCTAGTTGCTGGTTGGCAAACTTCCATGGTGAAACTGAGTCTTCATCACGCGACCCAGCAAAGATTCGAAGGCACGGCTATGTGGTTCATGAAATGGTTATTGTGATAAATGTGAAAGAACATATATATGTGACCAAATTATTATATAGACAGCGCGACCTACCCCAATGGTAGCAGCCCCTCCCTTGCCCTACCCTCCAACTGATCCAATGACCAACGAACAATACTGACCAGAAGTTCCTATGTTCATCATGAAATCCCAGGGTCCATCAAACAACGCTGGGGTTTTGAAGTTAGAACGAAACGGCGACGTCAGACTAAACCCTTCATATAGGAGTTGGAAGGTCGAATTACGTAATCGAAGAACCTACCTAGCAAGACAGCCTGATACCTGAGCATCTGAACGCGTGAATGTAAAAATATTTCAAGATTTTTGAAGTGACAAAATTTAACCCACCTTCCGTACGGCCAGCGGCTACTGTAGATCTATATATATATGAGTATCCTGGACAGTGCACTGGCCTTTAAGTTCTGCTGCACTAGTGTAATATATGTTTGTGGCCACGTAATTACACTTGGCATTGTGTTTAGTCTATATAGAGATTTCTATTGCACTCTATTGATCAGTAAGCAGCATGGATAAGCCTCTATTGTCCGCAATCCATGCAGATCGAGCTGAGCTGTAATATCAAAACGATACAATAGTGGGTCAAAGTTACAACAGGTAGAGGTTGAGGATGTTTGTAAGATGTCATGGGAACAGGGAAAAACCCGTTAGAGACTGGTTTTGCAGACAAACTTTATTTTCTTTAAGCTGGTTGAAGAAAATCTTGAGCTAAAGGATTGAACAAGGCGAAAGACGCGTGGACAGTAAATATTAAATATTGATCACTTAGGCCCTACAGTATGTTGACAGGGGTTCGATATGTTAATACAAAGGATCTAACGTTGAACTGGAACTTTTAATAAAGAAGTAGAATTCCCAACGGCAAAGGTGTTTTCAGGCGTGGTCGACAATTTATTTTTGAAGACCAGTGTTGGAATAAAATTAATTGTTGCAAACGTGGTGCATACCAGTTCTTGTGTTTGTAAGGTTCATAAAAAGGTGTACAATCACCCTTGCATTTTTATTGTTGATACTGCAATAAAAAGTCTCCTTAAAGCATAGGGGATGTTCACCTATATTTCTCAAGGTGAATTGGTAAATGATTTCTGCTCTGGGTACTCACACGCTCATCGGGTGCACAAAACAAAACTTACGTCCAGGTTCTCCTTGAGGACTCCGGTTTGGAGAACACAACTGAGCTTGCCTGTCTTGTGGCGGACCATAGGGTCTGGAAATCTAGTTATGATGATGCTTAATTGAGTATGTTGATGGTCGACTGCGGTCGTAGACTAATTTTAGCATTCATGTTAAGAGTTATTTTGAGAAATGTTATTTATAAGTCCAGGTACTATCTCATGCGAAAAAAAAAGACCAGTTTCATGGTGTCCGAACAGTTATTTATGATGTAATTTTAATTAGTTAAAACAGCCATTTCTTTGAGTCCTTTGTGTGCTGTAAAATTCACCTATAATGTTTTCCGAAATATATCTTGCAAAACGGTGAATTTAGGTAAGTGAAAGTAATTTAAACCAGACACGGAATGTTTTAATAGGATAATGGAAATTTTATTGATTGTTGTGAAATGTAACCATCATAAAAAGAATTACTAAACTATGTTCTGCACAGCAGTGAAATATTTGCTTTGTATAACTCATTAACTGTAAATGTGTCATGATGTAGTTGCTCTATAAATAAATGTGTCAAGCATTCATATTTTATTTTCTGTTGTATTCTGTTAGTATGAAAAATGTGCACAGTTGAAATGTCATGTCTCTGCTAAGCCATCACCAGAGTACATTTGTGTTGGCTTTAGATATTGTCCAGGTTAATTTTGTACTTTACAATACTAATCTATTATGAACAAAATGTATGAACAAAAATATTTTTCCCAGGCAATATTTTACATGTTATAATGTAAAATGATGATTTCAAAGTTCGAAATATAAATTTAATGTGAGAATGCATGTTTTTGTGGGTAACTAAAGGTGAGATCTTCATAATACAATAAAGTAGGATAAGCAAAGTTTATGTCATTCAATTTGGCTTCAGCTGACCATGATGTCTAGTTAGAGAAGAAATGCACGGGTATCGTTTCATTTGATTCAATATTGCAGTGTAAAAACTCTCAAAATTTATGTAAAAGCATCCATAGAGTAGCTTGAGTGTAGATCTATAGCTCTGAGTGGAAACTCAGTCCAAGCATTAATAGAGATAGCACATCGTGAAAATGTAGCAGGGAGGGAGGGGTATTCTTCTGTCAGTCAACAAAAAAGCAGCCTTTTCATCTCCATGAGAGCAGCAGTTAGACACAC